CAGGGGTTGCACCAAGACACAGCAGTACTGGTCGGGCATTGATGCCTCTGCCAAACTGAATGAATACTTACCAAATTCGCATATGGCATAGGCTTCCCTTAAAATGTGTCGATTCCCGTTTGTGGCTAAAGCAAAATTTGGTTGAGGTAGTGCATCAACCCATGCGATCAGTTTAGACGAAGATAAATTTCCTACGCACATCCCATTAAAGGATTTTTCAGTAAGAAGCCTTCCATTCTTCAAGTTGCAATAAGCTTGGCTAGTTTTGAACTGGTAATGTGTGCCCAGCGCTGTTCTTTTTAAAATTGCATTGGTGGTACTGCAATACCGATAACCTGTTAGACCTGTATCCTCTGTAGGGGAATACGTGCAGATGTTAGAGTGAAGCACAAAACGAGGCAAAATCGTCATGCACAACAATGGAAAAAATGCAAGAACATGAGCCCATTCAGTGCCCAGGACGAGATAACCCGTCCTGAAACACCCACCCTGAAGGGCCAAGAACAAGAATACGTCACACATTAGCATTAGTATATTACATCAAATCCAAGGTAAATACTAAAAGGTTTGGGGAAGTGAACCACCTGAAAAGAGAAGATTTTACTTTTTTTTTTACTTTGCTTGTCATAAGCAAAGCTCCAAATACTGAGCTATGGGACCAGGCCGAACCTATAAGGCGCTGACATGTTTTTCAATCCAAATGCAGCTCACAACACCTGCTACAAATACTAATGGCATTTGAGTCTTTTTCCTTAGAGTCCTCGTACCAGGCAGAACATTTACGCGGCGCTTATGGGATATCAACAAGAGGTTTAGCCGCGCCAAGCCCTATTTCCGTATCACTCTGAAAGGCATTCCAGCAGCTGGCACCATCGGCACAGCAAGCCCCGGACACTGCAATCCGTCTCCCTCTCCTGGACTGATGCAGGAGGTCGCCGACCTGGCAGCCATGGCAATCGCCCCGACAACACGGCGCACGTACACCACTGGCGAAAGGAAATTTACGCAATTCTGTGCGTTGCAGAGATGGACGCCCATGCCGGCTACAGACACGATGCCCAGCTGCTTCGCAGCACACCTCACACAATCGGTTCAACCACAGACAATTCATGTCTACATGGCCGCAGTACGCAACAAACATCTCGAAGCCGGATTCCGAAAACCAACGATGAACGCATTGCTGCCGCCACGTGTTATGCGAGGCATCAAGAGGACGGCGACTGACCCGGCAATCCAGCGCACTCGCCTCCCAATCACCATTGATTTGCTGCGGAAGCTCCTCAACCAACTCAGCCTGGACCAACGGCGTCACCAGCAGGACAAGGGCATGCTCAAGGCGGCAATGGTGCTCGCCTTCTTCGGATTTGTTCGAGGCGCTGAATTCACTGCGCCTCCAGCCGGGCTTGACCCTGCCACGCGCCAGGATGTGACTCTGGATGTCACTCAAGGACGCACATATATCCGCTTCCACATCAAGCAATCGAAGACGGACCAACTCTGTCAGGGCCATGCAGATAATCAGTAGTACCACTTCACAACCTTGCCCGGTTGCCGCCCTCCTGGCATATTTTACAGTCTGTCCGTCTGACGCCACTGACGCACTCTTCCGCTACCGCCCTGGGAGACCGCTGACCAGGCAGGCACTGACAGAAGAGCTCCGACAGCTTCTCCCACTCACGGGAACACCCAATTCACGCGATTACGCTGGTCATTCGTTCCGCATCGGTGCCGCCACAACTGCAGCCATGGCGGGTACCCCGGACTGGCTAATCAGGGCAATGGGCCGATGGAGAAGCGACACTGTCTTGCGCTACATCAGGACAACCGACCCAGACATGGGGACTATCCTACATGATTATCACATGCCAGATTCGGTTGCCCAGCACTCCATGAATCCTCCATATGATGTGTGCTCTCCACTGGTCTGCAATAGAGAGTGCATGCGTGTTAACCCGCATATCAATAAGTGTACGCTCAAAACGACTGCCCCACGGACCATTGGCAGCGACATCCAACCAGGCACGGTCCTCCACATTCGCGGTCCGGTAGCGAAGACGCTCCTCCGTCAGCGGTTGCAGCAAGGGCTCGATGGACACACTGGTCCACACCTCGTTCAGCAACCGGGCCGTGACGTCCCGAATACCATTGTGTCTAATGGAGGGAAACCCTCTATAGGGGCACGACAGGGAATGCGGGGCAGTTGCCTCTTGGCCGCTAGAGCAGTATGACGGTACCCTGGCCGGTGTCCATCCGTAACGGAGGCAGAGTCTGTCCCCGAACTCTCCCTTTGATAAATTAAAATGATACTTCTGGAGCGGACGTCACTGCTGCGCTAAATACTGATTGAATAGTAAATTTTGAATACTGAATACTGATTGAATACTAACGTTTTTTAAGATACACTGTCAGCACATAAGGCTGGTTTTAGTATTGACATACGTAGAGATTCGTGCTTTGAATAAAAGACTGATTTGAATAGATGCCTGACTTGAACATCTCTATGACACGGAAACATTTGCTCATCTATCTCAATCGTGAAAAACTTCACCTAAACCTAACAGAAAAGGTGTTTTCAACAGGACTCAAGAGTTGTAAATATTGGCACGGTGCTGTATCCACTATTGAGATAACCAGTGATCAGCTAGAATCATTTGGGAAGAGAATTCAGTGACGAACAGGATAAAAACCTGCCGCGTGCTCTTTAAATACTGATATGGGTGCAACTCACCACTACAATAGGGGACTGAGGATAGAGTTCCATGCTCCGTGCACATTGGAGTGGCATCTCCCACTATAACATAACCTTGCTTGCAGGAATATGTAGCACGATCTGTCCATTGAATCTCAGACCCATTGACAAAGCCATTCACAATGGGAGGGACGGAGCAGTGAACAGCTGCAAACGGAGTGAAGACAACAGAGACACAGAAAGCTAAAAGTCTCCTTCAAAAATCGAATAGACTGCCACATGTCATATGCTGTGAGCCTAGTCACACCCGGTTCCGTGCCCTCTCAAGAGCTGCATGCTTGGTAATTTGTTAAATTTCCCCGCATCTATTACTTTGCGGAGATCAGCACACAATTCATTACCGAAATAGATTTTCAAGTTCCAATCATCAGTGAAAAAACCGAACTGAAGCCAAAAGGCGATCGCACCAAGATAACATATCAAAGAGAGTGATAGAAATTAACTGTATATATTTATTTATTCCAAGCAATACATGGCTTGGGTAGCCAATGACCACTTTGCGTGGGGATTGCAGGGTTTTTATAGCCAACCATGGCTAAATAATGGCTACGTGCTGATACATGGCACATGGCGACTACCGATTTGGCACAGTTTTTACTTGATAACGTGAATATAGAGTAGTAGTAGTAGTAGAATTCTGCCCGCACTGGCTGTTGCTGAAGCTCCGATTGTGCTCTCATCCGGCTCATGAGCAGTATTACGGGGTAACTGAACGGATTTTTCTCATCAAGTATACAGTGTTTTACTCTCTCTCTCTCTCATTGCTTTTTCATCCATGTGTTATGGTAGTTTTTAATTCTTGTTTTTTTATTTTTTTTTCACGGAGAAGGCACACAGCCCAAAAGTGCCGTTTTCAATGAAGTGTTTTGAATTTTCCTGATAAGAAACACTACAGATGGCCTTAAACTCACGAAAAGATCTTCAGTGCAACAACATGTTCCTTCTGATTGCACAAATCAGGCTTATGGATACATACACAGACAGCTTCGAGGACCTTCAGCTGGTGTACATAATGCACATATCCTCATGTGGGGTGTTTGGCAGAATACTTCCTCCGCGTCATTAAAATTGTCGCTCCCAATAACAATTTTTCGAATTTATTTTGTCCACTCGAAGGGCAAAACAATCAGCTAAAAATTGAGGCAGAGCATTGTCGACGGACCAAGCTTTAGATTGTGACCTCCCGCTTCGCTTAACTTGCAGCTGAGGTCGGTGTCTTCATTAGAGTTTGAGGCAGACCCTTCAGCACCAAGCCATATCCTGAACAAGTCGCTTGTTCAAATTCTTCAGGTAAAGAAACTCCGTTTTCAAGCGATCCATGCCTCCAGGCTGCAGGCGATGAAGGCAAGGTAGCATTTTTCAAGTACACTGTAACGAACTTCTAGCGGGACAGCGTAAGCAGGTCCTCACCTTCTTTCCTTGGCAAGCGCTTTACTGATTTGTTGGTGTTTTCAGACCCTCTACCTTCCAAGAACCATGCGCCAAGAATAGCGATTTTTGGAACTTGAGACCACTTTTCACTTGCCATCATCAACTTCAGTATTTCGTATTCATAAGAGATACCAGGATTCTTATACCCGAGCTTGCAGTATTGATAAATGCCCACGCGAACGATGTGGGACGGCACGAACTAACATGCGCCATGGGGCGGAATAGTCCGGAGCGCGATGAATTTGCTTGGTACGGAAGAGAGCTCCGACCGAGTCCGAGACCACCTAGGCTTCAGTAAAAAGTGGACATTGCGATGGAAGGATAGCACCAATGTTTGAACACAGACAATAGCGATTCCGACTGTCTGACTAAGACGAGCCAATTCACAAGCTTTGCGATGTGCGAAGCGACAATTTTAATGAAGCGGAGGAAGTACGTGCAGGCCCTTCTGTGTATTTGTGTGCACTGCCATTGTGTGTTTGTGAGTGCATGCCCCTATGTGTGTATTTGAGTGCATGCCCAGAGCGGGTGTGCATGTGCACATAAAAGGTCGGTATGCATATAATGCGTAATGCGTATGAGAAAGTGAAGGCAAACACACACGTGCACACACACACACACCTACACACACTCTCTCTCTCACACACACACACACACACACATACACACACACTCTCTCTCACACATACACACACACACACATACACACACACACATATACCCCCTCCCCCCTCCCCACACACCCATACATTACATATACCCGTGCCATATTATTATCTTTATTCTCACGATGGCAGTAGCCAATAAGAGAGAGACAGTACTATGTGTTATCAATCAGAGTGGGTCCAATAAACCGGGAGAAATGTTGGCTAGTGGCAGCCGTTTCTTTGAAGAAGAAGAAGGAAGTACATACATCGTGAAGGTAGACAGGCGAAAGAGCTTGACTAAGATGCTATACCTAGGCTGGGCTGCAGCGGGGCTTGGAGCATGTGCAAATACACACAGCATGTTCAAAGCTGATGGTCCATTACCTATATATACCTCGTCGCATATCCATTGCCATGCCGCCCCTTCAAATGATAGAAACGCCAACACATTCTGATTACATCTGATACCAAATGCAGCATAACATACATATTTGACCTTGAATCCAACTTACGTATGTCGCATACGATGTAGCGATCTACAGCTTGTTGAACCTTGTTACCAGCAGTATCTGACAACATGCCTTTTTCATCTGGTGAGCCTACCCAGGCAATTAAATCTTGACTTGTCAAGCCCGAAGCACACCCAGCTTGGAAGGAGGACTCAGAGAGAATGGATCCATTATAGAACCGGCATATCTCTAGGCTTACTGTGTAGTTGGTTACGAGGCCTAGAATGCTGATGCTTGTTCGACCTTTGGCCACCTGGCAAGCTCTGCTGTTGCTCAGCTCTGTAGGCAAAATAGGCAGAAAGCAAAAGAAGCAAAATATGGCAAGGAATATTATTTGCACAGATGATCCCTTGCAGGTTATAGAGTCTACGTGCACGGTACAGTGTGTAAACCGGTGGTAAAACATAACATTGAACAGTTAGTTTGCCAGTTTCCAATCAGTGCACTTCTGCAAGTTTGTATCCCCTGACCACGATCTGTATCCAAAGAGCACTATAATTATAAGTGGTGCTTTTGGGGCACAGTCTTCCTCAGCCTACTCAAGCTCAACTGAAGACGGGTGAATTTCCCGAAACACTATGTTTTGAGCATGGAGTGGTCCTTTCTTGCAGGTTTGCCGAGTGGAAGAATCGATGCACTTACCGTGTGCTGTTCACTTCTCGTGTGCTCTGGATGGCAATTTTCAGTCAAGCAAGAACGTGCAAGCAGCCAATCCAGTGACTGCAGTGTGAGAGTTCCAAGCGCTAATCAACAATATATGGCCCAACTTCTGCCAAAACCAGGCTTAGGGTGAAAATCATTTTTTTTTTTGAGAAAAATGATGTTTTGTAAAAGGTTGTTTCGCGTGGACGCTCGAGTGCAGTGAAGTGGAACCAAAGAGAATCTCGCTTGTTTGAAGAAGTAGCAGTCATGGCAGGAAGAGTTTCAGCAGTCAGGGAAGTCAAAGGGCTTCCGGTAGAATATTCCCTGCCACTCCTCTAAGTCACAACGAAGAGTTTTCTAGCTGATCGAACGGATTCCATCTCCTTCACTCAGGGATGGCGAAATTTCTGCGCTAGCTGCTGCTTGCGGAAAATGGTGAAGAAATAGTCTCCAGTTAGAGTCGTGATGGCGATAGCAAGGAGAACCTGGACGACATCGATCCAGCCAATCGAAGTATGGAGATACTAGCTGTTTCTGGGCCTCACGCAAAGGGAACACGCGCAGCAGAGCTCATACGTTTGCAGCAAGTTCACGAGGAAAAAGACTTGAAGCGCAGTGTGAAAACTGTTTTGAAGTCCTTGGCGATGAAGTGCTACTGAATGCCAGGCGAATGAGTGAGCAGATTGAGAGGCCTCCACTCGAGACTTTACTCGCTGGACAGCTAGCTGCCAGGGATTGTACGGCGTGCCGAGATATTCGCGAGATTTGACTTGCTGGTCAGCACCAAGCAGACACTGCAGCACGCCAGCACACTGTGCGCATACTATGAACAGTGGAACAGTTTGAAAGGCGGTGTTCTTTCTTTTTTCTGAACAGTTGTACTAGATTCACCCTTCAAAAGGTGCCATCTCGACTGGAGTCGGGTTTCCTTGTGGTGTGTAGCGCCGGAGCATGCGAGTACATGTATTCAGCCCCAGAACGTGCTGAGTGAGGAGCAAACAAAACATGCAGAACTGTGCATGGCCACTACACAGTCTACAGCCTGTGAAGGCTGGCCAAGGTGCCAAGGGGCCAAGGGGCCACAACAAGCCTGCCCCCACATACCTACCTTGTTATGTCACCTAAACAAAAATGATCCATGTCTCTTCCTTCACTCTGGTGGATCTCTCTTCATTTCTTTCCTGTGATAACAATTTGGTTTTTTTTTGGATTCTTTTAACACAATAGCCTGGTGTGTTTGAGGTACTTTTAATACCACTATGAGTATATTGGATGGCGGGTTGAACTCCCGTCAGGTCTCCTTCTGGAGGGTATTTCTGTTCCTCGGACTATGTCTAAGTTTTTTTGACAAATTAGTAGTGATAGCCTGAAGCCTGGGCTTGTTTTTCACCGGAGACATGAAAGAGCTGGAGCACCGTCGTGCCGTGTTGGCACGTTCAACGTTCGTTCGCTGCGGACTAAAATCAAAAAACAACAGATTATTCAGGACTTTGATACCTACCGCCTGGACGTCCTCGGCCTGACTGAGACATGGATGGAAGGCAACGGTATCGATGTGTTGGACAATGGCCACACATTGTATCGTTCTGGAGGCACTTTGTCCAGAGCTGGAGTAGGAATTCTCGTCAATCAAAATATTAGTAGAAAGGAAGAGGACATATGGAAACGAGTTAAGGGTAACTCTCCACCACTGTCACTAGATACTATATACAGTCAGAAAGTGCAACAACTAGGCACAAAACTGACAAAGTACTGAGACATTCGACGTCCTGACACCTAGCTTCAACACATCTCCGTAGCGCTAACCGACGGCCTTCCAACTTGGAAGGTTCAAGGTTATGGAAAGACCAAAAGATGGGGAAGGCAAGCGCAACGAAAACGAGCACAAGCTACAGTCCCAACGGAACAAAGAATGTCAATTGCCACTGGACGTCACTGTTTGGTGACAATCGACATTCTTTGTTCCGTTGGGACTGTAGCTTGTCCTCGTTTTCGTTGCGCTTGCCTTCCCCTCTTTGGTCTTTCCATAACCTTGAACCTTCCAAGTTGGAAGGCTGTCGGTTAGCGCTACTGAGATGTGTTGAGGCTAGGTGTCAGGACGTCGAATGTCTCAGTACTCTGGCAGTGTTGTGCCTAGTTGTTGCATTTTCTGACTGTATATAGTATGTCGAAGGTTCGATGGACTTCTCGTGTGCTGTGGATGGCAGTCGTGAGTCAGTCAAGTGTCAAGTAAAGTCGGCGGAATAGCGCGAGCTCCAGTGTGGGGAGCAAACCCTTTCTTACAAATCATCGCCGAAGTCGCAACCACTACTTCGTATATAGTATCTAATAAAAATATTTTAAGAAATATCGATTCGTACCAATTCTATTCAAACGAGTAGTTTCGCTACGGATACTGCTAACTGGAAGTCGTAACAGTAGAGGGGTATCAATCATCTGCTGCTACGCTCCTACCCTACAACGTTCCACAGCTAACCCTGTTGAGGCTGATGAATTTTATTCCTTGCTGAGCAAAGGTGTTGGAAATGTTAATCGTCGTGACGTCTTGTGGGTACTGGGTGACATGAATGCCAAGGTAGGCAGTTCGCCAGCTGGCTCATCGAACCCAGTAGGAATGTACTCAAAACACAGAATGAGTAATGACAATGGAAGCCGTCTAATTGAATTTTGTGAGATGCATCTACCGCTACTAGCTAACACAATGTTCAAGCACCGCATGCGGCATCGTGCAACGTGGTTTGCTGATGGCTTGTGTCATAACGATGGGAATCAAGTCAGGAACATGATAGATTTTATCATGGTACGGAAATCGGATGTGTCAATTGTCACTAACGCGCGGTCATACGGAGGCTTCATAACCCGATCGGATCATCATCCAGTAATCGCGGATGTTCGACTTTCTTTCAAGAAGTCGAACAATGCTCCAAAAGCCAACCACCGATGCTTTGTAACATATAACCCGCCTTCTGCCGACACGCAGAAACAATATCAACGTATTCTGTCTGAGTCACTACCCGTCGTAGCGTCACCATCACCGTCATGGCAGGGAGAAATTGATACTCTATGGAACAGTTTTGTGTCGACTGTACATGGTGCCGCATGTACGTCTTTTGGTATTCAACCTCGGCGTGCTAAGCCAACTCGGAGCACAAATCCAACTATAAAACAATTATCCCAAGACCAAAAAGATCTCCACATACGCATCCATGCTGAGCCAGATCCTGCCAGAAGAAAAGCTCTAAAAGAAGAGCGCAAGAGCATTCAGCACAAAATCAGAAAAATACTGAGGCAGGATGGAGACGACTTCTGGCAAAGGCAGGCAGAAGCTACTGATGCTTTACGACCTGACCCACGCTACTATTACAATGCAATCCGGAATCTTTGCCAAATGAAGTCGGACACCAACACTCCTCCTGTTCGGCTGGCAGACGATGATGGCAATATCATGACAAGCATTTCAATGGAATCTCGACACATTTAGTAAATACTTCCAGTCAACATTTCATCGCCCTGGCCTACCCAGTGATTTTCGTGGCTCGCAAGATATCAAAGATGAGGAATTGCCGTTTACCACCCAAGAGGTCACTACAGCAATCAGTAAACAAAAAAAGGAGGCGCCGTGGGACCCGATGGAGTCAGTGCGGAAATGCTACGAGCTGCTAAGGACTTACTCAGCCTTTTTCTTCAATGCAATACAGAGTGTTGGGTATTGCCCTGACGATTTGCGCAGTGGATTGGTAGTACCTGTATACAAACCAGGCAAGCCACTCGGAAAACCGAAAAGTTATCGCCCCATCATGTTACTCTCTGTAGTGAGAAAGGTGCTGACGTCAGTTATTACTAAACGTAGCACGGATGACATCACAGTTTATGTCTCTGAAACCCAGGCTGGATTTCGTCCAGGTCGCTCAACCACTGATGGTGTATTTTACAAAAGGTCGCTGTGTGAGCGGGCCTTGCTTGGCAACTGGACATATTCCGTCACCCTTCTAGATTTCTCTGGCGCTTTTGACACTATAATTCGCACCACAGCACTTGACAGGTTAGATGAAGCAGATATCAGCACAACAACCATCAAGTCTCTACTTTCCAACACGACAGCCAGGATCAACCTGGGTGGCTCCCTGAGTTCCCCTTTCCCAACTAACATCGGAGTGGTGCAGGGAGACCCGATGTCCCCTATTATGTTCATAACATATGCAGAAGGCACAATGCGCAATGCGCAAGATCAGGGAAAGATGCACAATTCGCTCACCAATGCCTGCTCCAACAACGCAGTACGCTGACCATACTAATCTGCATAACCGAAATGACGATGAGGCGAAGGCTCTTGTTGCTGAGTGTGAACCTATATTTACCGAAGACAACCTCAAGCTCAGTACACAGAAAACTGAATATGTTGATGTTACAAGAAACAGCAACGAATGGAGATCAATCAAACTCCTGGGTTCTCTATTGGGCTCTGCAGAAGACGTTGACATGAGAATCTCAAAAGCAAACAGGGCGTTTGGTTCGATTTCTTGGAGACGGCATTCCTTTCAATCCCGACTGTGTATGTTTAACTGCCTCATAATGCCGATCCTTCTATACAATTGCGGACTGTGGACTCTGTCCAAATTGCTGAACCACAAACTGGACAAATGGCAACGGAGGAAGCTACGCGTAGTGCTGCAGATTGTCTACCCGCAACTTATAAACAGAAACAAAACAATCTCCAGTTAGTGCCACATGCCGGCAACGCAGGCTGCTGTGGTTTGGCCATGTGGTGTGAGAGGGTCCGGAATCCGCCTCGTTCCAAGCACTGGAGCTATCAATCAACACCAACGACATAAAAAACTCCGTGGCCGTCCGCCATTGTGTCGGATAGATACGATTCGGCAAGACCTGAAGGCAGCGGATCTCTCCGTGGAGAGCGCTCTCCAAGCTGCAGGAGATAGACTAACTTGGCTTGACACTGTTGACAGATGCATCGACTCTGCTCCTGTCTAACAGGTTCAGGGAAGATGCAAGCTGTGTTTATTATTATTAAGAGTCGACACACACCTGTAATATTTTGTTTCCTGACCTCCCATGCCCGGTAGAAGCTGAAAATAGGAAAAAGTCATTTTTGTGAAATTTCACCCTAAGCCTGGTTTTCGCAGATTCTGGGCGATATTGTGGTGTAAACTTGGTCAACCGATAGAGTCATGCATACTTCCACACTCCCTAATCGTTTTGCATTGCAAAGATGTTTCTATCAGTTGAAATAACGCACAAGACGACCTAGGTAAAAACAATAGCCTATACTAGGGCTCCTGGGCATTCAAGTCCTGTTGTTTTAGGTACGTTACTGGTAAATCTGAAAGAGAAAGATTTAGCACAACACTGGCCGAAATGATACTGGAATATCCTTTCATAACTGAAAACCTCTCTCCTTTTTCAAATAATTGTTATCGTGTTTTTAATTTTAATCGTTGCCACTCCACCCTAGTCTTAAAGTTATACCTTTAAAAATTACTCACCATCATATCGGCAACTGATATTGCTAGGCATCGCGGTAGATTGCATTTGATCATATCGCTTTGGGAGGCAAGCTGGAAAACAGAAAAACACATTGAACTCATGAAATCAATGGTGTTCTTGTTGTCGTTTATTTTACTTCACCAAATGAACAGGCAGAGATGCCTTCTCACCTGCCAATAGGACAGGTTCTCACAGAATGATGAAGGGGTGATATGCAAGGGAAAACAAGAAATGCGACGAACGTTTCGTCCCCGCTGGACTCATCAGGCAATCTTCTTCTTTGATGTCTTCATACGGAGCTTGACTCGGGAGAATGAATTCACAAAGTAAGTATATCAATGGCAGGAAGAGCTTTTCGGAAGTGACCAGGGACACCTACCACTCTAAAATCAGAGGGGAGAGCGTTCCAGAGAATGCTTCCCCGAAACATCATGGTCAATCGTCCCGCAGCAGAATGTAACCTTACACCGTATACAACTAATCTACCTGGGAATAATAATTTTAATATAGCTATGAATAGGATGAAGGCCGCAGACATCACGCAACTACGTTACTTGTTTGACATGTATTTACTGTGTATTTTATAACAAAATATTATTGAAAACCCAGAATCGATTTTCTTGTTCCTATCATCAGTGGGGAAAAATACGGAACTAAGGATACAACCAAAGAAACTGAAATTAAATACTGTAAATAGAAAGGTGTTAGAAATAACAACAAGATACAAGTGCAATAAAACCACTAGAGGAAACGCAAAAAGGTAACAAGATTACGAAACCAAAGGCGAGAAGGCACTAAACGAAGTGTCAATCTACGAATAAAACTTGAGTGCAACAATGTGCTCCTTCTGCTTACACAAAACAGGCTTATGAATACGTATACAAACTGCCTCAAGGACTTTCAACTGTTGGACATAACGCGCACGACACAGAACAGAAAAATGAGAGTCCTCATACACACTAAGACAGTCAGGAGGAGATAACAAGTGTAGATACACAGCTGACTTCTTACGATCAACACATTCATCCGCCTCATCTTGCTCCTTCCCACTCGACTCCTCCTCGTCCATCACATCATCCTCTTCCTCGTTCCGCACGTCATTCTCACGAACATTATCATTACCATCATTTGCCTCGTCCTCTGTCTCCTCACCAACCGTTTCGTCATCCAATTGCTCTTCCATCCTCTGATTACCGTCTCATCCTCCGTTTCTGTACAGACCGCTTGTCTCCCATTTGTTAGCTGCTCGTCCAGTGAGCGGAGTTGTTCCGCCAGATCCGCTTCACTCACTGACTCATGATCCTGCTCGACCTTCCTTCTATTGGTATTGTCCACAATGAGCGGTCCTAGGTCATTCCTGGCATAAATATCTGTGGAGTAGTTTGCTGTTGCCCTCCGAGGTCTCTGGATTAATGTGGGTGCCGTGGCAATTCTTGTGAGAGTTGGTGATGCCAGCGCGGGTGTAGGTGGGTCCACCGCAGACCCCGCCACAAGAAGACCCGGTGGCGGTTCTGGTGGTGGCAAGGGCAACGGTGGTGCTGCTGGAGTTGGTAACTTGGGCAGCCTAGCCATCTCACACGGTACCGCATTTTGTGTTGGCTCAGTCTGTACCACTGGCGCAGGGGGTGGGTTCTTGCGCGGTCGGCCACGCTTCGGCCGCTTGCATCCGGCAGAATATGCAGCGGTACATGCTGTTTGATACGTGGGGTCAGGTGTTGAAGGGTCCTACCAACGTACCGGCTACCACAATTCCGGCACTCAAGTTGGATAACCAAATGGCTCAAAAGATGAGATGGTAGGACGTCCTTCCTCACAAGGAACGCACTTATCGTCGTGAAGGAATAAAGAGTGCTGCGAAGTATGTTTTCAGTACTAGCGTCTTGACTGCGCGGCACATGGTCAGCGATGTGTTTCCTTTCCAAGGCAAACAAAGATAAACTGGGCATCGAACAGGACCAACACTCACTTCTTTCTATTTGTATGCTGTCTTCATTAGAATATTGAGTACGTCTTCAGGGTATCCGTTCTTTAGAAACACAGACTTTAAGAATTGTAACTCCTCGCTGAGTTTACTCGGCGAGCAAATGCGCCGTGCCCTGTCAACTAGGTTCCGCACCAAATTCACATTGTACTGGTAGGAGCAGTACAAATCATACACAATATACTGCCCGGTGAACGTGGGCTTTCTGTATACGGAGGTAATGATATCATCATTCGATTTCTCAACAAATACGTAAAGAAACGAGAGTTTGTTGTCGTGCTCCAGCTCGCATGTGTATTTTAGAGACGGATGTAAGCTATTCAGATGATGAAGGAAGTGGTCGCACTGCTCCGTGGAATCAAAATACATAAACGAGTCATCAACGAACCCGTCATACATCTCAGGCCACAGCGACGCATCAATCAAGGAATCACAGTAACCAACAAAAATGTTTGCGAGCCCTGGACCAAGCGGAGAGCCCATGGCTACTCCATTCACCTGTCGATACATAATATCAAACGAAAACTCTGCGCCCGATTTGTGAGATGGAAGCATGGCATTTTTGCGTCCTGAAACTAGCCGTGCCCCGGCCACCGGGTAACATAGTTGATCTTAAGGTGACTCGTTACTCTCGCACCAGAGAATCATTAAGATTATCGTGGTGACTAACGTATAGATCGTGGTGCTCTCTGATCACTTACGTATTTCGCATGTAGCAAACAGCTTCACATTTAAATTATATTTGTGAGCGTTTATCGACATGGCCTTATTGTTGGCCGGCAAGCCCATCCAGGCATAAAGGGGGAGCTCCATTCCGCGATCGGCGCACCCATCAGAAACCGACTGTGTGGAAATAATCATTCCCGTATACAGTCTGCAGAGCTGGCTTGCAAAACTGTAGTTCAGCAGATTGTATGATGACACAATTATACTATTAGTTTGCTGACAATAACGGTATTCGGTCGGCGGTGAAGCTGCAGTCATCGACAAAACACAGCAGGCAAGCAGAGAGACTGTTGCAAATGCATGCAAAACACTCACAAACACATCCATTCACACATTTACATCCGCCAACACCAGATAGCCTAACACGATTGTGGTTGAACACCTGATGTTCAAGAATCAGGTAAATCCTGACTGCGAACTTGGCAATGCTGGGAATCCGAATTTAATAGCTTTGCCGTTAAGTGTGCACCATCAATGCAGTGCATGGTTGCAGCAGTAGCTGGCAACCTGCAAAAGTACGACCGTGAACAAGAGGGGGGGGGGGGGGGGGATTAGGACAGTGACAACGCATTGAAGTATAACAGCAGAGAGTTACTGCTGACCGGCCCTCAGCCTCCATTCACCTGTGAAGCCCAAAAGGGGTTTACTTCTACCGGCCGCACACATAAAGTAAAGTTCACATTCGATACAAAGCTGGTGTCTGAATACTTACGATAGCAAGACGGCTTTTCACTGGTACTCAAACGACCGGAGCCATTACAAGTAATCGAGGGATTGCCCAAAAGGAAGTACCCGGTATTGCACGAGTATACGGCATATTCATTAGCGAATAATCCCGAGGAACTTGGCCGGCCATCCGGTATCACAGGAACAAGGCAGTCGAAAGCTGGAAATAAAATATAAAACCGAGCATTGTATCACATATTATGGATACACCTCAGCATCGAGCATATGGGGCATCTTTCCACAGCGAAAATAAAATGTTAATTCCACAGGAGAACAGGCGTGAGTGTAGAATATATACAAAAAAGTAAAATGTCACCTTTACATACCAACTGATACACTGTAACTTGATGTGCAACGAAAGACTTGGCACTTAACAACAGTTGCGACGCTGGAGCTTGCCAGTGGCAGGCCCACCTTGCGTATCACCGGCTTCCACACCAACACCAACAGCGCAATCTACAGCAACCACAACTAATCCACCATGCAATCCCACTAATCAAAGACCAAGACAACCAACAGCCAACTACAACAGAAGCTACGCATTCAACTACCAAGGGCGAAAGGAGGGACGTGACAGCAGGTTGACTGGCTTGGGAAGTCACTGCTGCGCTAAATACTGATTGAATAGTAAATTTTGAATACTGAATACTGATTGAATACTAACGTTTTTTAAGATACACTGTCAGCACATAAGGCTGGTTTTAGTATTGACATACATAGAGATGTGTGCTTTTAATAAAAGACTGATTTGAATAGATGCCTGACTTGAAAATCTCTATGACACGGAAACATTTGCTCATCTATCTCAATCGTGAAAAACTTCACCTAAACCTGACAGAAATGGGGTTTTCAACAGGACTCAAGAGTTGTTCATATTGGCACGGTGCTGTTTTCACTATTGAGATAACCAGTGATAAGCTTGAATCATTTGGGGAAATAATTCAGTGACGAACAGGATAAAAACCTGCAGCATGCTCCTTAAATACTGATATGTATGCAACTCACCCCTACAATAGGGGACTGAGGATAGAGTTCCATGCTCCGTGCACATTGGAGTGGCATCTCCCACTATACCATAACCTTGCTTGCAGGAATATGTAGCACGATCTGTCCATTGAATCTCAGACCTGTTGACAAAGCCATTCGCAATGGTAGGGACGGAGCAGTTAACAGCTGCAAACGGAGTGTAGACAACAGAGATACAGCAAGCTAAAAGTCTCCTTCACAAATCAAATAGACTGCCACCCGCCATATGCTGTGAGCCTAGCCACACCCGGTTCCGTGCCCTCTCAAGAGCTGCATGCTTGGTAATTTGTAAATTTTTCCCGCATCTATTCATTTGCGGAGATCAGCACACAACATGACAACTTGCTAGAGGTTAATAATGTGAATGCATCTCCGAAACAGATTTTCAAGTTCCAATCATCAGTGAAAAACCGAACTGAAGCCAAAAGGCGATCGCACCAAGATAAAACATCCAAGAGAGTGATAGATTTTTTTTTTATTCCAAGGAATTCATGGCTGGGGTAGCCAATGACCACTTTGCGTGGCGATTGCAGGGTTTTTATAGCCAACCATGGCTAAATAATGGCTACGTGCTGATACATGGCACATGGCGACTATCTAATCGGCACAGTTTTTACTTGATAACGTGAATATAGAGTAGTAGTAGTAGTAGAATTCTGCCCGCACTGGCTGTTGCTGAAGCTCCGATTGTGCTCTCATCCGGCTCATGAGCAGTATTACGGGGTAACTGAACGGATTTTTCTCATCAAGTATACAGTGTTTTACTCTCTCTCTCTCTCATTGCTTTTTCATCCACGTGTTATGGTAGTTTTTAATTCTTGTTTTTTATTTATTTTTTTCACGGAGAAGGCACACAGCCCAAAAGTGCCGTTTTCAATGAAGTGTTTTGAATTTTCCTGAAAAGAAACACTACAGATGGTGTAGACTCACGAAAATATCTTCAGTGCAACAACATGTTCCTTCTGCTTGCACAAATCAGGCTTATGGATACATGCACAGACAGCTTCGAGGACCTTGAGCTGGTGTACATAATGCACATATCCTCATGTGGGGTGTTTGGGAGAATACTTCCTCCGCGTCATTAAAATCGTCGCTTCCAATAGCAATTTTTCGAATTTATTTTGTCCACTCGAAGGGCAAAACAATCAGCTAGAAATTGAGGCAGAGCATTGTCGACGGACCAAGCTTTAGATTGTGACCTCCCGCTTCGCTAAACTTGCAGTGGAGGTTGGCGTCTTCATTAGACTTGTAGGCAGACCCTTCCAGTCCGTGCGCCAGATTCAAAATATCGCACTCTATCCGTGTTCTTTTATTTTCCAGAGTCAGTAAACTTTGAACTTTTTGAGCTATTTCTTGAGAATTGTTAGTTTCTAGTCATTGCAAGGTGGGCCTTAAGCGGGATTCACAGAAGCTTTTTTGCGATGCGACACGCGATGCGACGTGATCTGCGACGGATGCGTGCGATGCGAACTCGCGAAATACCATTCACAGAAGAAGTCAGTGATGCGACAACATCTTGCTGATTTGGCTCCGTCACCATGATATTCGCACGGTTTGATACAACTTGTACAAATTTATGGGCAACTCTTGAACCTTTGTACAACTTTGCTGTAGAAAAGGTCAAAATCGTACGCCAAATCGCTTGTCGCATCTCATCGCATCGCAGAAGTTGAGCCAAGCTCAACTTCTGCGGTGGCCCAGTTGCGTCAGTTACGTGGGGTGCGACATGGCTGCGATTTGGGGTTTTCCCGGTTTCGCGCCTGTCGCATCGCGTGTCGCATCGCAAAAAAGCTTCTGTGAATCCCCCTTTTTCGTTGGAGTTCAGACCTGACACGCCGTCCATCGTCGGATAAGGCAAACATCTATCTTCAGTTTCGAACGTTTTCTCGCAGGGTGCTTCTGTCCCATGAAGCATCCCGTCTTCTCCGACTGTCCAAATTTGAATTTTTCTTTATGCAGGACTTTAGTTTAGTGCTGTCAAGTATTCCAGTACACCTACCACAACATCCAGAAGAACAACAAGGCTTAGTCTTTTAGTATGTGGTCTCTCGCCGGTGTCCAAGACCAAATAACACCACACCGACCAATTTTCTAACCTCTGTTTTTCTCGCTATTTACATGTATATGGAGGACAGCTGGAAGCATGTAGCACTCACAATGAACACATCAGGACGGTGTAATAATGCCACTCAGCTACACCCTGGGCGTGTATGCATTCCCGTCTGCGAGTTATGCCAAGCAACTCGTCTAGACACCAGTGCACACATCCCACAATGCACAATATTGGAATATTTTGGTAAAATAGTGAACGGCGAAAGACAAAAACCCAAATTGCAGCCACCTACAGACTAATATCCACATACGCTGGCCGTGTAAAGGAGTGTCAATGAGAATCTTCATTGCGTTATTACTGAAGTGTATGAAACGGAACGTAGCGGACGAGCTCAAAAGTGCACGCCGAGCCAATATAGGCGGCATTGCAGGACATGTAAGACAGTGTTTGGACAAAAAGGCACAGCTGAAGTGTTCCCACTATGAAATGGTCTCAGGAGTTCCAAGGAGTAAGAGTATGACAATAGCATAGAATGATGTATTTTGCAAGAAGTGCTACGAGGCACAGCTAGAATGGATAATAGTTAACGGCAGTGCAAGCATTAACAACAAAGCTATTACAGCTAATCGCTCGTCACACTCAGATCTGCGATAATCCTCTGGCTGAGCTAACAGCAGTACTGGGAGAACACATGGATGTTTGCACACTACACACAAAGAAGGGAGTCATTCTCCTTCTGCGGCTGCAATACCCAAGCTCCTCTTCGTGCTGTTCTCACACAATGCCAAGACGCGTTAATACCCAAGGTCCTCTTCGTGCTGTTCTCACACAATGCCAAGACGCGTTAATACCCAAGGTCCTCTTCGTGCTGTTCTCACACAATGCCAAGATGAGTTAAAGGGGAAGTGCGGTGAAAAATCTAAATTTCACAGTCCGTAGAGTTCGGGGCGCTGAGTCGAATGGTCTTTGTCCGAGGAGGCTGAGGCCTATGGTTCGTCAGATAACTGTTACGCCCAATCGAACATGTGCGGATTTGAGCGCGCCTCACCCAGATCCAGGCGATGACGTCAAAGCGTGCCGCCAGGTAGCCACACCATCTAGATGTGTACAAAACGGCCATATTCGGAGCGCGTTCGATTGGGGAACCGTTTGTCGCAGCTTCTTCGGACCAAGACCATTCGATTCAGTGTTACAAACACTACGTACTCTGTGATTTTCAGCTCGGTAAACCTCGAGGTTATACCGTATTTGAGCCGTTTCCGAGTTGGACTTTTTCCGTCGACATGCACTGGCCTCTACGGCTCTAGCAATGCGCTGCGTGTAGTGTAGTCAACAAACTCATCACACACGGAACTACTCCCGCACTGCCGTGCTGGGGTAGGTACAACAAGACTCAGAAAACTAGTCAACACACGGACTTGTCATGTACTACACTCGTATCAGTCGTATTGTTCAGTCATGTAGTCAGAGAACGAGCGAACGAACAAGTGACAAAACAGCGAACAGCTCCCGGACCTAGAACTTTCAAATCCCGTAGCGTTGCGAGCGAAGAGTCGTGCCCGTGGTTCAAAGAGCCTGCACTGTTCTCCAATAATGAATTGAGTGTCCGAAATAATTATGCCAAGTTCGCACCAAAACATCACCATGTGGCAGGTTACTGGAGTCTAAGCGAATCGGTATGGAACAACATTTAGTCTTAGAGCACTCGCATCACTCTTCTCCATTTTGGCGACTCTGCTCTCCAGCGATCTGATAATTATATCAGCCTCGTCTGCAATAGCTGCTGCTTCTTCATCAGTCAGAAACTCAGTAGCGCGCACTCTTGACCGGCCATTTCTTCAGCTGAATACCGGAATTCTCAGCCCCAGACTCATGAAAGTCAGCCATGGCTGCATCCTCACTCTCACAAGGAGTCACGTCTTCGGGTTCGCTTGCACCACCTACTATGGGTCGCCAAATCGTTTGAAATAGCACTGACACTATTGCTTTCACGCACTCCTTTTGACCTAGCTGCTTGCTATGACGTTGCGGAGGGTGTGGCGCGGCCGCATGACGTCATGGCGCAGCCCCCCCCGAAACTCAGTTTTTCAAACGGAAATATATCGAGAACGCTTTGTCGGAGACACGTAGGACCAACACCATTCGATTCAGCGGCCGAAACTCTACCACCCTGAAATTTAAATTTTTCACCGGATTTCCCCTTTAATACCCAAGGTCCTCTTCGTGCTGTTTTCACACAATGCGAAGACGCGTTGGAGCACGATCCACCTGAGAAGACACACATATCGCACAAGATAAGGCAGTATTTTAAGTTTTTAACGACAGTATGAATAATGCATGAAACACAGAAAGTAATTCAATGGAAAAAAAAGTGCTCTGCTCTTTATATACTACACTTTTCCAATGTTATACAGGTAATACACTGAATTCCATGGAAGTGGATTTGGTTGTCCCTATTCCGCCATTGCGGTGGATAGATACGATTCGGCACGACCTGAAGGCAGCGGATCTCTCCGTGGAGAGCGCTCTCCAAGCTGCAGGAGATAGACTAACTTGGCTTGACACTGTTGACAGACGAGTCGACTCTGCTTCTGTCTAACAGGTTCAGGGAAGATGCGAGCTGTGTTTATTATTATTATTATTATTATTAGTGTAATTGCAGTGGGTGCTGCTTCACTTGAACCATAGTTTGGTTCCAGTGAAGCAGCACTCACTGCAACAATTTGCAGAAAAATTTCTCAATCGCATCGTCGCGCATCACATCTCAGAAGTGATATCATGCATCACGCTTTAGAATGTTGGCATGGCTGGGCATCACTGCCGGTAGTTCTGCCAAGAAGACGTAACCCGGATTATTAATACCTGGTGGATCGGTTACACACTGAAACACAGCAGTTTCGGGGCAGTGTCTGCGTGCGATACACCATGCACACAAAGCTTCATAAGGCTCTTATGAGAAAAAGCACGCTTTGAATCTGGAAACCACAGCAGATACTTGACGCACTGCCCTAGCCGGTACCCCAGTTTGTCGCTACGTAATGTGGGCAGCAAGCCCCTTCAGACCCCTCGTGCAAAGTTGCATGCTCTTGGGGCTATGGACTCTTGGTTCAGCCACCAAAATATTAATGCAGTGGAGCTGCGTCAGCGGCGTACATGAAACGAGACAGCATTCGGTTCGTTTCAATCGATAATATCGACAAAGAATATACTATTACAATGACACCAAGAGAAGCTTTCATGGAAATTAAGGCAAGCATGTCCATCCGCAGGCATGCAGCAGCAGCAACGAGGGTACATCTCAAGAGATTACAACTACAAGTCCATACCCACTAAAATGTCATGCAAATTCTACAATATACAGGGTATAAAGACATACAAATTTCGCACTTTCGGATTCCAAAACAGTACCATTCTGAGCACAGGCACACTAAACGGGAAAACAATACATTTATTTATGACATCGTATTCCTTTGCATGCTTCTTTCTTCTTGTTGTGCTATTTTCAACAAGGCAACACTTGTGCTCGTAAAAATACAAAAAACAATTTTGAGATTCCACTTAGTGCCATCGGTTATTCCAGGCAGGAATGCTCAAAACATTATCATCTCACTACACAACAATATGTACTTACTAAGATCCGCCATGAGAGCTTGGTGTCCGCAGCTCTTGGAAAGCGCAGCTCGTCTACTTCTCGATGCCAGTCCGCGAAACCAGCAAATCGGGGAGAGCAGTTTCTTCCATAAATAAAGTCCAAGATTGCATTTGCGATTCAAATTTTCTACTCGGCGTCAAAGCACAACATTGAACTCATCATCTTCCACTCCTGCTAAGGCAAAGGAGCGAAGACAGGCCGCGAGAAAGGCCAAAACAATAGCCAAATTTCTCCCCCAACTGCCATTCTCGTCGTTATCTTCACCAACAGAGTTTTGTGCAGACTTTTTCCCGCGGGATCGGACCCAGGAAAATGAAAACGGCCCGCTCAGTGGCCTGGCGCACAGACTGCTTCAGCACCAAACAATACCCTGAACAAGACACTCGTTCAAATACTTCATGTCAAGAAACTTCGTTTTCAAGCGATCCATGCCTCCAGGCTGCAGGCGATGAAGGCACGGTAGCATTTTTCAAGTACACTGTAACGAACTTCCAGCGGGATAGGGTAAGCAGGTCCTCACCTTCTTTCCTTGGCAAGCGCTTTACTGATTTGTTGGTGTTTTCAGACCAGTTACCTTCCAAGTACCATGCGCCAAGAATAGCGCATTTAAAAAAAAACTGGAGACCACTTTTACTTGCCATCGTCAACTTCAGTATTTCGTATTCATGAGAGATACCAAGATTCTTATACCCGAGCTTGCAGTATTGATAAGTGCCCACGCGGACAATGTGGGACGGCACGAACTAACATGCGCCATGGGGCGGAATAGTCCGGAGCGCGATGAATTTGCTTGGTACGGAAGAGAGCTACGACCAAATCCGAGACCACCATGGCTTCAGTAACAAGTAGACATTGCGCAGGAAGGATATCACCAATGTTTGAACACAGACAACAGCGATTCCAACTGTCTGACTAAGACGAGCCAAGTCACAAACTTTGCGATGTGCGAAGCGACAGTTTTAATGAAGCGGAGGAAGTACGTGGAGGCCATTCTGTGGATTTGTGTGCGCTGCCATTGTGTGTATGTGTGGGCATGCCCCTATGTGTGTATTTGAGTGCATGCCCCTATGTGTGTGTGCTTGTGCACATAAAAGGTCAGTATGCATATAATGCGTATGTGTAAGTGAAGGCAAACACACACGCGCACACACGTGCACACACACACACACACACATAGACACACACACACGCGCATACACACTCACACACACACACACACATAGACACACACACTCTCACACACAGACACACACATACACCAACACTCTCTCTCTCACATACACACACAGTCTCTCTACCACACATACAGACACACACACACAAACACACATATACCCCTCCCCCCGTCTCCCCCCCCCCCCACTCCCCCCCCCCCACACACCCATACAGTACATATACCCCCGCCATATTATTATCTTTATTCTCACGATGGCAGTAGCCAATAAGAAAGAGTCAGTACTATGTGTTATCAATCAGAGTGGGTGCAATAAACCGGGAGAAACGGTGGCTAGTGGCAGCCGTTTGCTTGAAGAAGAAGAAGGAATTACATCCATTGTGAAGGTAGATAGGCGAAAGAGCTTGATTAAGATGCTATATCTAGGCTGGGCTGCAGCGGGGGTTGGAGCATATGCAAATACACACAGCATGTTCAAAACTGATGGTCCATAACCTATATATACCTCGGCGCATATCCATTGCCACGCCGCCCCTTCAAATGATCCAAACGCCAACACATTCTGATTACATCTGATACCAAATGCAGCATTAAATAAATATTTGAGCTTGAATCCAACTTACGTATGTCGCATACGACATAGCGATCTGAAGCTTGGTGAACCTTGTTACCAGCTGTATCTGACAACATGCCTTTTTCATCCGGTGAGCCAACCCAGGCAATTAGAGCTTTACTTGTCAAGCCCGAAGCACACCCAGCTTGGAACGAGAACTCAGAGAGAATGGATCCATTATAGAACCGGCATATCTCTAGGCTTACTGCATAGTTAGTTATGAGGCCTAGAATGCTGATGCTTGTTCGACCTTTGGCCGCCGCGCAAGCTCTGCTTTTGCTCAGCTCTGTAGGCAAAATAGGCAGAAAGCAAAAAAAGGAGAATATGGCAAGGAATATTATTTGCACAGATGATCCCCTGCAGGTTATAGAGTCTACGTGCACGGTACAGTGTGTAAATCTGTGGTGCAACATAACATTGAACAGTTAGTTTGCCAGTTTCCAAGCAGTGGACTTCTCTGCAAGTTTGTATCCCCTGACCACGATCTGTTCCCGGAGACCACTAAAATTTTAAGTAGTGCTTTTTGGGCGCAGTCTTCCTCAGCATACTCAAGCTCAACTGACAACGGGTGAATTTCCCGAAACACTGTGTTTTGAGCATGGCGTGGTGCTTTCTTGCAGGTTTCCCGAGTGCAAGGTTCGTTGCACTTACCGTGTGCTGTTCACTTCTCGTGTGCTCTGGATGGCAAGTCTCAGTCAAGCAAGAACGTGCAAGCAGCCAATCCGGTTACTGCAGTGTGAGAGTTCCAAGCGCTAATCAACGATATATTGTGGTGTAAACTTGGTCAAGAAACGATAGAGTCATGCATACGTCCACACTCCCTAATCTTTTTGCATTGCAAAGATGTTTCTATCAGTTGAAATAACGCACAAGACGACCTAGGTAAAAACAATAGCCTATACTAGGGCTCCTGGGCATTCAAGTCCTGTTGTTTTAGGTAGGTTACTGGTAAATCTGAAAGTGAAAGATTAAGCACAACACTGGCCGGAATGATACTGGAATATCCTTTCATAACTGAAAACCTCTCTCCTTTTTTCAAATAATTGTAATCCTTTTTTTAAATTTCAATCCTTGCCTCTCCACCCTAGTCTTAAAGTTATACCTTTAAAAATTGCTCACCATCATATCGGCAACTGATATTGCTAGGCATCGCGGTAGATTGCATTTGATCATATCGCTTTGGGAGGCAAGCTGGAAAACAGGAAAACACATTGAAATCATGAAATCAATGGTGTTCTTGTTGTTGTTTATTTTACTTCACCAAATGAACAGTTTGGAGAGCGAGTGACGCCGCTCGGTCATGGCCGTCAGCTTCGGCTGGCCCATGGGTAATGTCTTCTTCGCCAGGAAACAGGCAAGCTTGTGGAAGTATTTTGAGTAGTGGAGCAAAAGGCGAGGGCTTGTTTCGCATTGGTACGTTCAACGTCCGTGGACTTACTTCAAATTTCAAAAAAAATCAACTTATTTCAGACCTCAATAAATACAGAGTTGGACTCTGCTGTCTTCAGGAGACTAAAATCTCCGAAGGCTACGATGGAAATATTGACAACTACCGTCTACTGTGTCTCTCGTCGTCGTGTCGACATTATGGACTCGGATTCGTGGTGGAAAAGCAGTTACTGCACCGAATATATAGATATTGGCAGGTGTCGGACCGTATCGCCGTGCTACAGTTATGGCTCTCCGGGAGAACGCTGTGCTCATTTGTAAATGTCTACGCCCCGACGTCAACACGCGTTGCAGCAGACCATTCATGCCTAGACGAGTTCTACAACAGCTTGCTGGAAACAATTCAAAAACTAAGGTCTTCATCGCTGCTGTTCCTGATGGGAGACTTCAACGCAAAACTTGGGAAACGACCACCCAGTGACTGCCACTCCGTATCCTATGCTGGTTCACACTCAAGGGGCCATCGCAACTACAGCGGCCAGACTTTGGCTGATTTCGCGTCCAGCAATTACCTATTTGCCTGTAACACGGCGTTTCAGCACCGTGCAGAACATATCACCACATGGACAGGCTGGCGCCACAACCCTAGTGGAGGTCCACCTTTACCCATTTACAACCAAATAGATTATATCCTTTGCCGTCACAGTGAAAGGTTTGTGGTGACGGATGCCAGATCATACGCCGGGACAAGCTTAGAAAGCGATCACCGTCTTGTGCTGGCAAACCTCAACCTGACTAAGTTGTACAAGAAGCTCAAGAGGCCGCCAGTAGCCATATCCAGCAACGCAAAATTCAATATATCCGAATTTAGTGACCCGACCAAGAAAGCAAAGTACAGAGAGGCTATCAACGAACATCTACAGGACCTCGGCAGAGAGCAGGAAGGTGTCAATGCGGAGCAACATCTGCAGTATATTGTGAACGCTATGAGTGAGGCAGCAAACACATCGGTGGGCCGCGTCCCTAAAACAAACAAGACGCATAGAAATGGCTTCAGCGGGGAAATTGAAAAGCTAGCAGCAGAGAAACGCAAACTGCGTCTCGACATTACGGTGTGCAGAGATGGAACGAAGGTAAAAGAAATGAAGACGCGACGCAACAGGCTGGCACACCAAATTCGCCGGGAATGCCTCAAGTTAGCATCGACTCGACTGGACGAACGTGTAGCTGAAATAGACCAAATGAAAGACGACGCGAAAATGTTCAAAGCAACACGACTACTGCGCCGACAGCAGCAGTCACCAGTTGTGGTTGAAGACTCTGATGGCAAACTCATTGCACAACCTAGTGAATCAGTCGAAGCATTAAGGCAACACTTCCGTGCTATATTCTGTGATCCTGCTCTGGAGTCATCTAGGCTCTTACGGACAGAGGAAGACCTTAAAAACCCTATAAAGCAGCCAGAGGTACATGCCGCAGCTAAGCGCTTGAATAATGGCCGAGCTTCGGGACCAGATGGGATACCTGCTGAACTTATCAAATATGGAACACCAGCACTGTTCTCGAACATTGCCACTACATTCAACAATTATGCCAAAGACAAATCACTCAAGCTAGGCGATGGGCTACTGATCCCGATACCAAAGCCGGGAAAGAAAAGAGGTCCTCCTGGAAATGTAAGGCCAGTTACCCTGTTGAACACCCTACGTAAACTTCTTTCATTGGTCATCCTGACGCGGATCAAGCCAGCTATCAACGGGTACTTGTCACTGAACCAGAGCGGGTTCCGGTCAGGGAGAAGTACTGGAGACGTGGTATATAGCTATCGGTGGTTATCAGCAAGATGCCAGCGTGTTGCGTCGGAGATCTCAATCTTAGGCATTGATATGTCAAAGGCATTTGACACTATATCAAGGGTCAGGCTGATCGATGTACTGTCAACAGTCATTGATCATGATGAGCTGCACATCATCCAGTGCCTTCTGACAGACACCACAATAAAAGTAAAGCTGAATAACATTCTCAGCCAACCATTAGTCACACACAATGGAACCCCACAAGGTGATTCTCTATCGCCAGTCCTGTTTACTGTCTACCTCGAGGCTGCATTGAGGTTGATTCGAGAGCGACTCTCACCGCGACCAGCATTGGATATTCAGCTTCAATTGCCCAATGAAACAGCGTATGCGGATGACGTAGACTTCATCAGCACCAGCCTACAATATTTGCATGACAATCAACCCATACTATCATCCTCGTTAGCGGAATACAATCTAAAAATGAATGAAGCCAAAACCGAATATACTACAATTAAAAGAGAAAAGGACAGAGTAGACGAGCGATGGCGGAACACGGTCAAACTAGGATCGATGCTTGGAGTGGAGGAAGATATCAGTCGGAGAAAACGTCTAGCAACATGCGCCTTACATCAGCTGTGGGTGATATGGCTAAGAGGTAACCATGCCCGTGAACCCCTTCGGATTAGGTTATACGGCAGCTTTATTCTCCCAATACTTCTTTATAACTGCGGCACATGGAGCCTGACAGAGACTCAAGAAAAGAAACTTGACTCGTTCCACCGCCAGCAGTTACGAGCAGTCATAGGGGTCAAATATCCCCGTATAATACGCAATGAAGCACTGTACAAGCGCACTGGCTCCAAGCCACTCAGCAGAATCATCCAGTCTGCTAGGTGGAGAATGTTTGGCCACATGCTTCGACTAGACACCTCATCCCCGGTCCAGCAGGCTATGTCGGCATACTTTCAGCCAGGAAGCTCAGGGTTCCGAGGCCGCCCGAGAACAACACTCCCGCGATCCATCAACAACGACCTGAAAAATTCCAGATCCACAAACTCCCTCACATCACACGAGGATCTAGTTGCACTGAGGCAGCTCGCCCAGGATCGTCGAAAGTGGAAGGATCTAATGTGTGCTGTGTGTAATGGCTGAAGTTATACAATTACACTAGATACCCTTAACAATAATAACGGATACAATTACACTAGATACCCTTAACAATAATAACGGATACAATTACACTAGATACTCTAGATACTAGAGACTCGGTACTCTAGATACTAGATACTCTAACAATTTTATCAAACATTATGATAATTACCACATCAAATGCTGCGGAGACCTATCCAGAATCGGCAATATGCTGGCCCTGGCCTGGAGATCTGCAACTATAATCAGCTTCTACTTTGCAACACTAACGGATTAGTCCCCTTTGTCGATTGATGGATCAATCGGTAGATTCGGCTCTGTTTTTCTTCCCTTTCTTTCTTGTTTTGAATTGTACGTTGAACTCATTGGATTTCTTTGTATTCTGTATCTCGTTATCGTTATATTTCCCTCTAGCCCTCTCGCTTAGGATGAGCTTTCTTTTTTATGGCAGCTTAAGCGAAGGCTATATACCTGCTTTATGCAGGTTGATGCCAACGCGAACAAGCAAAATAATAAATAATAATAATAAATGAACAGGCAGAGATGCCTTCTCACCTGCCCATAGGACAGGTTCTCAAAGAATGATGAAGGGGTGATATGCAAGGGAAAAGGAGAAATGATAATAATATAAGACAGAAAGGACCAAAAGAAGAAAAGGAAAAATTATATGAAGACAATTTCATAGAGTCAGAAATAGAAAGACAATAATTTCATGGAGTCAAAGAATAGAAAGACAGTTTCATGGTTGATTTTATAGACATGCATGACAAATGATTGATAGATGAACGATAAGGTTGGAATTTATGGCAGATAATAAAAGTTTAACGAGGATATTCACAAAGTAAGTATATCAATGGCAGGAAGAGCTTTTCGGAAGGGACCAGGGACACCTACCACTCTAAAATCAGAGGGGAGAGCGCTCCAGAGAATGCTTCCCCGAAAAATCATGGTCGATCGTCCCGCAGCAGAATGTAACCTTACACCGTATACAACTAATCTACCTGGGAATAATAATTTTAATATAGCTGTGAATAGGATGAAGGCCGCAGACATCACGCAACTACGTTACTTGTTTGACATGTATTTACTGTGTATTTTATAAAAAAAGTATTATTGAAAACCCAGAATCGATTTTCTTGTTCCTATCATCAGTGGAAAAAAAATGCGGAACTAAGGATACAACCAAAGAAACTGAAATTAAATACTGTAAATAGAAAGGTGTTAGAAATAACAAGATACAAGTGCAATAAAACCACTAGAGGAAACGCAAAAAGGTAACAAGATTACGAAACCAAAGGCGAGAAGGCACTAAACGAAGTGTCAACCTACGAATACAACTTCAGTGCAACAACGTGCTCCTTCTGCTTACACAAAACAGGCTTATGAATACGTATACAAACTGCCTCAAGGACTTTCAACTGTTGGACATAACGCGCACGACACAGTACAGAAAATCATACACACTAAAACAGTCAGGACGAGATAACAAGTGTAGATACACAACTGACTTCTTACGACAAACACATTCATCAGCCTCATCTCGCTGCTTGCCACCCGACTCATCCTCGTCCATCACATCATCCTCTTCCGCGTTCCGCTCGTCATCCTCACGATCATTATCACTACCATCATCTGCCTCGTCCTCTGGTTCCTCACCAACCGTTTCGTCATCCAATTGCTTTTCCATCCTCTGATTACCGTCTCATCCTCCGTTTCTGTACAGACCACTTGTCTCCCATTTGTTAGCTGCTCGTCCCGTGAGCGGGGTTGTTCCTCCAGATCCGCTTCACTCACTGACTCATGATCCTGCTCGACCTTCCTTCTATTGGTATTGTCCACAATGAGCGGTCCTAGGTCATTCCTGGCATAAATATCTGTGGAGTAGTTTGCTGTTGCCCTCCGAGGTCTCTGGATTAATGTTAGTGCCGTGGCAATTCGTTTGAGAGTTGGTGATGCCAGCGCGGGTGTAGGTGGGTCCACCGCTGCCCCCGCCACCAGAAGAGCCGTTGGCGGTTCTGGTGGTGGCAAGGGCAACGGTGGTGCTGCTGGAGTTGGTAACTTCGGCAGCCAAGCCCTCTCACACGGTACCGCATTTTGTGTTGGCTCAGTCTGTACCACTGGCGCAGGGGGTGGGTTCTTGCGCGGTCGGCCACGCTGCGGCCGCTTGGATTTAGCTGCATCCGGCAGAATATGCAGCGGTACATGCTGTTTGATACGCGGGGTCAGGTGTTGAAGGGTCCTACCAACGTACCGGCTACCATAATTCCGGCACTCAAATTGGTAAACCAAATGGCTCAAAAGATGAGATGGTAGGACGTCCTTTCTCACCATGAACGCACGTATCCTCGTGAATGCAGGAATGAAGTGTGCTGCGAAGTATGTTTTCAGTACTAGCGTCTTGACTGCGCGGCACATGGTCAGCGATGTGATTCCTTTCCAAGGCAAAAAAGATAAATAGGGCATCGAGCAGGACCAACGCTCACTTTTTTCGATTTGTATGCTGTCGATTTGTATGCTTAGTATATTGAGTATATTAGTATATATGCTTAGTATATTGAGTACATCTTCAGGGTATCCGTTCTTTAGAAACACAGACTCCTCGCTGAGTTTACTCGGTGAGCAAATGCGCCGTGCCCTGTCAACTAGGTTCCGCACCAAATTCACATTGTACTGGTAGGAGCAGTACGAATCGTACATAATATACTGCCCCGTGAACGTCGGCTTTCTGTGTACGGAGGTAATGATATCATCATTCGATTTCTCAACCAATACGTCAAGAAACGAGAGTTTGTTGTCGTGCTCCAGCTCGCATGTGTATTTTAGAGACGGATGTAAGCTATTCAGATGATGAAGGAAGTGGTCGCACTGCTCCGTGGAATCAAAATACGTAAACGAGTCATCAACGAACCGGACATACATCTCAGGCCACAGCGACGCATCAATCAAGGACTCACAGTAACCAACAAAAATGTTTTCGAGCACTGGACCAAGCGGAGAGCCCGTGGCTACTCCATCCACCTGTCAGTTTCATTGATTGCGGTTACATTTTATTTGTTATCACATTATAAAAAATTCACACAAATTGAGTGTCAGCATACACACAATGTCATAACAATCATTTCTATAGTAATAATCATACCGCTTGCATGTCTTTATCTCTATACATTTCCTCATATAATATTCTTCATCTTTCTGTGAGAACCGGACCTATTGGCCGGTAAGAAGGCAATCATGCCTGTGCAATTGGTGAAGTAAAATAAAAGTCAACAACAACAACAATCTGTTGATACATAACATCATGAAACGAAAACTCTACGCCCGATTTGTGAGATCGAAGCATGGCATTTTTGCGTCCTGAAGCTAGCCGTGCCCCGGCCACCGGGTAACATAGTTGATCTTAAGGTGACTCGTTACTCTCGCCCTAGAGAATCATTAAGATTATCGTGGTGACTAACGTATAGATCGTCGTGCTCTCTGATCACTTACGTATTTCGCATGTAGCGTACAGCTTCACCCCTAAATCATATTTGCTAGCGTTAATCGACATGGCTTGATTGTTGGCCGGCAAGCCCATCCAGGCATAGAGGGGACCCTCCAATTGGCGATAGGCGCACCCATCAGAAACCGACTGTGTGGAAATAATCATTCCCGTATACAGTCTGCAGAGCTGGCTTGCAAAACTGTAGTTCAGCAGATTGTATGATGACACAATTATACTATTAGTTTGCTGACAATAACGGTATTTGGTCGGCGGTGAAGCTGCAGTCATCGACAAAACACAGCAGGCAAGCAGAGAGACTGTTGCAAATGCATGCAAAACACTCACAAACACATCCATTCACACATTTACATCCACCAACACCGGATAGGCTAACACGATTATGGTTGAACACCTGATGTTCAAGAATCAGGTAAATCCTGACTGCAAACTTGGCAATGCTGGGAATCCGAATTTAATAGCTTTGCCGTTAAGTGTGCACCATCAATGCAGTGCATGGTTGCAGCAGTAGCTGGCAACCTGCAAAAGTACGACCGGGTTTCAAGAGGGGGGGGGGGGGGGGGATTAGGACAGTGACAACACATTAAAGTATAACAGCAGAGAGTTACTGCTGACCGGCCCTCAGCCTCCATTCACCTGTGAAGCTCATAAGGGGTTTACTTCTACCGGCCGCACACGTAAAGTAAAGTTCACATTCGACATAAGGCTGGTTTCTGAATACTTACGATAGCATGACGGCGTTTCACTGGTACTCAAACGACCGAAGCCATTACAAGTAATCGAGGGATTGCCCAACAGGAAGTACCCGGTGTTGCATGAGTATACGCCAGATTCATTAGCGAACAATCCTGAGAAACCTGGCCGGCCATCCGGTATCACAGGAACAAGGCAGTCGAAAGCTGGAAATAAAATATAAAACCGAGCATTGTATTACTATTACATAATATGGATACACGGCATGATGGAGTATATGGAGCATCTTTCCATAGCGAAAATAAAATGTTAAAGGGGAAGTGCATCGATTTTTCGAGTATGGTCCAGAAGAAAGACAATTTGATATCGGTTCGAATGGCATATCTCTCACTTCCATACGATAAGCCAATCTTGCTAAATCGCCAATTGTATACTAACGTTGCCATAGCGACCAGCGCAGTGATGACGTACGAAAGGCTTAGCTCCACCACAGAGAAGGTCGATCACTGCAGAATTTGGTCATTTTCAATTGGTTTATTGTATTCACGAAGTGAAAGAAGGGCTGTGTTCAATGCTGTTAGTGCAGTGAGCTGTTTGTTAGTAGTCCTCTGTACTGGGACGTGACACCGACAGGAGAAAGCAGACAAGCGAGAATAGTGACGAACCAAATGCTGAAATCTTGGTTGGGACAAATCAGACGTTAAGCATTTCCCCCAACCAAGGACCATGCCGTTTGCTCTTTCCACTTCCTGAAGATGAATGTGATTCTTCCTGGTGACTCTCCTATCTCTCGTAACATCTTCTGAAGCCAGGTGAGACGACGGGTGGTGGAGATTGACGAATGAAATAATGCCGTAGGTTTGAAAGTTTGCTGAAAATGTCTCAGGAGAGATGGCGAAGTCCAAGCATCTTGTCCTGGAGGAAACCATTTCCTAGGCACAGTCAGCCTAGGGAAATGCACGAGAAGGGCGACAAATAGTTCACAGCACTAACAGCATTGAACATAGCACTTCTTTCACATCGTGAATACAATAAGACATATGAAAATGACCAATTTCTGCAGTGATCGACCTCTGTGGTGGAGCTAAGCCTTTCGTACGTCATCACTGCGCTGGTCGCTATGGCAACGTTAGTATACGATTGGCGATTTAGCAAGTTTGGCTCAGAGATATGCCATTCGAACCGAAATCAAATTGTCTTTCTTCTGGACCTTACTCGAAAAATCGATGCACTTCCCCTTTAAATCCACAGGAGAACAGGCGTGAGTGTAGATGATATACAGAAAAGTCAAATGTCACCTTTACATAAAAACTGATACACTGTAACTTGATGTGCAACGAAAGACTTGGCACTTAACAACAGTTGCGACGCTGGAGCTTGCCAGTGGCAGGCCCACCTTGCGTATCACCGGCTCCCACACCAACACCAACAGCGCAATCTACAGCAACCACAACTAATCCACCATGCAATCCCACTATTCAAAGACCAAGACAACCAACAGCCAACTACAACAGAAGCTACGCATTCAACGACCAAGGGCGAAAGGAGGGACGTGACAGCACGTTGACTGGCTTGGGAAGTCACTGCTTCGCTAAATACTGGTTGAATAGTAAATTTTGAATACTGAATACTGATTGAATACTAATGTTTTTAAGAAACACTGTCAGCACATAAGGCTGGTTTTAGTATTGACATACATAGAGATTCGTGCTTTGAATAAAAGACTGATTTGAATAGATGCCTGACTTGAACATCTCTATGAAACGGAAACATTTGCTCATCTATCTCAATCATGAAAAACTTCACCTAAACCTGACAGAAGAGAGGTTTTCAACAGGATTCAAGAACTAAATATTGCGACAGAGCTTTCGGCTATATTTTCAATTCATTGCACTCCCAACTCCTCACAACCACGCGCTCTTCAGCCGAACCATTCAGACACCAGGAAGGACACTTCCGTTGAGAGATAATATTGTTCCACGCCTCTAGACAGCCGTTTCGCTCCCTGTCGGAGCTCATCAGTAGAGGATGATAATGATGATAATGGAGGAATGATCATTCTTATGCACCAGAAATGGCGCAAGTGCGCGCTTTCCACATATAACAATGGCATATGCAAGCTGCTAAAATGGTAAAGTGTGAGAACAGCGATAAATATTCATTCATATTCATAGTACGCGCTCATTGGTGGAGAAACACACCACACAGGCGACGAAAATCTTACGCGGAATACCGATGCCAATGGAAAGTACATGTATGTTGTTTATTATCATGATGTTGCAATGTCCATGTATGCAGGCGAGGCGAGACTCACCGCCGAGATCCCCCAACGCGACAGGCTCGGTTGCCGTTCAGGATTTACACCGACCTGACCGCCCGTCAACAGGATCGACAGCGGGAGGCCCCACTGATGCCGATGTCGATGCACACCAGGAAACTTGTAGTCGTGAGTGTGATACTAACAGGTCTAGTAGCAACCACTGACAAACGAGAGGCCAGCTGGGGCATTCAATCCAGTCAGGGCTGCTTGGTCGACGCTTCGTATCTGCAGCTCAGCTCAGTTTGATCAAACAAAGATGTTGCAGATGTGTCTTGCTTTTCTCCTTCCTTCTTCACCGACTCGTCTTGTCATCTCTCCTTCTTTCGTCACCGACTTGTCGTGTCCACTCTGCTCTGCCACTAACGGCGCATTAAAACTTCAGAACTAAATATTGCGACAGAGCTTTCGGCCATATTTTGAATTCATTGCACTCCCAACTCCTCACAACCACGCGCTCTTCAGCCGAACCATTCAGACACCAGCAAGGACACTTCCGTTGAGAGATAATATTGTTCCACGCCTCTAGACAGCCGTTTCGCTCCCTGTCGGAGCTCATCAGTAGAGGATGATAATAATGATAATGGAGGAATGATCATTCTTATGCACCAGAAATGGCGCAAGTGCGCGCTTTCCACATATAACAATGGCATATGCAAGCTGCTAAAATGGTAAAGTGTGAGAACAGCGATAAATATTCATTCATATTCATAGTACGCGCTCATTGGTGGAGAAACATACCACACAGGCGACGAAAATCTTACGCGGAATACCGATGCCAATGGAAAGTACATGTATGTTGTTTATTATCATGATGTTGCAATGTCCATGTATGCAGGCGAGGCGAGACCTCCATTCTCCATTATCATCATTATCATCCTCTACTGATGAGCTCCGACAGGGAGCGAAACGGCTGTCTAGAGGCGTGGAACAATATTATCTCTCAACGGAAGTGTCCTTGCTGGTGTCTGAACGGTTCGGCTGAAGAGCGCGTGGTTGTGAGGAGTTGGGAGTGCAATGAATTGAAAATATGGCCGAAAGCTCTGTCGCAATATTTAGTTCTGAAGCTTTAATGCGCCGTTAGTGGCAGAGCAGAGTGGACACGACGAGTCGGTGACGAAAGAAGGAGAGATGACAAGACGAGTCGGTGAAGAAGGAAGGAGAAAAGCAAGACACATCTGCAACATCTTTGTTTGATCAAACTGAGCTGAGCTGCAGATACGAAGCGTCGACCAAGCAGCCCTGACTGGAGTGAATGCCCCAGCTGGCCTCTCGTTTGTCAGTGGTTGCTACTAGACCTGTTAGTATCACACTCACGACTACAAGTTTCCTGGTGTGCATCGACATCGGCATCAGTGGGGCCTCCCGCTGTCGATCCTGTTGACGGGCGGACAGGTCGGTGTGAATCCTGAACGGCAATCGAGCCTGTCGCGTTGGGGGATCTCGGCGGTGAGTCTCGCCTCGCCTGCATACATGGACATTGCAACATCATGATAATAAACAACATACATGTACTTTCCATTGGCTTCGGTATTCCGCGTAAGATTTTCATGTCCTGTGTGGTGTGTTTCTCCACCAAGGATTCAAGAGTTGTAAATATTGGCACGGTGCTGTTTCCACTATTGAGATAACCAGTGAATAACTAGAATCATTTGGGAAGAAAATTCAGTGACGAACAGGATAAAAACCTGCCGCGTGCTCTTTAAATACTGATATGTATGCAACTCACCCCTACAATAGGGGACTGAGGATAGAGTTCCATGCTCCGTGCACATTGGAGTGGCATCTCCCACTATACCATAACCTTGCTTGCAGGAATATGTAGCACGATCTGTCCATTGAATCTCAGACCCGTTGACAAAGCCATTCGCAATGGTAGGGACGGAGCAGTGAACAGCTGCAAACGGAGTGTAGACAACAGAGATACAGCAAGCTAAAAGTCTCCTTCACAAATCAAATAGACTGCCACCCGCCATATGCTGTGAGCCTAGCCACACCTGGTTCCGTGCCCTCTCAAGAGCTGCATGCTTGGTAATTTGTAAATTTTTCCCGCATATATTCATTTGCGGAGATCAGCACACAACATGACAACTTGCTAGAGGTTAATAATGTGAATTCATCTCCGAAACAGATTTTCAAGTTCCAATCATCAGTGAAAAACTGAACTGAAGCCAAAAGGCGAACGCACCAAGATAAAACATCCAAGAGAGTGATAGACATTTTTTTACTTTATTTTTTTATTCCAAGCAATACGTGGCTGGGGTAGCCAATGACCACTTTGCGTGGCGATTGCAGGGTTTTTATAGCCAACCATGGCTAAATAATGGCTACGTGCTGATACATGGCACATGGCGACTACCGATTTGGCACAGTTTTTACTTGTTCACGGTGAAACATTTACGATAGCTCATAGTGAAGAGCTACGCCGACCCAAGGACTTAGCAGAAAGCGAAGACGGCAAGACAACTGCGCTGAAACTGTGAAAGCAACTTTTTGCCTTTCCGCTCGCGCGTGCGATTCTATTCAGCGGAGGTGTCAACGTGTCACCGTCGATCGATTTTGATCGCCGATCGGTGGTACGTGGGTCGATTTGGCCAGGGTTTTCTTCTACAGGAGCGGTAGTAGACTGGATCTCCAATAGAAAGAATGACTGAGCTCCAAAGAAGTCGCGTATCGCCAAAAAACGAACAGTTTCAAGTTCGATCCGAACGTGACACCTGAGAATCAGCTGATTAACTTCAAGTGCGGTTTTCTCAAAATCACGTGCAGCAGGATAAGGTCCCTTTTCGCTTGCGCCGGCTCAGTTAAGGAGTTGGATTTTCGGCCAGGTTTCCGGCCTTTCCCATGGTTTGCACTTTGCCCAGGAAGCCAGTATCGATTTTTTATCAAAACGCACGATTTATCCCTTCCTTTTTGGCCTTGTGGGTATGAATGCTGTCTTCTGACCATGAAGTTGTGAGTTCTAATCCCAACCTATCCTCAAGTCAAACTTGTTTTCATTGTTTTGGTGATCAAGCTGGTACAAGACAAAGAAGATGGCTGCACCAAACGACTTGTTGGAGCTCGCGCTTCCGGCCAAACTGACTGACACTTGACTGGCTCACGTCATGTGAACACACCCACAACACTGCAATGGTGGGAGTGAATTATAATGGAAGTCATCGCGCTGTAGCTTTTGAGATTTATTTTAGTATGTCAAGATCGCCAATTTATTTGAATTTAGCAGTCAACGCCGTCTTCTATCAGCGTTCACAAGCGTCTGCTTTTCTCAACAAAATGTCGTCGAAGTCACACTGTTAGCTTTGCCAAGCCATGGCCTTGGGAATGAGTCCCTGTCGATGTCGTTTTCGTCAAACCGTGAGTAAATTGCATCGCAGCTCAAATAAACTATTTTGGTCACAAAACGAATTGGGACCCATGCCGCTCGTCAACATTTACAACACTTTCGTTTCGACATGTCCTCTCTGACTCCATTGTCGATACGAGGAAGAACTCGTTTGTTGTAAACCAGACGTACATGACTGTATCAACGTGAGTGAGTTGAGTGAGTTGTCATTTTTCCTGTTTTGCGCGGAATATTTCTTAGAGTTCACAGTGAGTTTTTCCAGGCAGCGCTCGAGTGCTCATACGGTAAGACGCCAAACTCCGCGGGCGATTGCAAATATTTTTGAAACGGACTGTAGACACACACACACACACTCTCACACATACACACACACTTTCTCTCTCTCACACACACACACACACATACACACACACACACTCACACACATACACACACACATATACCCCCTCCCCCCACCCTTCCCCCCCCCCACCCTTCCCCGCCACACACCCGTACATTATTATATACCCCCGTCATATTATTATCTTTATTCTCACGATAGCAGTAGCCAATAAGAGAGAGATAGCACTATGTGTTATCAATCAGAGTGGGTGCAATAAACCGGGAGAAACGGTGGCTAGTGGCAGCCGTTTGTTTGGGTGAAGAAGGAAGTGTATCCATTGCGAAGGTAGATAGGCGAAAGAGCTTGATTAAGATGCTATATCTAGGCTGGGCTGCAGCGGGGGTTGGAGCATGTGAGCTTGATTAAGATACTATACCTAGGCAGGGTTGCAGCGGGGTTTGGAGCATGTGCAAATACACACAGCATGTTCAAAACTTATGGTCTATTATATACCTCGACGCATATCCATTGCCACGCCGCCCCTTCAAATGATACAAACGGCAAAACATTCTGATTACATCTGATACCAAATGCAGCATAAAATAAATATTTGAGTTTGAATCCAACTTACGTATGTCGCATACGACGTAGCGATCTACAGCTTGTTGAACCTTGTTACCAGCAGTATCTGACAACATGCCTTTTTCATCTGGTGAGCCTACCCAGGCAATTAAATCTTGACTTGTCAAGCCCGAAGCACACCCAGCTTGGAAGGAGGACTCAGAGAGAATGGATCCATTATAGAACCGGCATATCTCTAGGCTTACTGTGTAGTTGGTTACGAGGCCTAGAATGCTGATGCTTGTTCGACCTTTGGCCACCTGGCAAGCTCTGCTGTTGCTCAGCTCTGTAGGCAAAATAGGCAGAAAGCAAAAGAAGCAAAATATGGCAAGGAATATTATTTGCACAGATGATCCCTTGCAGGTTATAGAGTCTACGTGCACGGTACAGTGTGTAAACCGGTGGTAAAACATAACATTGAACAGTTAGTTTGCCAGTTTCCAATCAGTGCACTTCTGCAAGTTTGTATCCCCTGACCACGATTTGTACCCGGAGAGCTCTATAATTATAAGTGGTGCTTTTTGGGCACAGTCTTCCTCAGCCTACTCAGGCCCAACTGAAGACGGGTGAATTTCCCGAAACACTGTGTGTTGAGCATGGAGTGGTGCTTTCTTGCAGGTTTGCCGAGTGGAAGGTTCGATGCACTTACCGGGTGCTGTTCACTTTTCGTATGCTCTGGATGGCAAGTTTCAGTCAAGCAAGAACGTGCAAGCAGCCAATCCGTTTACTGCAGTGTGAGAGTTCCTAGCGCTAATCAACTATATATTGTGGTATAAACTTGGTCAAGAACCGATAGAGTCATGCATACGTCCACACTCCCTAATCTTTTTGCATTGCAAAGATGTTTCTATCATTTGAAATAACGCACAAGACGACCTAGGTAAAAACAATAGCCTATACTAGGGCTCCTGGGCATTCAAGTCCTGTTGTTTTAGGTAGGTTACTGGTAAATCTGAAAGTGAAAGATTTAGCACAACACTGGCCGAAATGATACTGGAATATCTTTTCATAACTGAAAACCTCTCTCCTTTTTTCAAATAATTGTAATAATTTTATTTAATTTTAATCGTTGCCTCTCCACCCTAGTCTTAAGAGGTCAGCCTACCCATAAATTTCATATGGCATTCAATTGACCTTAACGTTGGTGTTTCTCAATGGATTTGAGTGACATTTTGACCACACACCCCTGCCACTATGCTGGACCTCAGGACATGATTTACAAGTTCTTGCACCTCACTGACAGGCTTTCCAGGCCCGAAAAAATGTCCGGCAAATTTCCGTCATAGTGCCACGGTGTGCGAGCGACCCAGGAGCCAAACAAATGCATTTACAATTTTTTCACATTTTCGTGCCCATTCTGTCCGTGCGCAGGACCCAAACCTAAAACAAGTCCAGAAGCAGTCCATGGGTGGTGGGGTAGGGCCCTCAACGTGGCCCTGGAATCTGTCACAACGGAACGAGTGGGCGTTCTCTCACAGACTCCCACAGACCCAAGTCAATTTTTGAATTTTATAAGGTTTAGCACATGCTACGAGGTCGTACCTTTGATACACCATCCATTGCTGGGACGTCCACAGCAAGCCATTTCCACAGCGCTGCACACCAAATCCAGGATACCCTCAGAAACCGGCAAAGACTACCACTCACGTTCCACTACTGCCTAGTACTGAATCCTACCTGACTTCTTGACATGACTCAAACTTGCCAAAGTCACTAAATCAACGTCAACTACAATAACCAAGGCACATATCTGCAACGTCACGAGGGTGCTGGCAAAAGTCCTGCTGCACGGCTAAAAAACGTGATTTTTTGGAATTGGAGCAAAGTTCTGCACACTTTCGCGTGTTTCCATGATACGACAAGTTGCGCACGGTCTGCTCACATTCAAATACAGTGCTGCCAACAAATAACAGCGTGCAACGAAAATCTTTACTTGCAAAGGCACATTTTCGGCCATAACTCTTGAACGGCTGGTCAGATCGGGACACAAATTTCAGAGAATGTGCAGCTTATTATGCTCTTTCAACTGACGTAGCACTCAATATGAATTCGATTTTCAGCGAATTTTTGGGTAGTCTGCAACCTTAAAGTTATACCTGTAAAAATTGCTCACCATCATATCGGCAACTGATATTGCTAGGCATCGCGGTAGATTGCATTTGATCATATCGCTTTGGGAGGCAAGCTGGAAAACAGAAAAACACATTGAACTCATGAAATCAATGGTGTTCTTGTTGTCGTTTATTTTACTTCACCAAATGAACAGGCAGAGATGCCTTCTCACCTGCCAATAGGACAGGTTCTCACAGAATGATGAAGGGGTGATATGCAAGGGAAAACAAGAAATGCAAACAAGAAAACACACCCAGCGTGTACCTATCAGCAACACACTCGGCTTGTACATATCAGCAACACACCCAGCGTGTACCTATCAGCAACACACCCAGCGTGTACCTATCAGCAACACACCCAGCGTGTACCTATCAGCAACACACCCAGCGTGTACCTATCAGCAACACACCCAGCGTGTACCTATCAGCAACACACCCAGCGTGTACCTATCAGCAACACACCCAGCGTGTACCTATAAGCAACACACCCAGCGTGTACCTATCAGCAACACACCCAGCGTGTACCTATCAGCACCACACCAAGCGTGTTCCTATCAGCAACACACCCAGCGTGTACCTATCAGCAACACACCCAGCGTGTACCTATCAGCAACACACCCAGCGTGTACCTATCAGCAACACACCCAGCGTGTACCTATCAGCAACACACCCAGCGTGTACCTATCAGCAACACACCCGTCCATCTCGTGCGATTTTTAAAGCGTTTAAGACTGACGTCACGGCAGTGGAACCTCAAAAAAAGGCGCAAGTCATTTTTTCTGAAAAGAAAGCGAGCAAAAGTTTGCTAACCCTGCTGTGTCTGGTTGGACAACAGATTTTGCTTCAGCAGTATTTCTTTTGGGTAGTTCCTCTTAGTTTTGTTTCCAGACGGATTGTCTTTGAAATCTCCGGATTTTCCTTCTACATTGTAGATGGCTAAAGTCGCTGTCTCAGCGATGACTTGCAGTAGGCTCCCCAAGCGCCGTCTGAATCCCCCTACCAACAAAGTGAAGAGTTTTGCTAGAACTCTTGTTGTCACACACTGCATCTGGTAGTATTTCCTGCCCCAACCTCTAAGGGAGAATGTCTGAGAAAACGGGAATAGCTGGGCTGGACCATCTCTCCCATTTCGCTCAAAAATTACAAAAGGATTCGCCAAAATAGCCAAGTTTCAAGGGTCAAAGCGGGAACCATTTACGCCGTCTATTTTTTTCTATTTTTCTGAACCATGCACTGCAGGACAGTGGACTATCATCCAGGACATGTCGCGTAAAAGTGTTCCACGTTCTGGAAATAATCTACTGTAAAAGCCATTATTCTAACGAGCCGCTTATATAACGATTTCCCAAAATCGACTGGTTTACGTGTACCAAAGGTAAGGATTTTCACTTATTCTCAACACTCAATAGGATGAAAGGGTTTGCTCCCCACACTGGAGCTCGCGCTATTCCGCCGACTTTACTTGACACTTGACGACTTGACTCACGACTGCCATCCAGAGCACGCGAGAAGTCCATCGAACCTTCGACTCGGCAAACTTGCAAGAAAGCACCACTCCCTGCTCAATACACAGTGTTTCGGGGAATTCACCCCTCATCAGTTGAGCTTGAGTAGGCTGAGGAAGATTGTGCCTGAAGAGCACCACTTATATAGTGCTCTCCAGGCACAAACATCACCAGGGATAAAAACTTACAGAGACGCTCCATTTCCAGCGCGACAAACACCTCGTGAACACCAGATAGCAGCGTGAGTCAGTGTCGCTCCTGGACGGTGAGACCAGACGTTGAGGACCCTCGGTCATTCGCAGCGCTGTCATCTCCAAACCAACTAGTCGCAAGCCCGCGCTGGGCACTACAGTACGAAGTAGTGGTTGCGACTTCGGCGATGATTTGTAAGAAAGGGTTTGCTCCCCACACTGGAGCTCGCGCTATTCCGCCGACTTTACTTGACACTTGACTCACTCACGACTGCCATCCAGAGCACACGAGAAGTCCATTGAACCTTCGACTCGGCAAACCTGCAAGAAAGCACCACTCCCTGCTCAATACACAGTGTTTCGGGGAATTCACCCCTCATCAGTTGAGCTTGAGTAGGCTGAGGACGATTGTGCCTGAAGAGCACCACTTATATAGTGCTCTCCAGGCACAAACATCACCAGGGATAACACTGTGTATTGAGCAGGGAGTGGTGCTTTCTTGCAGGTTTGCCGAGTCGAAGGTTCGATGGACTTCTCGTGCGCTTTGGATGGCAGTTGTGAGTCAGTCAAGTGTCAAGTAAAGTCGGCGGAATAGCGCGAGCTCCAGTGTGGGGAGCAAACCCTTTCTTACAAATCATCACCGAAGTCGCAACCACCACTTCGTACTCAATAGGATGGTTTATGTATTGATTTCTGTATAACGATTTTTATTTTAACAACAGATTTCTCCTCATTTAGGCTGCAACCACACTACGCACAAAATCAAGTACGCGTTTGCGTTCAGCTTTTAGATAACGCAAAGTCGCATCCACACTGCCATTTCTTGCGCAAAGAATCCTTGCGTTTTGTCTACATTTCTGGGTCCCAGAAAAAATCGCGCTGTGAAAATGTATGTACTACATGTAGTAGTAGTTTGAAAAAGAGTCGCGAGCGCCTTGACATACACGTTCAAGGCCTCGGTCATCTCCTTCTCTCGGATGGTCCGCACGGACTGTCATCTGGCCCTGCTTCGTCTTCATGGTACGCTGCCCCAAGCTGCATGAGCTTCTCAATTCGAGATTATCAGCGAAATACAATAAAGTTGCGCGGCATCTCGAACTAACAACAGCAGGCAACGGGACTGTCCGGAAATTATACTAAAAGCAAAGCCCTGGCAGATGAAATCTCAAATACTACAAACTGCACTGACAAGGAAGCCGTCTACTACCGATACAGTGCAAGCCTCAACAAGAAACATCTACCCGTATGAAGAACCGAGCGAAACGCAAGGAAAAGGCGAAAAGTTGCTTTCTACAGGGGTACTGGTTCGCTGAAACGAAACGCAGTACGTTTTGCGTTTCGTACGCGTTTCCTTGACGACATAAGCAGAAAAGTTGCGTTTACGCAGTTTTGTACCTAGTGGTTGCAGCCTCACTCGTTAGAGTTTGCCCTTCGTTATAAATATGGCTTTTACAGTGTTTGAATATTTTCACTTCATCATATTGCTACATGGCCAATTTCTTACACGGCGATGGAAGATGGAAAGCGATGGAAAGCACCTCTTCAAGCTCCAATACCAGGCACCACTTCAGATGCCAGTACACCAACACTGCAGCGCAATTACCTCCATCGAGTCTGACAAAGAATTTGCACTGACAATCCTTGTAACTCCAAAGTATTTTTTCCTTGTAACTCCAAAGTATTTTCTTCCCCGAGGGACTTGAATTTCACTAGCAGTAAAGCTCTGCAGAAGTGCAAAAATGTTTTGGACAAACCTCGATTTGTGAGATCGAAGCATGGCATTTTTGCGTCCTGAAACTAGCCGTGCCTCGGCCACCGGGTAACATAGTTGATCTTAAGGTGACTCGTTACTCTCGCACCAGAGAATCATTAAGATAATCGTGGTGACTAACGTATAGATCGTGGTGTTCTCTGATCACTTACGTATTTCGCATGTAGCAGACAGCTTCACATCTAAATCATATTTGTAAGCGTTTATCGACATGGCCTGATTGTTGGCCGGCAAGCCCATCCAGGCATAAAGGGGGAGCTCCATTCCGCGATGGGCGCACCCATCAGAAACCGACTGTGTGGAAATAATCATTCCCGTATACAGTCTGCAGAGCTGGCTTGCAAAACTGTAGTTCAGCCGATTGTATGATGACACAATTATACTACTAGTTCGCTGACAATAACGGTATTCGGTCGGCGGTGAAGCTGCAGTCATCGACAAAACACAGCAGGCAAGCAGAGAGACTGTTGCAAATGCATGCAAAACACTCACAAACACATCCATTCACACATTTACATCCGCCAACACCAGATAGCCAAACACGATTGTGGTTGAACACCTGATGTTCAAGAATCAGGTAAATCCTGACTGCAAACTTGGCAATGCTGGGAATCCGAATTTAATAGCTTTCCGTTAAGTGTGCACCATCAATGCAGTGCATGGTTGCAGCTGTTGCAAACCACCAGTTCTCAATTGGGAAAGGCCTTCGCGCTTATGGCATTGTATTCGTCGCAATGTTGTCTTTCGACTCCGCCGTACCGCTGATGTTGCTGCATGGCATACGCTATATGCGCTGTGTGTGTTTTGCTGTATACGCTGTTATGTCCAGTTTTATATGCTTATGTTTTGCATGTACGCTGTTTTTTGCATGCTATAAATAGCTGGTGTTATTAGTGTTCATTGTTAATTATCAGATGAAGTGAAATATACTGTGTAAAGGAAAAGAGTTGTCCTCGTGCCGTGTGGTCGTACGATCCTGACAATTTAGAGAATCTTAGAGGGTTCATAACATTTGGCGACCACGCCAGGATAGGAGCGAGCATGGCAGAGCAACTACACAATTTGGAAGCCAGCTTTATCGACAATGGAGAGCGGTTAGGATTAGAAGGCGAGTTGTTGAAGGTGCATGTGGAGCAGAGGCTCCAACAGTACCAAGAGCGTGAGGAGCGCAGTGCCAGACGGCGAGAGGAGGTGTTCCGCACCGAGTTTGACAAAACACTAAAGGAGATTAACGAGCGCATCGCCAATGCGTATGAGGGTGATGGTAAAGCCGCGATGGGAGGTACAGAGGAAGCTCCCAGTAACAGCGGGGGGCGTCAACCGTTGATGAAAATCCCCTCATATGATGGAACGCAGCCATTGGAGCGTTATCTTGACCTGTTCGAGGACATCTGTTCCAAGAACGAGTTCGAAGAAAGCGAATGGCTGCTGCGACTGCGCATCGCGCTAGCGGGTAGCAAAGCGGAGAGGATATGTATTGGATGCAATAATTACGAGGAAGCAAAACGAGAGTTGCTTGCCTCGCTCGGAAAGACTCCGGATAAAGCGTGGAAGACATTGCTGACAGGCAAGCAGCGGTCAGATGAGTCGTTTAATCAATACGTTGTCCGTGTTTGCCGAGAGGTAGAGGTGTGGGCCACACTCGCTATGACAGAAGATGGCGAGGTGGACACCAAGTATAGCGCCGATATAGGTAAAATGTCCCCGGTGCTGCAAGCAATGGCAAAGCAGGTAATCTTGGAGCAATGCGGACCTGAGATGAAGACGTGCCTGGTCGAACGACAGTGCTACGGGATGTCACTGCGCCAGGTACAGGAGCACGGCGCGTCTTACCAGGTCGCGCACGGACGACAGGGTGATACTGCCAGGAAGCCAGTAGAACGACCCGTGCCAAGGCCCACTGCGTCGGCACAGTGCATGGCGATATCGGTCGCAGATGCAGAGAAGCAGCTAAAGTCGCTGCCACAGGAAGGGAGAAAGGGTTTTCTGCAGCGAGAGAGACTCTGTTGGAACTGCCTTAAGTATGGCCATATGGCCAGAGAATGTTGGTCAGGCTCGAGATGCACGAAATGCCAGAGGAAACACCACCTGCTAATACATGATGTGTTGGATAGAGCAGGTTACAGCCGGGAGAAACCGACTGAGATAGTTACGGAGAAGAATGTTGGGTCGTGCTGTCTACACTCGCCAAGTGTGCGGCTGATGACCGGAGTGGCACGAGTTGAGGGAAGAACTCGAAACGCGAAGGTTCGCGTGTTCCTGGACTCGGGTGCTGAGGCGTCATTCGTGACTGCAGCGTTGGTGTCAGCAATCGATGCAGAACACGTTGGGGTTGAAAATGTAGAGGTGAAGCCGTTCGGCGCGGAACCAACCCAACAGCGCATGGATAAGTACGCCATCACGCCATCACGATCCCACGCCATCACGATCCAGGGTAGCTCCGCTAGCATTCGGGTACGCGCGTTCGTGAAACCAACGCTTGAGCTGGACTTGAAGTGCGCAAGTCCGCAGACCATTGCGCAGTGGCACAGTTGGGGAGTAGAGCTGAGTGACAAGCCTCAACAAGGGACATCAGACGAAATACATATGCTGATTGGTGCAGACTATATCAACGCGGTACTGCACAGCAAGAAGGAAGTTAATGGTGAGACGGTGTGGAACACAGAGATAGGTAATGTATTATCTGGTCCAGCGTCTGCACCAAGTCGAAACAGTCAGCCGGTGTCATGTGTCACAGCCCAAATTGAACAACTATGGCAGTTGGATGAACCTCCAGAACAACATCAGTACCTGCCATCGTTCCCGCTATGTCGCCAGGGCAGCGGGTACCAAGTGGGTCTCTTGTGGCGAAATGAGCGTCGCCCAACGGATAACTTTGCTCAAGCTAGAGTCATCGCAAAGCGGCTTCTTGAAAAGCTGAAGAGGAATTGGAAGCGTGCGCTCTATGATGATGTGCTGATCAGGGAGTACCGCGAGCTTGGAGCAATTGAGCTGGAGCCATGTGAGAGCGATGCCGGGTACTATGTACCGCATCATGGTGTATTCCGCGAGCACGCTGCAACCACGAAGTTAAGAGTGGTGTTCAATGCCTCGGCGACGGCTCCAGATGGCAAGTCGTTGAACGACATGGTTGACCCTGGACCGTCGCTATTGCCGAGTCTCGCAGGTATGCTATTACGGTTCCGTGAATATAAGAGCGCGCTGCAAGCGGACATCCGCAAGGCTTTCTTCATGGTCGCGGTTAATCCCGAAGACCGTCCGTACCTGCGTTTCTTGTGGCCCGGTCGAAGCGACAGCGATGAACTGTTAACCTGGAGGCTAACGAAACTGCCATTTGGCGTAAACTGCTTGCCGTACATGCTTACTGCGGTGATTCAGCATCACTTGAAGGAGCTACGGGCGTTGTCTGCACCCAAAGAGCGAGATCGTATTGATCTCTTGCTCACGAGTTTCTACGTTGACGATTTGGTCTCTAGTGTCTCAAATGCCTCGGAAGCCAAGGAGATGCAAGAGTTCAGCGTGCGTGTGCTTACGGATGCTGGCATGGAGTTACGCAAGTGGCGAGGCAACGAAATCCCGTGCGATCCAGAGGCCGGAGATAAAGTCCTCGGTCTGAAATGGAAAACCAGTGATGACTTGCTCAGCATAGCAGCGCTAGGCGAGTCCGATAGGCCGTCTGTTTGGACCCGGCGATCCCTCCTCAAGTGTGTTGCATCAGTGTTTGATCCGCTAGGTCTAGCAGCACCGGCAGTTGTGCCGGGAAAGATACTGCTACAGCAAGCCTGGAAAGTCGAAGGCGACTGGGATGATATGTTGCCTGATGGCATCGCAGCCGCATGTGCGCAATGGTGGGGAGAGTTGGCCGAAGTGGTGAGCATTGACATACCACGTTGGATTTGCTGCAATCTTGACACGCCGATTGCGCTTCATGCCTTCGCCGATGCCAGTGAGAAAGCGTTTGGATGTTGTTTGTATGCCGTCGTCAATGGACAGTCGCACTTGGTATTTGCCAAGGCCAAAGTGGCACCTGTGTCTCCGCCCACGTTAGCCCGCCTTGAGTTACAAGCAGTATGTCTAGCGGCTCGCTACGCTGAGTTTGTGGTGAAGGAGCTGCGTGTGACCGTCACGCAAGTCTATGGCTGGACTGACAGTCTCACTACCGTTCATTGGATCAGTAATCCATCGTACAAATGGAAAACATTTGAGGCTAACCGCGTCAGTCAAGTCCAAGAGATATCGAAGAAGGTCGGCATTGTGTGGAACCATTGCCCGGGCCTTCACAACCCAGCAGATTTACCGTCGCGTGGGAGTAGCGCACAGCAGATCCGTAGTCCGTTCTGGAGGGGCGGACCAACCTGGATCACGGAGCCCAATGACTGGCCCACCGCATCCTCAACCGCAGCTACAGATGAGTCCAGTGTAGAGGTACGAGTGTCAGCCACCACCTGTAGTCGAGAATCTGATAAGGAATGGTGGCTCCGATTCAGTAAATGGTCGAGGGCACAGGGCATGGTGACTCGGATGTTGCAGTGGAAGCACACTGAGCCTCGTGCTGAACTCTATTTTGCAGCAGACAACGTATTGTACCGCATCGTTCAAGCCGCATGTTTCGCTGAGGATCTTGAGCTGATCAAGCAAGGTCAACCAGTGAAGCCTGGGTCGAAGGTGTATCAGCTTGCACCGTTTCTGGATGAGCATGGAGTGCTCAGAGCCGGGGGACGACTTCAGCACAGCGAGTTGGCGTATGGAGCCAAGCACCCAGTCCTGTTAGGCAAACATCATCTGACCGAGTTGCTGTTGGAGAAAATGCATGTTGAAAGGATGCACCAAGGTGTAGAAGGAGTCTTGTCGTTCATCCGTCAGAAATTTTGGATTATCGGTGGTCGACGGGCGCTACGCAACATTACTCAGCGATGTGTTACATGCCGCCGCTACAAGGCTAAGGCTGCCTCAGAAGTCTGCCCGCCGCTGCCGGAAGACCGAGTTGTTCACGAGAGGCCGTTCGCAACTACCGGCATCGACTATGCTGGTCCGTTGTACGTGCGCCGTGGTGAGTCATCTCCGAAGGTATGGATAGCATTGTTTGTGTGTGCCACCACCAGAGCAGTTCACTTGGAGGTGGTCGATAGTTTAAGTACTGAGTCATTCTTGATAGCATTTCGGAAGTTTGTCGCGAGACGTAGTTTGCCGTCTCGGATCAGGTCTGACAACGCTACAACGTTCAAGGCGGCATCTGACAAACTGAGTGTGCCATGGATGTTCAATCCTCCAGCTGCACCATGGCATGAAGGCTTCTATGAGAGAATGGTTGGTACAGTGAAGAGTGCCTTGAAAAAGGTAATGGGAACAGCGTTTCTGAAGGTCCAGGAGCTTGAGACCCTCTTGTATGAGGTTGAAGCAGTGGTGAATAGTCGTCCGCTAACTTATGTGTCTGATAGCCTGGATGAGCCACCAATAACCCCTGCAATGATGATGGGTGACATCTGGATGTCGTCAGAGAAGCCAGCAGGTACCCTGGACGCTGCGCAGATGTCATCGAGATTGCGTTACCTCAGTCGGACACTGGAGCATGTCAAGAATCGTTGGGAGGTGGAGTACCTAAGTCAGCTGAACAAACACCAACAGACCATGTCGCGCCCTTTAGCTGTGGGTGATGTGGTCTTTGTTCTCGATGATACCAAGCGCAAACAGTTCTGGCGTTTGGGACGGATCATCGAGTTATTCCCTGGTCGAGATGGTAAGCGTCGTGTTGCCAAGGTTAAGTTGAGTACCAGTACCCTGTTGAGGCCGATCCAAAGGTTAGTATCGTCACAGGACGTGGCTCCTGGGCCTGCAGATACTGCTCAACCTGCTATCGTCCCTCAGCAGCCAGCGTATGAACCGTCAGCACCGTTACCACCACCACGGCAGCAGGAGATGACACGTTCTGGGCGCATAGTCAGAGCCCCGGATCGTTTTTGACTTGTGTGCATTGTTGTACGGCGGTGAGAAGCCCTTTGGTGGGGAAAATGTTGCAAACCACCAGTTCTCAATTGGGAAAGGCCTTCGCGCTTATGGCATTGTATTCGTCGCAATGTTGTCTTTCGACTCCGCCGTACCGCTGATGTTGCTGCATGGCATACGCTATATGCGCTGTGTGTGTTTTGCTGTATACGCTGTTATGTCCAGTTTTATATGCTTATGTTTTGCATGTACGCTGTTTTTTGCATGCTATAAATAGCTGGTGTTATTAGTGTTCATTGTTTATTATCAGATGAAGTGAAATATACTGTGTAAAGGAAAAGAGTTGTCCTCGTGCCGTGTGGTCGTACGATCCTGACAATTTAGAGAATCTTAGAGGGTTCATAACAGCAGCAGTAGCTGGCAACCTGCAAAAGTACGACCGGGTACAAGAGGGGGGGGGGGGGGAGGGATTAGGACAGTGACAACACATTGAAGTATACATCCGCCAACACCGGATAACCTAACACGATTGTCGTTGAGCACCTGATGTTCAAGAATCAGGTAAATCCTGACTGCAAACTTGGCAATGCTGGGAATCCTAATTTAGCTTTATCGTTAAAGGGGAAGTATACCCTAAAATCAATTTTTCACCAGTTGTAGTCTTCGGGGTGCTGAGTCGAATGGTCTTGGTCCGAGGAAGCTGAGACGCTCCCTTCCTACTTGAATCCCAATCGAATTCGCGCACTTCCACCGAAACTGGGTGACTGCGCCCTACTAGATGGGGATTTGTATGCAAAATGTCACTAAAATCGCCATTTCGTTCTTATAAAAGCACGAATGACCGCCATAAGCCCATATGTTGTAGTCTTTTGGACGCTGAGTCGACTGGTTTTGGTCCGAAAAGGCTGCGATGCCTTTATTTCCAATCGAACATGGTTGAACAAGCGGTCACGTGCTCCTGCGTACGCCAGTCACCTGGTCACCGTGCCTGCAGGGTACAACTTCCTAGCCTGTTTGACCTTTTTTGGGTGAAGTCCTGTCACTCGAGTTGAACCTTGGTGTGAAAGTTGTCGCCTGCTGGCGCAGTGATCAGGTGATTTGGGCACCCAGGAGCACGTGACCGCTTGTTCAACCCTGTTCGATTGGGAATAAAGAATGAACCCTGCATCGCAGCCTTTTCGGACCTTTTCGGACCAGTCGACTCAGCGTCCAAAAGACTACAACAAAATTCTCCAAACAGAGAGGAAGCCTTCTTGCTGCCGACACGGCGACAGCGACTGTCACAAGGACTCGTCAGGTGTGATCAGCTGATTTGCCTGGCCGTGAGAATCACGGCATGCATAAGCTCGCGCCTGAGTGCTCATCTGAAAGAGAGTGAATCTGACGCGAGCAGCGCTGAGATGAACAAACCGAAGCTGCGATATCGTGGAATGGGAATTGCTGCTGCTGGCATATCGCCGATGGCGAGGTGTTGGTGTTCAATGTCGGTATTGTAGAGAGCCTACATTTCTTGTAAAGACGTAGCCCTTACCTGATTGTTTATCGTACGACTTCAGCTCTATCACGAACTTGGTATGCCCTTTGTGCTGTGATATTCGTGTATTTCATTCGCAATTGTATTTTCTCTCAACTTGAAGGGCTACCATAGGCCCTATCCTTGCCTGGACCTAGTCATATTTGAATTTTCTGGACGCGTTCAGGCATACAGATTTTGAAAATATATGGTTTACCCATACCTACATCACATGGTTCTCGAGTTATTGCTGGTTGTGTGTACATGTATTTGCGTGACCACCCCTCACATACATTGAGTTAGACCGGCACCATCAATGCACTGCATCGTTGCAGCAGTAGCTTGCAACCTGCAAAAGTACGACTGGGTACAAGAGGGGGGTGGGGGGGGATTAGGACAGTGACAACACATTGAAGTATAATACATCAGCAAGCCGGAAATGGATGCGGTCAAGACCATGGCGGTTTACCGTTAAGTGTGCACCATTAATGCAGTGCATGGTTGCAGCAGTAGCTGGCAACCTGCAAAAGTACGACCGGGTACAAGAGGGGGGGGGGGGATTGGGACAGTGACAACACATTGAAGTATAATAGCGTAGAGTTACTGCTGACAGGCCCTCAGCCTCCATTCACCTGTGAAGCCCAAAAGGGGTTTACATCTACCGGCCGCACACATAAAGTAAAGTTCATATTCGACATAAGGCTGGTTTCTGAATACATACGATAGCATGACGGCGTTTCACTGGTACTCAAACGGCCGATGCCATTACAAGTAATCGAGGGATTGCCCAACAGGAAGTACCCGTTGTTGCATGAATATACGGCAGATTCATTAGCGTTCAATCCTGAGGAACTTGGCCGGCCATCCGGTATCACAGGAACAAGGCAGTCGAAAGCTGGAAATAAAATATAAAACCGAGCATTGTATTACATATTATGGATACACCTCAGGATGGAGCATATGGAGCATCTTTCCATAGCGAAAAAAAAATGTTAATTCCACAGGATAACAGGCGTGAGTGTAGAAGATATACAGAAAAGTCAAATGTCACTTTTACATAAAAACTGATACACTGTAACTTGATGTGCAACAAAAGACTTGGCACTTAAAGGGGAAGTTAAGGCAAAAATTAAAATTTCACCAGTTGTAGTCTCCGGGGTGCCGAGTCGAATGGTCGTGGTCCGAGGAAGCTGAGACGCTCCCTTCCTACTTGAATCCCAATCGAACTCGCGCACTTCCACCGAAACTGGGTGAATGCGCCCTACTAGATGGGGATTTGTATGCAAAATGTCACTAAAAGCGCCATTTCGTTCTTATAAAAGCATGGATGACCGCGATTGGCCCATATGTTGTAGTCTTTTGGACGCTGAGTCGATTGGTTTTAGTCCGAAAAGGCTGCGATGCAGCGTTCCTCCTTTATTCCCAATCGAACATGGTTGAACAAGCGGTCACGTGCTCCTGTGTAAGCCAGTCACCTGGTCACCGTGCCTGCAGGGTTCAACTTACTAGCCTGTTTGACATTTTTTGGGGGCAGTCCTGTCACTCGAGTTGAATTCGAGTTGAACCTTGGTGTGAAAGTTGTCGCCTGCTGGCGTGGTGACCAGGTGATTTGGGCACCCAGGAGCACGCGACCGCTTGTTCAACCATGTTCGATTGGGAATAAAGGAGGGACGCTGCATCGCAGCCTTTTCGGACCAAAACCAGTCGACTCAGCGTCCAAAAGACTACAACATATGGGCCAATGGCGGTCATCCATGCTTTTATAAGAACGAAATGGCGCTTTTAGTGACATTTTGCACACAAATCCCCATCTAGTAGGGCGTAGTCACCCAGTTTCGGTGGAAGTGCGCGAGTTCGATTGGGATTCAAGTAGGAAGGGAGCGTCTCAGCTTCCTCGGACCACGACCATTCGACTCGGCACCCCGGAGACTACAACTGGTGAAATTTTAATTTTTGCCCTAACTTCCCCTTTAACACCAGTGTGGGTGTGCTGGGTTTAACTGCGTTCATTTAGGATGACGTGGATGACCTGGTCGATAATTATTATTTCCTCCACATACACAAGGTAAACACAGTGGGTTGTTCAAAGACCATGATGTAGATATTAGGCGTATGTGGTTCAAGTCCTGCCTGGGACCGGTTTTCCAGCCGTGCTGCCACCCACAGTCAACTGGGAACTTGTGGCCAGGCACAAGGGGTACATGGATGCGGCAAATGGGGTTTCTCGGCACTTGTGGCAGTGGTTGTGAGACTTATCCGCTGACCCCCACCGTCAGATGATTCACCTTACGCTAGGGTTTACCGGCTGTTAGCGACCATATTTTATCTTTTATTATTTATTTGAAAAGCACATAACCACCGTTGTGAGCTCCCTTCTGACAGTGCTATAAATATTATATGGTCCGCGATCAGCTTAAACATGTCTTTGGGGTTTCGTAAAAAAGTTGGGGAATGACGAAATGAAAAAAAATGTTTTTTGAAGCGCGTTCACTCTGCGCTGCACTTCATTCATGATGACTGTGGCGATCATCTTCACACTTGTTTGGCGGTCTAGTTCAAGGAGCTGGCGAGCAAAGACTGACAATGTCCGCATCTAGTGGTACTAGAGCAGCTCGCAGGGCCAGATGATTGCTGTGCATGGCCCAGGTTTGTTCAGGTGTCTGCAAGTCCGTGGCGGCGGGTCTGCAGAGCGACGCTGACAATTTGTTGGGATCTCAGTGATGTTGATGTTGACAGCGAAGCTCATCCCCGTCGTCTCCAGTAGCGAAGAGGCACAAGTTGTGGGCTAGTACATAATCATTAGGCGGCAAACCAGCTGCCTTACGACGTTACTTGCGTTCAGCTCTCATGAGTCGTCTGACGCCATCTCGGAAATGCAGGCCACGATCGAAAGTGTCACTGCCGAATCGAAAGAGTATGCAAGTGCGCCGCCGCCCAGAGCATCGTGTTGCTTTCCAGGAAGAACTTGGGCCATGCCTTTGAACTGATGTCGTTGACATGCTCAAGTCGGTGTCAACATCTTTAGTCCAGTTGTATTGTGCTCCGCCACAAAAGCCACTAAGTAATAGTTTGTCTCTTTGTGTCAGTCTGTGCGAAAACTGTCATTTTCTATTTCAAAGTACATATTTTGAAAGCGGTGTTTGGGGCACTTGTAGACTACTTTTCCGCCCTGTTCCACCTTCAAGAGGTCAAGTAAGGTCTCAAGAACTGTTTTCTGGAGGAAAACAAAAGCAGCTATGAGAGAGAGAGAGAGAGAGAGAGAGAGAGAGAGAGAGAGAGAGCGAGAGAGAGAGAGAGAGAGAGAGAGAGAGAGAGAGAGAGAGAGAGAGAGAGAGAGAGAGAGAGAGAGAGAGAGAGAGAGAGAGAGAAAGAGGGAGATAGATAGATAGAGAGAGAGAGAGAGAGAGAGAGAGAGAGAGAGAGAAAGAGAGAGACAGAGATAGAGAGAGAGAGAAAGAGAGAGAGAGACAGAGATAGAAGAGAGAGAGAGAGAGGGGGGGGAGGGTTAAGGAGCAAGGGAGGGGAAAAGAACTAAATATAATATAATTATATAATGCGTAAGGGGTGCACATTCACATCCAGAGAAAAGGATAAGAAGGCGTATGGCAATATGCAGCAGTGTGTAGGCAGATGTGCATACATATTATATAGAGGCACTGGCTGTGGCTTGGGTATAAGCCAGTTGCAGAGCTGCCACTTGTTCCGATTTTTCGGAAATTGTCTGATTTTTCATCGCCTGTTGGAAAAGCCGACCGATTTTGTTCCTAAAAAGGACAACCGATTATTTTATTTTGAGCGCTTTTTAGTCCAGTTGGCCATTCGGCGCTTCCAGGTCGCGTTTGGCCGGTCAATGTACATGTACATATACAGGTTGCTGTAAAACGCACGCATGCTTGCATGTTTGTAGCAGTTAAAAATGTGTTCTGGGGGCCCAACAGCCAGCCTTTTCCCTAAACATTTTCACCGCGGGACACCCCGGACCCCGTCAGATTGTTCTCCCTCCAAGTGTGGCAGCCCTGCAGTTGGAGTTGTGCATCTGCTGGATTCAGACGGAGTCGCTTCCATGCACTCGGGTCCACCACACTGGGTCGGTGCTGTGCAGCTTGAGGCTCTGAGACGTACCTTGTCATGTCTTAAGAGATCTTGCCAGTCAGCCGTTCGGATGACAGGTCAATGTTTTCAGTGATGATAGAGGACCATCGCAAACAGACGAAAGCCAAATTATAGCGCCACACGCACCTCGAGGTTGGAGGTTCCTGGTGGTTCATGTTAGCAGTGAGAATGTGCTTTTTTGAACGCTGTTTCGCAATGTCTAGATCTCTTTTACCTTAGGGAAGTGGGAGATGGCTGCGTCATTAAAGCTTCAGGATAGCCAGTTTAATCTGTTATTGGGTTTGCTTTGCCAAAGGTGTTTGGAGAGCTCCAGCATGTTGACCAAGCCAACCATCACATTGTCCGCCATGTAGTTTCACAAATGTGAGACTCCAGTTCCATATTTTCCACTGACGATTAAAAACGAGTTTTTACACTTGGGTGAACTCACCCATTTCACAATACTCTGCACATTTTTGCTCCAAGCAACACTGGTCCAATCGAACAAAGTAAGGGTGTAGTACGCAATACGTACTTGAAGTAGGAGTATCGTACAGGTTTCCGGGACAGCTGTCAAAAAAAGCAAAGGTTCATTTACCCTTATCATATTATTTTCGAAAATGGTTTGCAGGGAGCCCGTCACCTCCGTCTAGCGCTACATCGGAATGTTGACAACTTGATTGAAGAGGTAAGGAATACTGAGTCAGCTCCTGGATGCAGACGCGCATTGCAAATCAACGCAATGAACTCAAATATGTCTGATATCCCACCTTTATGAACTGTACTACTTTATGTGATGCGATATGTGACTTGAGACAGCTGCGACAAGAAAGTGCCTGATGGGAGCTGTGGATAGCAGTTGGAGTAATTTCAGCTTTAGCGACATCCATTAATGTAGTACAAATTCGACTCTAGGTTCAAAAGCAATTATTAGTGCATGGGGATTACGCTACAAGCAACAACATATTAACCCGTGTGTCGCAGTCGTGGCTCATCGCAGGTGTTGCAAGTTGCATATACAGAAGTGTGTCAGGGGAGATGGTCTGAACCTCACACAGGCAGTTAAAAGCCAGACAGAGATGCTTACCTTTGCAGGTGGGTGTTGATGTCAATGAACGATCAGCCTGGCATGTCGGTTGGGCATCTCCAACTAGCTCATGATGAGCATTGCATGAGTATGTTACTGTTTGCTGGAACGATATGTGTGATGCAGTTTGCTGCCCATCTGTAATATTAGGTACGGCACATTTGACAGCTGTAAATAATACAAAACGCACACCAGAAATCCCCAACAGAAAAACACATCAGATATTCACACCAGATATTCACTGACATCAGGAAAAACAAGAAGGGGACCTTCGTAAAGGATTAATGTGCTCGCAAACCATGGTTTCATTTTCGACATCATTGCAACCTAGTAAATCGACAATGTGGCTCTGCTTCTGAGCTAATCAGAGATTTCCAGGCCAATTGCTACTGAAGAACTATAATACAAAAATGCTATTGCCCGCAACCCTGCCCCTCAGGACGTCACCACTATTCAGTTTGCTGATGACATCTCGCTGCATGCGAGCAGTCCACAGCCACAAGTTATCTCCCAGCGCCTCACCTCCAGCAGTTCAGTACCTGGCCACTTGGTAGAAGAAACGTGGACTGATCCTTAACGAGACCAAGACTAAGATACTCGCCATACCACAAGGTAGAGCGACTACCCTCGACATCAATGTTATATGAAATTCACAAGTCCTACCAGTAGTCACATCTATAAAACACCTCGGCCTGTATTTTGACTCGGACAGGAGTTGGACCACAATGGTGGACCATGTTGCTCGTCCCCGTTGCCTGCAAAATTGCTGTCCTGCTACGACATACTTCGTCGCTGCCATATCCATGCCCACTAACCTACTTCAGATCTATCATTTTGCCAGTATTTTAGTATGTTTCTATTAATTACTACCCGTATTTGTGAGTTGCTCAGGAACAACGTCTACATAGGCTGTTCAAACATGCCGCTCGGGCAGTCTGCAAGTCGCCACCGTGGACCAGTACTGCTCCCCTGCTAATTCGAATGCATGTATGTGATCTAGAGGTTTCTGTGCACTTGAATATGTTTTGTTTCATCTGGCTAGGTTTGTGTAGTATCCTTGCCTGGCTAGTATGGAACTTTACCTGACTCTTTACTATAGCCTTAATTTGGTGTATCCTCGTACGTTAGGGTACGGGGCCTGTTGTATAAAAGCTGCTGCGCATTTCTGTTTTCATCAGGGCCGGGTTCCACTGCGGCTCCGCTGCTCCACTGCTCCGCTGCTCGTCTTTCTCGGCTTGAAGAAACTTAGACAAATAACTTACGTGTGCATGTTGAAACCTGGTTACTGCCGTTGCACACTGGTTGATTAGCCAGATACTCATATCCATTGTTGCACTTAACCATACCATTGGCGATTATTTTCGAAATATGATCACTTGCTTGTCTGTTGCAATCTAAAGAGGATGAAAATCGGAGAGAAATCGACACCCTTACACTACTGATTCGCGTTTGTCAAAATCAATGCCAGTTATATGACTTTGCACATCAACTTGGCAAAAAAAACACAGTGGGTGAACTCGTACATAATACTGTCATGCATGACGAGTGCTGTTAGATATTGGCGTCTGGTTTTGCACAACTAGGTTTCGCAAAGCGTCCCCCTTTCTCTATCTCTGATATTGCTGACCCACCCCTGTTGGGGTGAGCAGCGACTCAAGTGCCAACAGTATGTATGACACGTGTTTTGATCTGCCTTTTGAGGAAAAAAACTGGTCAGAGCCGTCTAGGTTCAGCCTGGTCCCATAGCTCGGATGGCTAGGGCATTGTTTATGACAAGCAAGGTCAGGGTTTACAGTTCTGGTGGGTCTGGCGTTCTTTATGGCATTCTTCCTTTTTTTGAGGCAGTTCACTTCCGACTGATCCTTTGAAAACGAATTTTTTTAGTATTGTTCAGCCCTCACACACCCCCACCTAGGCTGTTTTCGACTGTGGAAACTTGATCCCGATCTCCGCCGATCAGATTACTTCGATCGGAAGAATAAAATGAATGTGCACAATTGATAATCCGTTTCAAGACCCTGGCAACAGCGTTACTGCATCTCATCCTGTACTACTGTCAGAACTCCCGTATCCCGTCCTGTTTATCTGCATCCCTTGCTATCCGGAAGAAAATAGCTGGTTACAGATATACAGCGTCTGTGGTGCATTCAACATAACCAGTGTTTGGTTATCCTGCTCCCTCGTCTATGCGGACATTGTTTTATGGAAAACGGATGCGTGCTGTTAAAGAAGGTCTGACTGTATTCAGTGGTTTCTTTACACATTAATGTAAGCTCTTATTCTAGTTTTATAAGTATAAGAATGTATAAGAAATCATCTGCTAGCTAGTTCTGATTGTTGCAATTCGTATTCCGACTCATCGTTCACTGTATTGTGCCGTGGTCGTCATGGTTATGGACTACAGTTAAAAGTGTTGTAAGCTATCTATCAGCGTCTGTATAAGCCTAATTTGTGTGTACAGAGCAAGCTTGGCCGTTAATGTTCTAGGTGAAATGTACTGCTGTTATGTGTTATCACTTTGTCCTTCCTTCTTTCTTTCTCTTGTTGGTTCATTTTTCCATGTACAGGTTTATTGTTAGCACACGCATTCGTTATTGCTCTCGCTTTGATTGTTAAGATTCACACTTGTAAATTTCACTTCTATTTTTCTTAGTGTTATTTCTCTAACTTAGGTTTCCTATAATAGTTCGTTTTTACATTGCATGAATAAAGTACACAAATGTCGGTTCAGCTGATTATATTGCTTGCGGTTATCAAACTATTGTCTCCTCATAGTTTGTTTAAATAATAATAATATGATTTTTTAAAGATAGATGTCAATGTTGAGTCACCTCCACCATTACACTGTGCTCTTGAGCAGACTAGACCCTCCTGCACACAACCATCATCATTGCAAGGACACTTCCGTGGACGATATTGATAAACTCCCTTTGGTCTATATTATTAATCATTCAACATCTACCTTCACTGATGAGCTATGTATTAGCGAAACTGCTGTCTGAAGTAGTTTATCAATATCGTCCACGAACGTGTCCTCGCAATGGTGATGGTTGTGTGCAGGAGGGTCTAGTCGGCTAAAGAGCGCAGAGTAATGGTGGAGGTGACTCAACATTTTCTTCAATGGCCGAGCGCTCTGTCGCACCCTGTAATAATAGATATGTCAATATTGATGTGGTCAGCATTGGCAGAACTGGCTATTTATACAATTTTGACGTGTTATATCGGCCCCAACCAGCGAAAACAGCCCTTAGGGTCAACATCAAAATCACCATTTTACCTGCGCAGGAAAGCTCTCCTCTCCGCGACATCTAGTAAGCAATTTCTACTCCAACACCACTCCCAACGCTGCAGAACAAAGTGTATTGTTGACTCTGACAAGGAAACGCAGCGGTGATCACTTGTCACTCCAAACGACAAGCTTCTCTTTGCGCCACCGACATTTTTCGGTGCAACATGTTAACAGTTGATGCAAAAGTGACTGATTTTTTGCGTGTAATTTTGGATTTTGCTGCAAGAGGAATGAAGAAATCACGTGGATAGTGACGTAGAATAATGCTTTCTGGTGCGTTCCTGAGGTGCTATTCGAAACGGACCATGAGGGAGGAGGTAAGATGCATTATATTTCTTGCATTCTCTGCTCAGAACATGCAGAAACCAGACGGAGTCGCTTCCATGCACTCGGGTCCACCACACTGGGTCGGTGCTGTGCAGCTTGAGGCTCTGAGACGTACCTTGTCATGTCTTCAGAGATCTTGCAAGTCAGCCGTTCGGATGACAGGTCAATGTTTTCAGTGATGATAGAGGACCATCGCAAACAGACGAAAGCCAAATTATAGCGCCACACGCACCTCGAGGTTGGAGGTTCCTGGTGGTTCATGTTAGCAGTGAGAATGTGCTTTTTTGAACGCTGTTTCGCAATGTCTAGATCTCTTTTACCTTAGGGAAGTGGGAGATGGCTGTGTCATTAAGGCTTCAGGATAGCCAGTTTAATCTGTTATTGGGTTTGCTTTGCCCAAGGTGTTTGGAGAGCTCCAGCATGTTGACAAAGCCAACCATCACATTGTCCGCCATGTAGTTTCACGAATGTGTGACTCCAGTTCCATATTTTCCACTGACGAATAAAAACGAGTTTTTACACTTGGGTGAACTCACCCATTCCACAATACTCTGCACATTGGGGAAGCGAACCACCTGAAAAGAGAAGATAAAACCTAGACCGACCAGGTCTCGAACCAGGTACTTTGCTTATCATGAGCAAAGCTCCAAATACTGAGCTATGGGACCAGGCCGAATCTATAAGGCGCTGACATGTTTTTCAATCCAAATGCAGCTCACAACACCTGCTACAAATACTCATGGCACTTGAGTCTTTTTCGTAACCCAGTGTCAATGTGTTTGGCACGAGTTCTGGGCTGCATTTGGAGTGAAAAACATGCAGCAACTTCTAGGCTCGGCCTCTTCCCATACCTGAGTGGTATGGGACAACGTCTCAATGTCTCAATGCTCCGCTATTATAGTTTGCTACAGAGCAAACCAGGCAGGCACAGTGGGTTGGTCAAAGATCATGATTGAGCTACGAGAGGTACCTGGTTCAAGTCCTGCCTGGGAGCGGTTTTCCAGCCGTGCTGCCAGCCGTGCTGCTACCCACAGTCAACCGGGAACTTGTGGCCAGGCACAAGGGGTACATGGATGCAGCTAATTTGGGTCGTTTTCGGCACTTGTGCCAGTGGTTTTGAGACTTATCCACTCGACCCCACTGTTAGGCGCTGCATCTGCCGCTAGGGTTTATCGGGTGTTAGCGGCCGTCGTGAGTTCCCTTCGGGAACGGACACGATAATTTACATTTTTCTTTTTAAAGAGCCAGTTTCATTTCATTATTCATTTTTACCCTCTGATGAAGCCCCAAGGGCGAAAATTTGGAGATTTCATTTCTTTTGAATAGAATTTGCAGCGTCAACGTCCTTGGTGTGGTGGTGGTCACTGACCGTGATATTGGACGAGGTACTTAAATAAAGTACAAATTCCACCCTCTAAAGTACAAATTCCACTCTCTAAAGTACAAATTCCACTCTCTAAAGTACAAATTCCACTGTCTAAAGTACAAATTCCACTCTAGGTTCATGAGCAAGTAGTTGTGTATTGGGATGACGCTAAAAGCAACAAAATATTAACACGTGTGTCGTGGTCGTGGTTCATCGCAGGTGCTGCAAGTTGCTTATCGCATCACAAACGTTTCAGGGCCGATGGTCTGAATCACACACACACGGTTAAAAAACGGACTGCATTGCTTACCTTTGCAGGTGGGTGTTGTCAATGAGCGATCAGCCTGGCAGGTCGGTTGGGCATCTCCAAAAAGCACATGGTTAACTTTGCATGAGTATGTGACTGTTTGCTGGAAAGATATCTGTGCTGCAGTTTTCAGCCCATCTGTGATATCAGGTACTGTACACTTGACAGCTGTAAATAACAAGAAAAAAACATCAGAAATTTACACTTGATATATGTTCGTTGCAACCAACCTTCCGTTTTCTTTCCTTTCTCTTTTTCTCTTATATCTACTTTTCCAAAATATCCTTTAACATTTTATTCACAGTGGGTCCAATGTGGTATACGCTACAGGCGCTAAGTGCGGTTTGCTGTGTGCGCTGTAGTTGTATGTTGTATGTGTATGCTTTTCTCATACACGCTGTCATTTCCACGCTATAACTACCTGGTGGTTTTAGTGTTAGTTATTCATTGTTAATAAGTCGATCGAAGTCATTATAATACTGTTGAGAATAAATAGTTGTCCTCGTGCCGTGTGGTCGTTTGTTCCTGACACTTTAGAGAACCAGAGTGTTCACAACAGCACTGAAGTATATAACCATGATGCTGAATCCGTTCTATGTTGCGCATGCATGTAACCATACACTCAATTGCCAAATCAGCTCTATTGCCCGATGGACGGCAACTGCCAAATCAGCTCTATTGCCCGATGGACGGCAACTGCCAAATCAGCTCTATTGCCCGATGGACGGCAACTGGCAAATCAGCTCTATTGCCCGATGGACGGCAACTGGCAAATCAGCTCTATTGCCCGATGGACGGCAACTGCCAAATCAGCTCTATTGCCCGATGGACGGCAACTGGCAAATCAGCTCTATTGCCCGATGGACGGCAACTGGCAAATCAGCTCTATTGCCCGATGGACGGCAACTGCCAAATCAGCTCTATTGCCCGATGGACGGCAACTGGCAAATCAGCTCTATTGCCCGATGGACGGCAACTGGCAAATCAGCTCTATTGCCCGATGGACGGCAACTGGCAAATCAGCTCTATTGCCCGATGGACGGCAACTGGCAAATCAGCTCTATTGCCCGATGGACGGCAACTGGCAAATCAGCTCTATTGCCCGATGGACGGCAACTGCCAAATCAGCTCTATTGCCCGATGGACGGCAACTGGCAAATCAGCTCTATTGCCCGATGGACGGCAACTGGCAAATCAGCTCTATTGCCCGATGGACGGCAACTGGCAAATCAGCTCTATTGCCCGATGGACGGCAACTGCCAAATCAGCTCTATTGCCCGATGGACGGCACCTCCCAAATCAGCTCTATTGTGTACAAGGCAACCATCCAAGTAGCCGGAGAGGACAGACAGAAGAAGTATATCGGTCTTACGGACCCTGCATTCGAGAGGAGAGGAGACACAACAACCATATTATAGCTTGTGCTGCCTGTTCTCCTTTATAACTGTGACACATGGGGAGTTTCAGCGACTGGACTGTGTTCTTCGTCGACAGTTCAGAAACCTGATGGAAGTGCGATATCAAAACAGAACTACAAATGATGAATCTGTATTTGAGATGTGGCTCGCAGCCGATGTCGGAGCTTGTTGCCAAGCGACGCCGTAGCCCTACTGGCCATGTGCTGAGAATGAATGAGTAATCATCCCCTTTCCTTGCGATGTCCTGCTATTTCGAGCGGGATCAAATTAATTTAAACCGTGAAACTCAGAGTTACAGCAGAAACGCTTTTGATTCCGCTCAAGTGGATGACCTAGGCTTTGCACCTTGGTGTATTGAGCACTGTCACCAGCAAGCAAAACTCCCTCCGATTTAACATAACACATACCGCTTTACTGCTAAATCTGTCTAGAAAATGTTTAAAGTTGAAATCTGACAAGAATATCACATGTGACCACATCTAAATTGCTTCCATTAGCCCCGCATTCTCATTGTCAAATGTTGAAACTTAGACAAATAGCTTACGTGTGCATGTAGGAGCCTGATTACTGCCGTTGCACACCGGTTGATTACCTAGATACTCATATCCATTGTTGCATTGAACCATACCACTGGCTGATATATTCCAAATATGATCACTTGCAGTTCTATTGCAATCTAAAGAGGATGAAAATCGGGGAGAAATCGAAACCCTTAGTACTGATTCGCGTTTGTCAAAATCAATGCCAGTTATATGACTTTGCACATCAACTTGGCAAAAAAACACAGTGGGTGAACTCGTCCATAATACTGTCATGCATGAGAAGTGCTGTTAGACAGGGGCGTCTGATTTTGTACAGCTAGTTTTCGCAAAGCTTCCCCCTTTCTCTATCTCTGATATTGCTGACCAACCCCTGTTGGGGTGAGCAGCGCCTCATGGTTCGACATAGGCAGTTTGTAGGTTTTACAATTGTTTTCGTACCCAATCAACATTTATGACGGTTTAGTACAACTGTATTAGCAACATTTGCTGCGAAGTGGGCGTTTGCTGCGAAGTTTGCGTTTGCTGCGAAGTTGGCGTTTGCTACGAAGTTGGCGTTTGCTGCGAAGTTGGCGTTTGCTGCGAAGTGGGCGTTTGCTGCGAAGTGGGCATTTCAGGGTATTTTTCGGTACTAGTAGAACCAATTTAAAAATGCTGCATAACATTGGATTTAGTTTCAAACTGCACATAACAGCCGTTCTTTTTCTCTCCGAAATATTGGTCCCCTGTGGGGGTAGAGGTGGGAGTTGGGGGGGGGGGGGGGGGGGGGAGTTGGGAGGGTTGAGAAAGACTCAAGTGCCATCAGTATGTGTGACACGTGTTTTGATCTGCCTTTGGAAATTAAAATGGTCAGAGCCGTCTAGGTTCAGCCTGGTCCTATAGTTGGGATGGCTAGGGCATTGCTCATGACAAGCAAGGTCATTCGAGTTCTGGTGGGTCTGGCGTTCTTTATGGCATTCTTCCTTTTTTTTGAGGCAGTTCACTTCCGGCTTATCCTTTGAAAACGAAATGTTTTAGTACTGTTCAGCCCTCACACACCCACCTAGGCTGCTTTCGACTGTGGAAACTGGATCCTGATTCTCGGCAACCAGATCACTTCAATCAGAAGAATAAAATCGAATGTGCACAATTGATAATCCGTTTCGAGACCCTGGGAACAGCGTTACTGCATCTCATCCTGTTCTACTGTCAGAACTCCCGTATTCCGTCCTCCTTTATCCGGATCCCTCGCTATCAGGAAGAAAATAGCTTGTTACAGATGTTCAGCGCCCGTGGTGCATCCAACATAACCAGTGTTTGGTTATCCCGTTCCCTCGTCTATGCGGACATTGTTTTATGGAAAACGGATGTGTGCTGCTAAACGAGGTCTGACTGTATTCAGTGGTTTCTATACACATTATTGTGAGGTCTTAATCTAGTTTTATAAGTATAAGAATGTATAAGGGCCGGGTTCCACTGCGGCTCCGCGGCTCCGCTGCTCCACGGCTCCGCGGCTCCGCTGCTCCGCGACTCCGCTGCTCCGCTGCTCCGCGGCACTTGGCTGCATGCAGCGGAGCAGCGCGGTTTCACTGACACTCGCCATTCGCGGTACCGCGGTCGTGGTCCACACTTGTTTATGACGTTTCACCTGCCCGCGCGCGCGCGAAATCCAAAAATCCTCGTGTTCTGGACTGCGCAACGAATTAAAATTTGAATTTTAAAATTCTGGCGTACAAAACAATGCAAAGTACGGGAAACAGGTCGAGCCGCGACCGCGGCTCGCAGTTTTTGGTCAAGAATCGTAGCAAAAGCTCGCGGTGAGCCGCGGTCTCCCTGCTCCAGCTCAAGCCGCGGTCACTATGGTCATGATGACGTTTCAAGCCGCGAAAGACGAGCAGCGGAGCCGCAGTGGAACCTGGCCCTTAGACAAGATGCTGTGTTGCCCTCCCCTTTGCTAAAACGACCTCCCTTGTACACTCTCCACTCTTTGTTGCCTACTCTGCTTGGCTTGCGCTGCCCGCTACTACGCGCAATGCCAGTACCCTGGACGCATTTAAATCTGCTCACTAGATTCACCATCACCTGTCCCTCCCATGCTTCTCCGTCTTGAACATTACTTTTCTTCTTTTCTTCTTTTATTCACCATGGTCGGTTAACACCCACATCTCCCGTACCGGCTGATTTTCTTTTTCATGCCATGAGGTGTTGTCTATAATAATAATAAGAATAATAATAATAAGAAGAAGAAATAACAGATGAGTGCAAACAACAGTTCGAATCATCTTTTTCCAATGACTGTTTTATCTTATGTGTACTTCTTTCTTTTTAGATTGTTTTCATATAATCTCCATCGCTTGGCACTAGACATGGTTGGCGTTTTACCGTTCAAGCTATTTCGACCAGTGACCTGTACAGATGTTTGTGTGTGTAGACATGGCATTTCATCGTTCGCACGCTAGATCCAACGGCACTCGTACCCAACACCCAAAATACCGTTGGTTTGGTACCGTTTCGATGATAGAAAGCTCTTTTTAGCAGGAGAACGGAACAGGAAGATTCCAACTAGGGTTGTGTCAAAATTCGATCGCTGCATCAGGAGTTAGGACTCACAAGCTGAACTGCAACTGTGTCTCGAAAATACACAAAAAAAACAGTAGACTCGCCCTTTACACGCCGACCGTCGGCAATAGCGTGAATGGTAAAATGCTAACCATATAATTATATTGTTTAATAAAGTAATCCAATATTACTACAACTCGTCATCCTTGATGAACGGTATCAGCTGAAGCGACATGTTTTTAATTTTTTAATTTATTATTTAAAGGATCTCCCAGAGGCGATGGCCTGTCGAGGGGATCTCCTGATGCTAATCATGCAATAGAAATAAACAGTGAGGAAAACTACACGTGTCACAGTATATGCTAAATAATGAGCAATAAACACAGGGCTGGGTTGTTCAAAATAAATGCTAGAAAGGTTTTATTGAAATGTAAAGAGGTGATGGACAAAGAAAATTGTGATTGAAATGTAATGTGAACGATGAAAAATATAAACATGCATCGAACTAGCTTTTGCACAATGCTCATCCGAAAGCATCGTTGTAACAAATTGCAACACAGATTACTATAAATGATCAATAGTGATATAATAACACCTAAACAATGCCAAAAAAGTATCCATCGCCACTTTACATTTCAATAAAACCTTTGTAACATGTCGCTTCAGCTGATTCTGTTCATTGCCATCTTTTAAAAAAATTGTCAAAATTGTTGTCTCTTCGCCAAATATTAATGTACTCACCAAATTCGCATATAGCGTAGACGTCTTGATCAAGGGAACGTGTCCCGCCTGTGACATAAGCAACACTTGGATTATTGGGCTCCAGCTCATCAACCCATGATATCAGTAGTGACGTAGCTAGAGTTCCTACGCAGTTCCCATTATATGCGGCTGCAGTAAGAAGCCTTCCGTTCTTCAACTGGCAATATGCATGGCTAGTTGTGTAATTGTACACTGTGTCGACCGCTGTTCTCCTTAAAATTGAATTGGTGATACTGCAATACTGATAACCTGTCAGACCTGTGTCCTCTGCATGGGGAATACATGTACATGCAAGAGTGAAGCACAAAACAAGGCAAAATAACCAAGCATTGCAGCACGTAGAAATTATTCTAACTTACAAAGAAACGGCATGACCCCAAGCAGCAATATAAATAATAAGTTAAACTGGGAATGGGATAAACTTCATATTCAAGGTAAAAAAGCAGGTGAAGTGAATTGCCTGCAAAGACAAACAAACCAAGTAAGACCCAACAAGACGCGAATCTGGTACCTTGCTTGTCATGCGCTATGCTCTAAATATTGACCTCTGGGACTAAGCCAAACCTAGAAGGCGCTGACATGTTTCCACTCGAAAGGCAGCTCACAACGCACATACTGTCGGCACTTCGGTCTTTTTCCGTACCCCGTGTCAGTATGTTTAGCATGTGCTGCGAGCTGACTTTGGAGTGAAACACGTGTCAGCGCCTTCTAGGTTTGGCCTAGTCCCCTACCTCGGTGGTTAGAGTGTTGCTCATGACAATCAAAGTCCTCAGTTTGAGTTCTGATGTGTCTGGCGTATTTTTCTCTTTTCAGGCAGCCACATTTGCGCAACCCTCCGCCAAGAAACCGAAAACCTACTTCGCCGAGTGACTTGAATATTAATTTGAAAACAATGAGCTATTTAACCCTGCAACAATAGATCAAGAATGAGTATTAACCCTCTAAACACCATTATCTATCTACTTACGATAGCATTCAGGCAAGGCCGTTATGGAAACATTGCACGTCGTGGTTGCCTGTCCGAGCATCCAATAGCCACTGTTACATGTGTACGTCACAGATTCAAGATGTTTTATAACTGATACTACAGTGCCTGCGTTGGCAACAACTGGGACACTGCAGTTGTGGGCTGAGCAGGAAAGGAACAAACAAGAGAAGGATTGACGCCTGAAAACTTTGAAACTTGTAGACCCGATAGATTTGTGGATAACTATTGGACAGGAGACTGCGCTCTTGAACATTATCCTTTCGAATTGTCACATGTTGTCACATGTTGCATGTTGATACTATTAGTGTATTGTAGTTACGAATTGTGCACAGAACTCTCACATGCTGCAAGGGCAGCATTGTGAAGACATGCTAGGTCGCTTGCAATATTGGTGCGGTGCGTATTACTGCTATGTATTTCTCAAGTGTAATATTTATTTGTTAGTCTGTTAGAATTACATCAAGAGTGCAGATCTGTTACATCTACGTCAAGACACATTTTATGATACAGTAATTGCTATGCATGTTCGTACCACGACATGTTCACGAGCGGAATATCTCAGTGTGAATTGTGCTAATTTATTATATAAGTAGAATTGTTGACTCACTAAATGGTTGCAATGAACATGTACATACTAGTACTTGATCCGTTGCATTATCCGCAGCAACTCCGCTACGATCTACTTGGCGAAACTTACTCTCGCTGACAGGGTGTGCTGTCACCCTGTCGCTGGGTGCAAGCACCCCTTGACAGACACTGATTTCACCTCCGTAATCAACAATTCTATATTCTTTCACTTCAGCAGATTGCGAGTTTCTGTTTGTTCTGCATTCAAATATTATTGCTTTTCTTTTTGTTGCACCTGCACTCCGCGCTGCATGCGGACTTTGGCAGTCACCATATTTTGTATCTCTATGGCTACAATGATTCATGCATTTTCTGTACGCTGCATTTTCTCTCTATGCCACGTACATGTACGTCGTTGTGTGCATGCATGCGGCGCAAGCCAAATGCACGCACGCTCCACGTTTTGCTCAGGACAGCGATTTGGCGATCGTTGTTCGGTGTGTTCTTTGGTGTTCTTGTTGAAACGAGTGGTAATGTCGATTAAAGGAGTTTCTGGGTTTTTGTGGTCTGCCTGACGATGGTTAGTTGCGGGACCAAGTCGCACCGCAACAACCATCGTGTGTAATAGCATATCAGGTCTTGCACATGTTTATGTAACACGCACTGCCCATACTCAGCAAGAAAAGGAATCAATTTGATGGAAATGCAGCTGGTTGCGACGAACTAGCACCTGTCATTACGAGAAAGTTCCGAAACCCAAATTTGAAGCATTTTTTGCCACATGAAACGCAAACTGATAAAGCCCAGTAAAGACGGTTGGATTATAAAATTGACTGAAGCACGCTTAGGGGCCGGTCAAACTGATGGAGGATTTGAAAAAAAACCGTGGTTACCATGGACATTTGCCGCTGTGCGGGGTGTTTGTGAAAATTTAATCCACTCGATGAAAATCAGCCCGAGGCCTCGCTTTTCCGCCGAAGATTATAATCATCCGCGGCTTCCACTAGATTTCATTGAGTTTCCTTGAGTTTTTATTACGATGTGAAGTGGAGCGATACTATAGAGGCTGTGCTGGTGTAGTTCTGGCCCAGGAGGAGGCTGACAGACTGCCAGAAGCGGGTGGTGACAAAAAATTGCTCGCGTGAGTGAGATTTTTTTCATTGTGCGTGTGCAGTGATGAGAAGCAGAAAAAATTATTCCCGGTTTATAATCTGAGGATTGTTCCCTCAATGTGACCGGCCCCTTAGAAATCCACAGTAGTGGCCATTGCGTCGCTTGCCAGTACTTACGGACACAATCATTATTCTCCACAATGTATCCAGGGTCGCAGTAACATACATAGCTGCCAATAGTATTACGACACTTGACCGTGGGGCCACAAACGGGAGTGATTGTTTTCGAACATTCGTCGACATCTAGATCATCCAAATCATGACACAAATAGCTTTCAAGACAGAATTACAATTCCGCAGCAAATGATATGAGAGCTCTCTGTCTGTCTGTCTGTCTGTCTGTCTGTCTGTCTGTCTGTCTGTCTGTCTGTCTGTCTGTCTGTCTGTCTGTCTGTCTGTCTGTCTGTCTGTCTGTCTGTCTGTCTGTCTGTCTGTCTGTCTGTCTGTCTGTCTGTCTGTCTGTCTGTCTGTCTGTCTGTCTGTCTGTCTGTCTGTCTGTCTGTCTGTCTGTCTGTCTGTCTGTCTGTCTGTCTGTCTGTCTGTCTGTCTGTCTGTCTGTCTGTCTGTCTGTCTGTCTGTCTGTCTGTCTGTCTGTCTGTCTGTCTGTCTGTCTGTCTGTCTGTCTGTCTGTCTGTCTGTCTGTCTGTCTGTCTGTCTGTCTGTCTGTCTGTCTGTCTGTCTGTCTGTCTGTCTGTCTGTCTGTCTGTCTGTCTGTCTGTCTGTCTGTCTGTCTGTCTGTCTGTCTGTCTGTCTGTCTGTCTGTCTGTCTGTCTGTCTGTCTGTCTGTCTGTCTGTCTGTCTGTCTGTCTGTCTGTCTGTCTGTCTGTCTGTCTGTCTGTCTGTCTGTCTGTCTGTCTGTCTGTCTGTCTGTCTGTCTGTCTGTCTGTCTGTCTGTCTGTCTGTCTGTCTGTCTGTCTGTCTGTCTGTCTGTCTGTCTGTCTGTCTGTCTGTCTGGTGTCTGTCTGGCTGCCTGCCTGTCTGTGTGTGTGTGTGTGTGTGTGTGTGTGTGTGTGTGTCTGTGTGTCTGTGTGTCTGTCTGTCTGTGTGTCTGTTTGTCTGTGCGTCTGTGTGTCTGTCTGTCTGTGTCTCTGTCTGTCTGTCTGTCTGTCTGTTTGTCTGTCTGTGTGTCTGTGTGTCTGTCTGTGTGTCTGTCTGTCTGTCTGTCTGTGTGTCTGTGTGTGTCTGTGTGTGTCTGTGTGTGTCTGTGTGTGTCTGTGTGTGCGTCTGTATGTCTGTGTGTCTGTGTGTGTGTGTCTGTGTGTCTGTGTGTGTCTGTGTGTGTGTCTGTGTGTGTCTGTCTGTCTGTCTGTCTGTCTGTCTGTCTGTCTGTCTGTCGGTCTGTCGGTCCGTCCGTCCGTCCGTCTGTCTGTCTGTCTCTCTGTCCTTCTTTCTTTCGCTCTCTTTCTGTCTTTGCCTCTCTGACATTTCGATGACTAAAATATCACTGCTAATATGTTCAACCCATCAGGTCACAGTGCGACGTTTGGGCTTCTTAAAGGGGAATTTCACGCTAAAATGACACAATGAAGAATGGTAGCAGTAGGTGAATTGTAGCGACAAAGGCACTGATTCTCAGGTTGATCGGAGCTGCCGTTCCTGAGTTACAACAGCTTGAAGTTTGCACTTAATTTGATGACATAATTATGATGTCCGGACTAGGCCGGATTGATGACGTCATTAAGATAGACTTTGTATGGGAGTACATGGGGAAAGACCTACATATTTCTCTTTTTCTCTTTTTTCATTCTAAAATTTTTCCAGTTGAGATACCGGTAGGCCTACAGGGCGCATATGTGCCATACAGAAGTTTGAAAAAGATCTTTTTTGAGACAATGGAGAGCTGAAATACTGAAATTTCAATATCTACTCCCATACAAAAGTCTGTCAATTTGAAGTCAACAGATGAGAGCAATCCGGCTGGGACCTTCACCATTGGAATTGGTTCAATAAAGTTTAAAAGCAACAACTAGATAAAAACTTGACATACCCAGGCAAGTAGGTGCGGTAATTGTTCCGTCCGCTGCACATGTTGACTCTGCTTTTCCAACCAGGCTAAATCCACGATTACACGTAAAGTTGACCTTTTGTCCCTCTAGAATTCCACCTATGACACTGCTCTTGCCATTGGTCACGGGATGAACCGCACAATCACCATCTGCCACACAACATGGAACACACAGCCAAAGAAAACAATAGAATTAATCACTGCTACGTGATGCACAATCATGTAGCCACATTGTCGGCCTTAACCCTTGGCGGACGACGTATGTCCGTTTTTAAGGTGTAGCTGGACTCCTAAAGACGAGTATAGCCGTTTTCAAATGTTCAGTTTGTGCAGCACATATAGACCACTGTACAAACTGTCTTAATAACATTGTCCTTTCTCCAATTGCCAAAGTTGAAGGCTTGATGGAAATCGGACAGAACAAGCGTTCCAATGGGTAGTCTTGTTATATGGTGCAGTGAGGAATCACTGAGCTCCGAGGAGCGAAACACGATGTACGGTTCGTTTAACTCGGGTACTAGTTGTATTTTTTATTGGCTCAGTATCCGAGTTAAATGCGAACACCTGATGAGCTGTCATGAACAATACGGCGAAACGTACGTCGTGTGGAACTACTTGTTATCGTGGTCAACTCATCGACAATAGTGCCATACATGAGGAGTACCGTTAGAGTTTGGTGTCGGTTTTGTATAATTCGTTGTCACAAAGTTTCCCCTTCCTTTATCCCTGATATGGCTGACCCATGCAAGTTGAGTGCTGTACTGCTTTGCTGCTTTGAATAATATAGTTAGACCGCTTTGTCATGTTAATAACTGGTGAACTAATTGCCCTGTAGCGGTCAGCATTCTTTGTTGCCGTCGGACTTAGCTTGTGCACATTTTCGCTGCGTTTACCTTCCCCTCCTTGAACCTATCATAACAATGAACTTTCCAAGCTGGAGGGTTGTTGGTCTGTGCACTGGAGATGTGTGAGAGGTAGGTGTCGGGTCGTTGAATGTCTCAGTAACATGTCAGTTTTGTGCCCTGTTATCGCGCATCTGACTGCTTATTATCGTGTTACGGTCGTGGATAGTTTTGATGTGATTTCTTCTATTTTTTTAATTATAATATTTCATTGGCTCAGTTTCCGAGTTTAATTTGAACTACAAGCTACGCTATAATGTCCACTGAGAAGTTCTAGAGCTGTTAGCCAGTTAGTTGTAGCTCGTCATTAGCGCAGGTCAGTGTCATGCGCTGATTGTTTAGTAACTGGTGGTGCAATTGGACATTATAGCGTAACTTGTAGTTCCTGGATATCTTAATTTTGCATTCGTTCGTTGGCATTACACTTGTGTGACGTTAACCAGAACCGTGAAAATCGATAAACTGTGAAGATTCTCGCCTCAATACGTCTGTGTGAATATGGCGGTACGGTGGTCACATGGCACCTTTCGAGGTTCCTGTTACCCTTTGAACAGGTCGTTCGTTCAACCCGGCCGGCCCTCCCCATCGGTGTGAGCGCAATATGGTCCGATAAACGAGAACTTCGATCTTTTCTTCCCTTTTTTTTGAAAAAGCGAAAAACAAAATTGAGGGAAAATCGATTCTATCAGTGCAAACTGCAAGAATAACAATGGCGGGAGGAAATTGAATGTGACTCTCGTGTCATGTAGAGGCTGGACAATCTTGAGTAACATAACGTTAATGCAACTTTGGAGTTAGTGTTGTGAAACATTTTCTAGGCAGTGTTATGTTTGGAAATTCCTCCAGTCTACGAGGTGCAACAAGACGCATGTGGACCCATTCGTGCCGTTTGACTCCTGCACAACATATGAAATTCTATTAATTATTTATTTTATTCCACGCGATACATGGCTGGGGTAGGCAGTGACCAATTTGCGTGGCGATTGCTGGATTTTATAGCCAACCACGCCGCCAAAAGCTAGTGCAGATGATCTTGTCAAGCATGTCCCTCAGAACTGTCACCATGAGAACAGATCCATTATCTCCCCTTCCATTGCTGTTATTGCTGCTGTTGCAACTGCAAAACTAATAAAGTGAATGCTGGAAATCAAGTTCCAGAACCCCCTACTATAGTCGGTTATTGCGAACAATAAGAGGGCGAAAAATCTGAGTTTCCCGCACTATAAAGCAATCATCAAAAAACGCGCTAAGTCACGCTTAGTTCATTAAAACACTTTTCCGTCCTCTCATTGTTTGAACTAGTTCTGCATCTCGGTATTGAGCTCTCTCTCTCTTATTGCTAGCCTGAAAGTCTCTCTTTTAGTCGGTTATTGTTATAACATGGAAACAATATTTGGTAGTGGTGATCACAGTGATCGATCATGATCTATCGTAATAATTATAAAAATGCACAATTCATAACACGACTCCTATCCACAAAAGGATCCAGCGCAAGCGAAAAAGGGACGTTATCCCGCGGCAAGTGATTTTGAGAAAATCACACTTCAAGTGAATTAGCTGATTTCCGGCTGTCACGTTCAGATCGAACTTGAAACTGTGTGTTTGTCTGTGATACGTGATTTCTTTGGAGCAAATTCAACTGTGGATCAGGGAGTCAGTATCCTACAGCTCCAGTAGAAGAAACCCCTGTCTAAATGGACCGAAATACCATGCATTGGCGATCAAAAATCGATCGATCGACCGCGCGACCTCCGCTGCACGCGCAGCATGCGCGAGTGTAAAAGACAAAGGAACTTGCTTTCAGCGCAGCTGTCTTGCTCCCTTCGCATTCCCCTTAGTCCTTGGGTTGGCGTAGCTACTCACCATGAGCTACAGTAAACGTTTCATCGTTAACGAAACGTTGGTCTCTCCTGGCCTGGGAGAAGATGAGGCTGAGTTTTTTGGCGAGGGAGAGAATGCCACTGAAAATTCTAATCAATCTGACAACGGGAACGATGACTCGCGATGACCAAATTATCTTGACCAGCGAGTGAATGTGGACGCAGCAGCAGAACTGTGGGTTATAACGACTGCACCCAAACCTTCCCAGGCTACCTAGTACCTCCGAAGCTGAGCAGCATGAAGATTTCACATGAAAATTGTGTGTAATAAATGCCCGTAACTTCGCTATCCGTGAATGGATTTTTAATCGTTTTTTTCCATGTGATTCGTACATCTTGTGGCTGCGAGAATCTGTTGATAACTCAAAATGCACAAAATTAGGGATATTTCGCTTGCTCTGGCTCAAAGGCATTGCTACATTGTCGCTCTTGGTCTGATGGTCGTAAAACAAAGTCACAAACACCCTAAAGTCAAGACATTGATTTGCAATAAAAATAAATTTCGCCAAAATTGCCCTGAAAAAAGGTTGATTTTTCAAACATCTGGCGACACATAGCTGTATACTGGAACGAGAGAGCTTGGAAACTCAGGACCCTACGCTATGCTTTTATGTTTTTTTGCCTAGCTCATCGTACATGTTATAAGAACTGAGGCAAAAGTATTTGCAGAATTTATTGCGGATTGTTATTTCTCTAATAATCATCTACTTTTGGTTTGCTCCTACTTTTCTTTTTATCTCCTTATTCTGTAAATCAACAAATTTTGGCCGATGAGAAAAAGAAACCTCTCTATTAGAGAGGTTAAGATGCACGATATTTCCGACGTGACGCGCAATTTCACGTCAAATTTGAAATCGATCGGTATTTTTGCTCTCACATGCATCCATTGCTCAATCATGCATCATTTGCCTATATGACAAAGTTTGGCCTGCGATTTACTTTGGCCGGTTGGTACCAAGCGGCGAAATCAACGAAATTAAATCGCCAGCGAAAATTAGTTGATTTTAATACAGTAATCGGATTTTCTGGCCTTTTATTGTTGAGCCAATGACGACGCCGAATGCATGGTTGCCTGTGGAGCACCTTACATAACTTAGCAGTCTCCTAAAATACGTATCCTGTCCGACGCCAAAAAGAGTCTGCAGATTTAGTTTTTCTGCGCGTCGACCGGATGTCTGCGACGCGAAAGTTCAGCTCGCGTTATTTGGCTGGCACGTCGAAAAATCAACGCGAGTGACCTGCTGCTCACGTGGAAATTTGGACTTTACATAACTTTACAGTCTCCTATAATACGTATCCTGTCCGACGGCTGCAGATTTAGTTTTTCTGCGCGTCGACGGGATGTCTGTCCTGACGTTCACTGGGACCGGCGCTGACTCTGCCGATCACGGGCGTTCTGGACTCGACGGGATGTCTGTCCTGACGTTTCCTGGGACCGGCTTAGACTCTGCCGATCACGGGCGTTCTGGACTCAACGGGATGTCTGTCCTGACGTTGCCTGGGACCGGCGGACTCTGCCGATCACGGGGGTTCTGGAGTCGACGGGATCTCTCTTCCGACGTTTCCTGTGACCGGCGCTGAATCGCTCGTTCACGCTTATTTTGGAGACGACGGGATCTCTCTTCCAAAGTACATGTATGTTAATGCGGACGCATCCTATCACCTATTCGGCGTCTATTCTAATTTAATTTTCTCCTCGTCTCCCTATTTCTTTCCAAATCTTGGTACGGTACGGGACAGATACAGGAGCCCGCAAATATTGTGGACAGCTGTTATGTACAATCCTGTAGAGCCTTTGTAGTCACAGATACGGGACAGATACGGGACAGATACGGGATAGCTCCAGCCGTGACACAAACAAACAAACAAACAAACACACAAACACCAAATTAAAGCTGTGTGGACCCTGGCTAGCACCAGACGTTACTAAAGTAACGTCTTCTGCATAGCTACGGGAATAAAACAGACTTTATCATATGCACTCACTTTGACAAAATGGTACCGATGTAAGAGTCCTACTGGGTGTACATGCCGGCATTGCATCACCTATGAGCAGCAACCCCGATGTGCAGGCGTATCTGACCTTCTGGCCAAAGTGGATGACACTAGCATTTACAGTTCCATTCAAAATACCTGGTACAGTGCAGTTGACAGCTGCGTGAAAAAAAGACACCACAGGAAGAGAGAAATCATGCTAGGCTTAATGGTCCGTTTACATGGCTGAAGCCAGTCACAGCAATCTAATCTTCTTTCTAGTCTATACAAATAGTCCTTTTGACAAAATTGTGCCTGCAACGAGATTTGGTTGTTTCTATGCAAATTTATAATTTGATGTTCATTTCCTCTGTGCTGCGCTGATGAGTCCGCAAAATACGAAAAAGTTCTGTCAGCAGATAGAGTAATTCGTTGTGGAAGAAGGAATGAGGACGAAGGAACTACAAGCTAAGCTGCAATGATGACTAACACCACCAGTTAAATTACAATCAGCTCAAGCGATACCATTGCGTGACACTGACCAGTGGTAACATTTTAAAAGAATGTGCCAGGATTTGAAAACAGTTTTATAGGGCAATAGAGCAGAGACTAATAATTAGAAAACCAGAGGGTTCACAACAGCATTGAAGGATATAACTTAGACAATTAACTTACGTGTGCATGTAGGGGCCTGATTACTGCCGTTGCACACTGATTGATTACCTAGATACTCATATCCATTGTTGCATTGAACCATACCACTGGCTGATATCTTCCAAATATGATCACTTGCAGTTCTATTGCAATCTAAAGAGGATGAAAATCGGAGAGAAATCGACACTCTTACACTACTGATTCGTGTTTGTCAAAATCAATGCCAGTTATATGACTTTGCACATCAACTTGGCAAAAATACACAGTGGGTGAACTCGTCCATAATACTGTCATGCATGAGGAGTTCTGTTAGATAGGGGCGATTGGTTTTGTACAACTAGTTTTCGCAAAGCTTCCCCCTTTCTCTATCTCTGATATTGCTGACCCACCCCTGTTGGGGTGAGCAGCGCCTCATGGTTCAACATAGGCAGTTTGTAGGTATTACAATTGTTTTCGTACCCAATCAACATTTATGACGGTTTAGTACAACTATATTAGCCTGAAAAAGACAAAAAAGTATATGCAGTAGCGGGTTTAGGGGGGGGGGCGCCCCCCCCCCTCAAATATTCGACCTAGGTTTCGAAAAATAAAAGGCAGGGCGCCGGGTATAGCTAGACTAGGCTCGGGGCGCATGCGGCCTGAAACGATTGTCCAAAAGCGGTTGCACGGTACTGTGCTCGAGCTAGTGTTGATTGTGCAAGCTACAGACCAGTACAGTACAGTCTACAGAGTAGAGTCCACGTAGAGTCCACGTACAGTGAGCATGCACGGCTACACGGTGACCTGACTGTGTACTGTTTGACTGTGTACTGTTGTACAGTGTGATCCCTGCTGGGACGTGCTCGACGCGTCTTCAACGGTACAAACATCGAAGAAAAATCTTCGATCGAGTCAACCAAAACCCGATTCGAATACCGAGGGCTCAGGCGATCATCCTCGGTCGAATCTTGTTTTGGTTGACTCGAAGGCTTTTCTTCGAGGTCTCAGGGACATCCCAAAAGGCCAAGCTCTAGCCAGCAGAGACTCGAATTTTGTAAATCGTTCCTGTCGCGGCGCAACTCCTGCTGCCGCTCCAACAGGAAACAGTGGGAGTGATGAAGTCGCTGTTATTCCAGTTTAACCTTCCGAGCAGACTGACAGTCACACTCCGCCAGACGTAGAAGAACCTGTTGTCAGCGAGCAGCCAGAACAGGAAGAACAGCGCACAGTCACAAGTACCGCTGCCTATGTAAAGGATGCTTTGAGAGTGATGAGAAATTGTTGGACTCGCATAAATAATTGCAGTAGATTCGCTCACATAACGGCAAATTTGAAGTTTACAATGTACATTGTTGCTGCGTGTACAGAAATACTGCTCGTGGTGTGTGAGATGTACGGCTTGTTGTTGTTGTTTGAATTCTTTATTCTCACGATGGCACCATCGCCAATAAGAGATAAATTGATGAGAAGGTGAGATTGTGGGTTAAACAGTTGGAAAGTGATTTACATCACTTTGAACTTTACAAGTATGGGAGAGGGTGAGCGCTGCAGGAGCAGATTGAGTTAATCAGCGGTGAGCAGATTTCTTGTTTGAAAGCAGGTCGGGAGGAGACGTCACGAATGCTAGCAGGGAGGGCATTGTAGTATTCTAGGGTCGGTTAGCATGGTAGAACGGGAGGATGACGGTTTTCGTTTTATTGACTAGCAGGTGCCAGCGCTCTAGCCAGTCTGCTGCGGCCTCAACGCTTCTTTGTAGTGCAGCCTCACACTCAATGTAACTGCCTGCAATGGCAATTAGTGCGGTGTCGTCCGCGAACTGGCTACACGAGGTTGTAGCATTTTTCACAGGCAGTGGGCAGGTCACGCCAGGAACAGAAGTGGTCCCAGGACCGAGCCCTGGGGCACTCCTGCTGGTATTGGTATGAAGGCGGATGTTGTGCCTTCAACCTGCACCCGCTGTCTGCGTCCTGTCAAGTAGGCTTCGAGCCAATTGTCAGCGTTGCCGTTGACACCATAGTGGCTCAGCTTTTTCAGCAAGCCTTGATGCCATACACGATCAAAGGCTTTAGGGAGCATCTCATAAGTTCGCATTTTGTTTCTAAACGTAACGCATTTCGAAACGGGGGTAGGGGGGTAGCGCCCTTTTCGAATAGAAAAATGACAGTTCGCACATTTTCTAGATCACTTCAGCAAATGAGTGTGTTTAGGAGTAGATCTACCTGTGTTTGCAGATCAGCAAACCCTGTACTACATGCATGTAGGCTACTCAGAGGTGTCAAATGTCACACCAGCCTGATCAAATGGTGTACCTGGTCAGCTTTTACAGCAGTACAGACTTTTTAGTTGTTGTGGAGGAACTGTGTTTATGTGCGTGTACATGTCATTGATTGTACTTGTACTCAGTAGATGCGGTACTACTGTATGCCATGCGCTACCACACTAGCAAAACATTCATATCCATGTACATGTACATAAGCATACCATAGCATGGGGCATGGATGTGTGCAGTACATGTAGATAAACACAGAAAATGTGCGATAAGACTTTCGAATAGAGGGGGGAGGTAGGGGGGTAAAGTCTATTCGAAATGCGTTACGTTTGCAAAATAAATGCGAACTTATGAGATGCTCCCTTACTGAAGAAACACGTTACAACATGCTTCCCCGCATCCCTAGCTTTGGATATCTGGTGGACGATCCGTGCGAGTTGCAGTTCGGTCCCGTCGTGTTTCCTGAAGCCGGATTGGTTGGAGGGTAAGTGCGGTGCTATGTGATTGTACAGACGAGAGTGGACCATTTTTTCTTGTGTTTTTGATATTATACTGAGCAGGGAGATGGGTCGGTAGTTGGTAGGATGGGAGGGGTTGTTGTTGTTGTTGTTGTTTATTTTAATTCACCAAATGAACAGGCAGAGATGCATTCTCACCTGCCCATATGACAGGTCACACAGAATGATGAAGGGATGATATGCAAGGGAAAACAAGAAATGATAATAATAATAATAATATAAGACAGAAAGGACCAAAAGAAGAAAAGGAAAAATTTAGATGAAGACAATTTCATGGAGTCAGAAATAGAAAGACAATAATTTCATGGAGTCAAAAAATAGAAAGACAATTTCATGGAGTCAGGAACACGTGGTTGATTTTATAGACATGCATGCACAAATGATAAATAGATGAGAAGGTTGGAATTTATGGCAGATAATAAAAGTTTAACGAGGATATTCACAAAGTATATCAATGGCAGAAAGAGCCTTTCGGAAGGGACCAGGGATACGACGTATCACTCTATATCAGAGGGGAGAAAGTTCCAGAGAATGCTTCCCCGAAACATCATGGTCGATCGTCCCGCAGGCCCACGAAGAAAGGGAGCTTGAAGCAAGTTCAACACTTGTCCCCGTGTGGTGCGCTGATCCTCCGGAACAGTCTCTGGGGCCGTTCTGGTGAATAACTGTTGAAGAAGGGGGCTACTGGAGGAGCTTCTTGACATCGGTTTTCAAAATGGCTGACCTGGGACAGTAGCATGATGTCATGTACCCCCATCCCATCCCACCTCGAGCCCGGCCGCAACCCCCCCCCCCCCTCCCCCCTCAGCCAAATCCTGGACACGCCACTGATATGGACCGGCTGGGGTGGGCGTTTCCTACGAAGTGGGCATTTGCTGCGAAGTGGGCGTTTGCTGCGAAGTGGGCGTTTGCTGCGAAGTTGCCGTTTGCCGCGAAGTTGGCGTATGCTGCAAAGTTGGCGTTTGCTGCAAAGTTGGCGTTTGCTGTAAAGTGGGCGTTTGCTGCGAAGTGGGCGTTTGCTGCGAAGTTGGCATTTGCTACGAAGTGGGCATTTGCTGCGAAAAGGCATTTGCTGCGAAGTGAGCACTTGCTGCGAAGTGGGCGTTTGCTGCAAAGTTGGTGTCTGCTGCGAAGTGGGCGTTTGCTGCGAAGTTGGCGTTTGCTGTAAAGTGGGTGTTTGCTGCGAAGTTGGCGTTTGCTGGGAAATTGGCGTTTGCTGCGAAGTGTTCGTTTCCAGGGGACTTTACAGTACTAGTAGAACCAATTCAAAAATGCTGCATAACATTGGATTTAGTTGCAAACTGCACGAAACACCCGTTCTTTTTTTCTCCGGAATATTGGTCCCCTGGGGGTAGAGGTGGGAGCTGCGGGGGAGGATGGTTGAGAAAGACTCAAGTGCCAACAGTATGTGTGACACGTGTTTTGATCTGCCTTTTGAGGAAAAAAACTGGCCAGAGCCGTCTAGGTTCAGCCTGGTCCCATAGTTCGGATGGCTAGGGCATTGCTCATGACAAGCAAGGTCAGGGTTTACAGTTCTGGTGGGTCTGGCGGTCTTTATGGCATTCTTCCTTTGTTTGAGGCAGTTCACTTCCGACTGATCCTTTGAAAACGAAATGGTTTAGTATGGTTCAGGCCTCACACATCCACCTTGGGCCTAGGCTGCTTTCAACTGTGGAAACTGTTCTTCACCCAGGAGTTTCTGGTACTCCGTGACAATTCCCCATCGCAGTGGGGTGTTGATTTCAGCACCAGGCCTTCTCTGTGTTGCGCGAGAAGCAACAGGAGTCCTCTGACGACAAAATTTGCACGCAAAATACTCGAGTCGACTAGGATCCTGAGACGCTGCCTCCTTTGGGATTGGAGCCATTTCTTCTTCAACATCACAAATCCACAACTGAAGGATAGTGTTAGGTAGCTGGAAAGTTTGTTCCGTCCTGAGATTATTTGAATTTGTTTGGCTGACGTTCGAAGCGAAACGCACATTTTAATAAGTCGGACCCAGTAATAATAATAATAATAATAATACTTCACTAGTTTGAGGAAAAGAGGCAAACGGGAAAAGTCTGAAGAAAAAATTGACTGTCACCACCAGGACTCGAACCAAGGACCCTCGCTTGTAGCTAGCGATGCTCTAACCACTGAGCTATGGTGTAGTCGTCATCCCAGCAGAGACTGTTCAACATTTTCTTCAGACTTCGTAACTCACACTTCCTGTGAATCCACACAGGCGGGTGGGACGCAGCCCTCACTGTACCCACACACTTCACGTACACTCTAGCAAGCGGGGAGCCCCAAGTCATAAAATCTTCACTAGTTTGAGGGAAAGAGACAAACGGGAAAAGTCTGAAGAAAAAATTGACTGTCACCACCAGGACTCGAACCAAGACAATAATATTCTTTTTTTTTTTGATGCGGTCAGCATTGGCAGGACCGGCTATTTATACAATTTTTGATGTGTTGTATGCCAAACCGGTTTGCCTTGGGATAGAGGCTGTGAGGAAAGTTGATAGACTTGAAAAGAGTCTATTTAGGAAAACACATCCTTCGTTCATCATGCTCACATTCCCAGCTCAAAAATAAGAAGGAAGACAATCACACAGAGACTAAATCAAACGTCACAACTACGAAGCAGGGGTTGCACCAAGACACAGCAGTACTGGTCGGGCATTGATGCCTCTTCCAAACTGAATGAATACTTACCAAATTCGCATATGGCATAGGCTTCCCTTAAAATGTGTCGATTCCCGTTTGTGGCTAAAGCAAAATTTGGTTGAGGTAGTGCATCAACCCATGCGATCAGTTTAGACGAAGATAAAATTCCTACGCACATCCCATTAAAGGAATTTGCAGTAAGAAGCCTTCCATTCTTCAATTTGCAATAAGCTTGGCTAGTTTTGAACTTGAAATGTGTGCCCAGCGCTGTTCTTTTTAAAATTGAATTGGTGGTACTGCAATACCGATAACCTGTTAGACCTGTATCCTCTGTAGGGGAATACGTGCAAGTATTAGAGTGAAGCACAAAACGAGGACAAATAGTCATGCACAGCAACGGAAAAAAATGCGAGAACATGAGCCCATTCAATGCCCGGGACGAGATAACCCGTCCTGAAACACCCACCCTGAAAGGCCAAGAACAAGAATACGTCACACATTAGTAGTAGTATATTACATCAAATCCAAGGTAAATACTAAAAGGTCTGGGGAAGTGATCCACCTGAAAAGAGAAGAAAAAAACCTAGACCCACGAGTTCTCGAACCAGGTACTTTGCTTGTCATGAGCAAAGCTCCAAATACTGAGCTATGGGACCAGGCCGAACCTATAAGGCGCTGACATGTTTTTCAATCCAAATGCAGCTCACAACACCTGCTACAAATAATCATGGCAGTTGGGTCTTTTTCCTTACCCGGTGTCAATGTGTTTGGCACGAGTTGTGGGCTGCATTTGGAGTGAAAAACATGGCAGCACCTTCTAGGCTCGGCCTCTTCCCATACCTGAGTGGTATGGGACAACGTCTCAATGCTCCGCTATTATAATTTGCTACAGAGCAAACCAGGCAGGCACAGCGGGTTGGTCAAAGATCATGATTGAGATACGAGAGGTACCTGGTTCAAGTCCTGCCTGGGAGCGGTTTTCCAGCCGTGCTGCCAGCCGTGCTGCTACCCACAGTCAACTGGGAACTTGTGGCCAGGCACAAGGAGTACATAGATGTAGCTAATTGGGTCGTTTTCGGCACTTGTGCCAGTGGTTTTGAGACTTATCCACTCACCCCCACTGTTAGGCGCTGCATCTGCCGCTAGGGTTTATCGGGTGTTAGCGGCCGTCGTGAGTTCCCTTCGGGAACGGACACGATAATTTACTTTTTTTTTTTTACGGAGCCAGTGTCATTTCATTATTCATTTTTACCCTCTGATGAAGCCCCAAGGGCGAAAATTTGGAGATTTCATTTCTTTTGAATAGAATTTGCAGCGTCAACGTCCTTGGTGTGGTGGTGGTCACTGACCGTGATATTGGACGAGGTACTTAAATAAAGTACAAATTCCACCCTCTAAAGTACAAATTCCACTCTCTAAAGTACAAATTCCACTCTCTAAAGTACAAATTCCGCTGTCTTAAGTACAAATTCCACTCTCTAAAGTACAAATTCCACTCTAGGTTCATAAGCAAGTAGTAGTGTATTGGGATGACGCTACAAGCAACAAAATATTAACACGTGTGTCGTGGTCGTGGTTCATCGCAGGTGCTGCAAGTTGCTTATCGCATCACAAACGTTTCAGGGCCGATGGTCTGAATCACACAGAGGCGGTTCAAAACCGGACTGCATTGCTTACCTTTGCAGGTGGGTGTTGTCAATGAGCGATCAGCCTGGCAGGTCGGGTTGGCATCTCCATCAAGCACATAGTTAACTTTGCATGAGTATGTGACTGTTTCCTGGAAAGATATCTGTGCTGCATTTTTCAGCCCGTCTCGGATATTAGGTACTGTACACTTGACAGCTGTAAATAACAAGAAAAAAACACCAGATATTCACACTTGATATATGTTCGTTGCAACCAACCTTCCGTTTTCTTTCCTTTCTCTTTTTCTCTTATATCTACTTTTCCACAATATCCTTTAACATTTTATTCACAGTGGGTCCAATGTGGTATACGCTACAGGCGCTAAGTGCGGTTTGCTGTGTGCGCTGTAGTTGTATGTTGTATGTGTATGCTTTTCTCATGCACGCTGTCATTTCTACGCTATAACTACCTGGTGGTTTTAGTGTTAGTTATTCATTGTTAATAAGTTGATCGAAGTCATTATTATACCGTTGAGAATAAATATTTGTCCTCGTGCCGTGTGGTCGTTTGTTCCTGACACTTTAGAGAACCAGAGGGTTCACAACAGCACTGAAGTATATAACCATGATGCTGAATCCGTTCTATGTTGCGCATGCATGTAATCATACACTCAATTGCCAAATCAGCTCTATTGCCCGATGGACGGCAACTGCCAAATCAGCTCTAATGCCCGATGGACGGCAACTGCCAAATCAGCTCTATTGTGTACAAGGCAACCATCCAAGTAGCCGGAGAGGACAGACAGAAGAAGTATATCGGTCTTACGGACCCTGCATTCGAGAGGAGAGGAGACACAACAACCATTAATTTTAACATCATTCAGACAGCTAGCTTGTGCTGCCTGTTCTCCTTTATAACTGTGACACATGGGGAGTGCCCCAGGCAGTCTTTGAGCGACTTGACTGTTTTCACCATCGACAGCCCAGAAATCTGATAGCAGTGCGATATCCAGACAGAATTACAAATGATGAATCTGTATTCCAGATGTGGCTCGCAGCCACTGTCGGAGCTTGTTGCCAAGCGACGCGGTAGCCTCACTGGCCATGTGCTGAGGATGATAGAGCAATCATCCCCTTGCCTTGCGATGTCCTGCTAGAGTTACAGCAGAAACGCTTTTGATTCCGCTCAAGTGGATGACCTAGGCTCTGCACCTTGGTGTATTGAGCACTGTCACCAGCAACCAAAACTCCCTCCGATTTAACATAACACATACCGCTTTACTGCTAAATCTGCTTAGAAAATGCTGAAAGTTGAAATCTGACAAGAATATAACATGTGACCACATCTAAATTGCGTCCATTGGCCTCGCATTCTCATTGTCAAATGTTGAAACTTAGACAAATAACTTACGTGTGCATGTAGGAGCCTGATTACTGCCGTTGCACACTGGTTGATTACCTAGATACTCATATCCACTGTTGCATTGAACCATTCCATCGGCTGATATATTCCAAATATGATCACTTGCAGTTCTATTGCAATCTAAAGAGGATGAAAATCGGAGAGAAATCGACACCCTTACACTACTGATTCGCGATTGTCAAAATCAATGCCAGTTATATGACTTTGCACATCAACTTGGCAAAAAAACATATTGGGTGAACTCGTCCATAATACTGTCATGCATGAGGAGTGCTGTTAGATAGGGGCGTCTGGTTTTGTACAACTAGTTTTCGCGAAGCTTCCCCCTTTCTCTATCTCTGATATTGCTGACCAACCCTTGTTGGGGTGAGCAGCACCTCATGGTTCGACATAGGCAGTTTGTAGGTATAACAATTGTTTTCGTACGCATTCAACATTTATGACGGTTTAGTACAACTGTATAAGCCTGAAAAAGCCAAAAAAATATATGGACCGGCTGTGGTGGGTGTTTGCTACGAAGTGGGCATTTGCTGCGAAGTGGGTGTTTGCTGCGAAGTGGGCGTTTGCTGCGAAGTGGGCGTTTGCTTCGAAGTTGGCGTTTGCTGCGAAGTTGGCATTTGCTACGAAGTGGGCATCTGCTGCGAAGTCGGCATTTGCTGCGAAGTGAGCATTTGCTGCGAAGTGAGCATTTGCTGCGAAGTGGGCGTTTGCCGCGAAGTTGGTGTTTGCTGCGAAGTGGGCGTTTGCTGCGAAGTTGGCGTTTGCTGTAAAGTGGGTGTTTGCTGCGAAGTTGGCGTTTGCTGGGAAATTGGCGTTTGCTGCGAAGTGTTCGTTTCCAGGGGACTTTACAGTACTAGTAGAACCAATTCAAAAATGCTGCATAACATTGGATTTAGTTGCAAACTGCACATAACACCTGTTCTTTTTTCTCTGAAATATTGGTCCCCTGGGGGTAGAGGTGGGAGCTGCGGGGGGGGGGGGGGATGGTTGAGAAAGACTCAAGTGCCAACAGTATGTGTGACACGTGTTTTGATCTGCCTTTTGAGGAAAAAAACTGGTCAGAGCCGTCTAGGTTCAGCCTGGTCCCATAGTTCGGATGGCTAGGGCATTGCTCATGACAAGTAGGGTCAGGGTTTACAGTTCTGGTGGGTCTGGCGGTCTTTCTGGCATTCTTCCTTTGTTTGAGGCAGTTCACTTCCGACTGATCCTTTGAAAACGAAATGTTTTAGTATGGTTCAGGCCTCACACATCCACCTTGAGCCTAGGCTGCTTTCAACTGTGGAAACTTGATCCCGATCCCCCCCGACCAGATCACTTCGATCGGAAGAATAAAATTGAATGTGCACAGTTGATTATCATTCTGTTTGAAGACCCTGGCAACAGCAATACTGCATCTTATCCTGTACTACAGTCAGAACTCCCATATTCCGTCCCTTGTGCCCACTCTGCTGTTGAGTGAAGTACCCACTCATGGCTTGCTGCGCTGGGGTGACCGGCTGGGGTGTCCGGCGACAGTCGCATGGCATGCCTCAGCATTTGCATACCTGTCTTTCCAATGGTGGTTGACAGTGGCTCTTCCCGACAGCCCTGGTGCAGGTCGATGTTCGATATCCTGTTCGGGAGCCTTATGCCAATGAGGCTCCTGAGTTGGCATCTGTGGCATATATACATTTTATAGATTTTCTATAATAGTTCAATTTTTTGTGTCCTTTAGTACAACGAAGATTTCTGCTGTGTGTTGTACGAAAACTTGTTTGAATCCATATTTTTCTCTACACCATTTCTTCATATTTTCATCGTTTTATTGCACATCGTCTCCACCATTTTTACATTGCATGATTAAAGTACACAAATGGCGGTTCAGCCAAATTTATTGATTGTGGTTATTAAGTATTGTCTCCTCGCCGTTTGTTTAAATAATACTTGGTCCGACTTATTAAAATGTGCGCTTCGCTTCAAACCTCAAGCCTATGTCCAAAGGAGCACCTGTACTAAAATATCGACCAAGAGACGATAGATAGATTACTACTGTGTCGTTTCTTGGCCTGACCTTGTAGTTTTCATCTCTGCTGGTGTCTCAGGGCGCTTCTTCAAGTGCGTCAGCCTGCAAAACGTCGACATTTTTTCATCTCCTCCAAGCTACACTGCGCTTCCTTGATTTTTTCACTCCATAGGCATGATTTAGACGATCGACTTCGCCTCCTCCTCGTGCAGTACGACTGCCAGAATGGTGGCTGTAGGTGTTTCCGCCCGACGCTCCCACGACACTTTCAATTGAGGTGAACAAGTAAACCATCACGCATAAAAAAATCACTTCTCATCAGGGACTAGTACTAGGGAAGATGCATTGAACTCCCGACACAACAAGAGCACAGTAATTTTAGTTATAATTCATACATTTACATTTTAATGGATACCTGACCGGTTTCTGCAATTAGAATGCTTCATCAGAGGATGAAGAATGAGGTAGAAAACACTAGCTTATATACATGTACACGGTAGGCATGAATTGGCATACTAGTAGTGTAAAGTGGAGAAGGTTGCTAGTCATGTTGCGCTATGCACCAGTAGCTGAGCGTGTAGCAATGCAGTACTTGAAAATAATTGTCTTGGCGCAAATGTGGCTAATACACATGGGTAGCGTGAACCTTAGGAAATAGCTAGGTGAAAAGTTGTAAAGCTGTACAAAAGTAAATGAACCATAGGGTTGAACTAGGTGAAAGTTGTAGGTTTGTACAGATGTTTTTGGTTGGTTCCAGAAATTTCTGGAACCAACCAAAATAACATACTGGTATTGTACTACTCCCTGCTTTTCATCACCGTGTGCCGCGCGCGTAGAAGTTACTAGAACTACAAAGTCTGATCTGTGTTGACATGACTGTCGACACAGTCAGCTGCATCAGACCATGCGTGCTCTTCCCTGCCTGTTTCACGAATCCACTGGCCCCGGAGACTGGCGATCTTGTGACGCATCGCGATCGCGGCTCCTAGGAGTCGGCGGGGACTCCGCACCATTCACGTATTCACCCTTTCTGCGCTTCAGTTTTCCAGCCAGGTTGTCGTCTGAAAGTCGACCTCAAGGGCGGTTGTTTATATCGATCAACTTCTCAACAATCTCTTCTGTACTCTTGATTCGTCGGCCGCCACATCGTGAACGAATGCGAGAGAGATCAGCACAAACTGGACGGAGCGATGCAGGTGCTTTCTGCACGAGTTTCTGGATGACGCGTTTGCTGTTACTTGATTCTTCCAAGGAAACAGAGACTGCACTCGGCGATTTCAATCCGCCAGGAAGCACTCGAGAACGATCACCCAGGAGTTTCTGGTACTCCGTGACAATTCCCCATCGCAGTGGGGTGTTGATTTCAGCACCAGGCCTTCTCTGTGTTACGCGAGAAGCAACAGGAGTCCTCTGACGACAAAATTTGCACGCAAAATACTCGAGTCGACTAGGATCCTGAGACGCTGCCTCCTTTGGGATTGGAGCCATTTCTTCTTCAACATCACAAATCCACAACTGAAGGATAGTGTTAGGTAGCTGGAAAGTTTGTTCCGTCCTGAGAATATTTGAATTTGTTTGGCTGACGTTCGAAGCGAAACGCACATTTTAATAAGTCGGACCCAGTAATAATAATAATAATAATAATAATAATACTTCACTAGTTTGAGGGAAAGAGGCAAACGGGAAAAGTCTGAAGAAAAAATTGACTGTCACCACCAGGACTCGAACCAAGGACCCTCGCTTGTAGCTAGCGATGCTCTAACCACTGAGCTATGGTGTAGTCGTCATCCCAGCAGAGACTGTTCAACATTTTCTTCAGACTTCGTAACTCACACTTCCTGTGAATCCACACAGGCGGGTGGGACGCAGCCCTCACTGTACCCACACACTTCACGTACACTCTAGCAAGCGGGGAGCCCCAAGTCATAAAATCTTCACTAGTTTGAGGGAAAGAGACAAACGGGAAAAGTCTGAAGAAAAAATTGACTGTCACCACCAGGACTCGAACCAAGACAATAATATTCTTTTTTTTTTGATGCGGTCAGCATTGGCAGGACCGGCTATTTATACAATTTTTGATGTGTTGTATGCCAAACCGGTTTGCCTTGGGATAGAGGCTGTGAGGAAAGTTGATAGACTTGAAAAGAGTCTATTTAGGAAAACACATCCTTCGTTCATCATGCTCACATTCCCAGCTCAAAAATAAGAAGGAAGACAATCACACAGAGACTAAATCAAACGTCACAACTACGAAGCAGGGGTTGCACCAAGACACAGCAGTATTGGTCGGGCATTGATGCCTATTCCAAACTGAATGAATACTTACCAAATTCGCATATGGCATAGGCTTCCCTTAAAATGTGTCGATTCCCGTTTGTGGCTAAAGCAAAATTTGGTTGAGGTAGTGCATCAACCCATGCGATCAGTTTAGACGAAGATAAAATTCCTACGCACATCCCATTAAAGGAATTTGCAGTAAGAAGCCTTCCATTCTTCAATTTGCAATAAGCTTGGCTAGTTTTGAACTTGAAATGTGTGCCCAGCGCTGTTCTTTTTAAAATTGAATTGGTGGTACTGCAATACCGATAACCTGTTAGACCTGTATCCTCTGTAGGGGAATACGTGCAAGTATTAGAGTGAAGCACAAAACGAGGACAAATAGTCATGCACAGCAACGGAAAAAAATGCGAGAACATGAGCCCATTCAATGCCCAGGACGAGATAACCCGTCCTGAAACACCCACCCTGAAAGGCCAAGAACAAGAATACGTCACACATTAGTAGTAGTATATTACATCAAATCCAAGGTAAATACTAAAAGGTCTGGGGAAGTGATCCACCTGAAAAGAGAAGAAAAAAACCTAGACCCACGAGTTCTCGAACCAGGTACTTTGCTTGTCATGAGCAAAGCTCCAAATACTGAGCTATGGGACCAGGCCGAACCGTTAAGGCGCTGACATGTTTTTCAATCCAAATGCAGCTCACAACACCTGCTACAAATAATCATGGCAGTTGGGTCTTTGTCCTTACCCGGTGTCAATGTGTTTGGCACGAGTTGTGGGCTGCATTTGGAGTGAAAAACATGGCAGCACCTTCTAGGCTCGGCCTCTTCCCATACCTGAGTGGTATGGGACAACGTCTCAATGCTCCGCTATTATAATTTGCTACAGAGCAAACCAGGCAGGCACAGCGGGTTGGTCAAAGATCATGATTGAGATACGAGAGGTACCTGGTTCAAGTCCTGCCTGGGAGCGGTTTTCCAGCCGTGCTGCCAGCCGTGCTGCTACCCACAGTCAACTGGGAACTTGTGGCCAGGCACAAGGAGTACATAGATGTAGCTAATTGGGTCGTTTTCGGCACTTGTGCCAGTGGTTTTGAGACTTATCCACTCACCCCCACTGTTAGGCGCTGCATCTGCCGCTAGGGTTTATCGGGTGTTAGCGGCCGTCGTGAGTTCCCTTCGGGAACGGACACGATAATTTACTTTTTTTTTTTTACGGAGCCAGTGTCATTTCATTATTCATTTTTACCCTCTGATGAAGCCCCAAGGGCGAAAATTTGGAGATTTCATTTCTTTTGAATAGAATTTGCAGCGTCAACGTCCTTGGTGTGGTGGTGGTCACTGACCGTGATATTGGACGAGGTACTTAAATAAAGTACAAATTCCACCCTCTAAAGTACAAATTCCCATCTCTAAAGTACAAATTCCACTCTCTAAAGTACAAATTCCGCTGTCTTAAGTACAAATTCCACTCTCTAAAGTACAAATTCCACTCTAGGTTCATAAGCAAGTAGTAGTGTATTGGGATGACGCTACAAGCAACAAAATATTAACACGTGTGTCGTGGTCGTGGTTCATCGCAGGTGCTGCAAGTTGCTTATCGCATCACAAACGTTTCAGGGCCGATGGTCTGAATCACACACAGGCGGTTCAAAACCGGACTGCATTGCTTACTTTTGCAGGTGGGTGTTGTCAATGAGCGATCAGCCTGGCAGGTCGGGTTGGCATCTCCATCAAGCACATAGTTAACTTTGCATGAGTATGTGACTGTTTCCTGGAAAGATATCTGTGCTGCATTTTTCTGCCCATCTGGGATATTAGGTACTGTACACTTGACAGCTGTAAATAACAAGAAAAAAACACCAGATATTCACAATTGATATATGTTCGTTGCAACCAACCTTCCGTTTTCTTTCCTTTCTCTTTTTCTCTTATATCTACTTTTCCACGATATCCTTTAACATTTTATTCACAATGGGTCCAATGTGGTATACGCTACAGGCGCTAAGTGCGGTTTGCTGTGTGCGCTGTAGTTGTATGTTGTATGTGTATGATTTTCTCATGCACGCTGTCATTTCTACGCTATAACTACCTGGTGGTTTTAGTGTTAGTTATTCATTGAGTTGATCGAAGTCATTATTATACTGTTGAGAATAAATATTTGTCCTCGTGCCGTGTGGTCGTTTGTTCCTGACACTTTAAAGAACCAGAGGGTTCACAACAGCACTGAAGTATATAACCATGATGCTGAATCCGTTCTATGTTGCGCATGCATGTAATCATACACTCAATTGCCAAATCAGCTCTATTGCCCGATGGACGGCAACTGCCAAATCAGCCCTATTGCCCGATAGACGGCAACTGCCAAATCAGCTCTATTGCCCGATGGACGGCAACTGCCAAATCAGCTCTATTGTGTAGCCGGAGAGGACAGACAGAAGAAGTATATCGGTCTTACGGACCCTGCATTCGAGAGGAAAGGAGACACAACAACCATTAATTTTAACCCTTTATTGGCCGATTAAAATACAAACAAGCCCACGCAATCGCCAAATCTGTAACTAAATTGGACGTAACTTCATTCAGACAGCTAGCTTGTGCTGCCTGTTCTCCTTTATAACTGTGACACATGGGGAGTGCCCCAGGCAGTCTTTGAGCGACTTGACTGTTTTCACCGTCGACAGCTCAGAAATCTGATAGCAGTGCTATATCCAGACAGAATTACAAATGATGAATCTGTATTCCAGATGTGGCTCGCAGGCACAGTCGGAGCTTGTTGCCAAGCGACGCCCTAGCCTCACTAGCCATGTGCTGAGGATGAATGAGCAATCATCCCCTTGCCTTGCGATGTCCTGCTAGAGTTACAGCAGAAACGCTTTTGATTCCGCTCAAGTGTGTGTACTAGGGTCTGCACCTTGGTGTACTGAGCACTGTCACCAGCAAACACAACTCCCTCCGATTTAACATAATACATACCGCTTTACTGCTAAATCTGCTTAGAAAATGCTCAAAGTTGAAATCTGACAAGAATATCACATGTGACCACATCTAAATTGCGTCCATTGGCCTCGCATTCTCATTGTCAAATGTTGAAACTTAGACAAATAACTTACGTGTGCATGTAGGAGCCTGATTACTGCCGTTGCACACTGGTTGATTACCTAGATACTCATATCCACTGTTGCATTGAACCATTCCATCGGCTGATATATTCCAAATATGATCACTTGCAGTTCTATTGCAATCTAAAGAGGATGAAAATCGGGGAGAAATCGACACCCTTACACTACTGATTCGCGATTGTCAAAATCAATGCCAGTTATATGACTTTGCACATCAACTTGGCAAAAAAACATAGTGGGTGAACTCGTCCATAATACTGTCATGCATGAGGAGTGCTGTTAGATAGGGGCGTCTGGTTTTGTACAATTAGTTTTCGCAAAGCTTCCCCCTTTCTCTATCTCTGATATTGCTGACCAACCCCTGTTGGGGTGAGCAGCGCCTCATGGTTCGACATAGGCAGGTTGGAGGTATTACAATTGTTTTTGTACGCATTCAACATTTATGACGGTTTAGTACAACCGTGTTAGCCTGAAAAAGACCAAAATTATATGGACCGGCTGCGGTGGGTGTTTTCTACGAAGTGGGCAGTTGTTGCTAAGTGGGCGTTTGCTGCGAAGTAGGCGTTTGCTGCAAAGTCGGCGTTTGCTGCGAAAATGGCGTTTGCTGCGAAGTCGGCGTTTGCTGCGAAGTCGGCGTTTGCTGCGAAGTCGGCGTTTGCTGCGAAATGTTCGTTTCCAGGGGACTTTACGGTACTAGTAGAACCAATTCAAAAATGCTGCATAACATTGGATTAAGTTGCAAACTGCACATAACACCCTTTCTTTTTTTCTCCGACATATTGGTCCCCTGGGGGGAGAGGTGGGAGGTGCGGGGGGGGGGGGGGGGGGGGATGGTTGAGAAAGACTCAAGTGCCAACAGTTTGTGTGACACGTGTTTTGATCTGCCTTTTGCAGGGTTCACAGCCAACCAAGCACACAGAATTCCAAACTTTTTCCAAACTTTTTTCAAACCAATTTCAAGAATTTCGAAACCCACTCGTGCAGGAAAAATAAAATAATACTATAAACCTATTCTGAACGACTGTCTTCTCCACTACGAGTACAACCTGGGAGTAGTAAAATCCTCCCTGGTATCACTACCATCAACAAATTCACCAAGGTGCATGGCGATGATATCGCCTTCAGCAGCTAGAGCCCCTGAAAATAGCAGGGGAATTCATACGACGAGAGTTCCCCTCCGTAAGTTCAAATCCGCCTCCAGAGGGGGTTCCAATGAAACATTTACATAGCTGGTATCCATTTCAGCACTAAAGACGGATTCATCCTCGCCAGAAAACTCATCTGAGTGCGAAATGACCTCGCTATCCTGCTGTCCCGACTTGAAAGAGACAAAGTCGAGCGCGAGCGCCAGTAACAAAAAATAAACGGCCAAATAAAAGGCATCACCGGCCGCGCTTGAGTTGCACTGAAATGACTGTACAAGACGCGTACATGCAGTGAGCACCACGCATCGCATCGCATCGCCAGCGCGTATTCTATCGCGGCACTCAAAACGGCCACTTGCACTGCAGGAGTGCAGCACATCTGAGCTGCGGCCAAAAAATCGAAATTCAAAACTGTTTTCAAACTTTTTCAAAATGAGCACCTTTTCAAAACTTTTTCCAGACCTGGAAAATCGAATTATAAAATCCAAACTTTTTCCAGACTTCCAAACTTCGCTGCGAACCCTGCTTGTGAGGAAAACAACTGGTCAGAGCCGTCTAGGTTCAGCCTGGTCCCATAGTTCGGATGGCTATGGCATTGCTCATGACAAGCAAGGTCAGGGTTTACAGTTCTGGTGGGTCTGGCGGTCTTTATGGCATTCTTCCTTTTTTTGAGGCAGTTCACTTCCGACTGATCCTTTGAAAACGAAATGTTTTAGTATGGTTCAGGCCTCACACACCCACCTTTGGCCTAGGCTGCTTTCAACTGTGGAAACTTGATCTCGATCCCCCCCCCCCCCCCCCGACCAGATCACTTTGATCGGAAGAATAAAATCGAATGTGCACAATTGATTATCATTCTGTTTGAAGACCCTGGCAACAGCAATACTGCATCTTATCCTGTACTACAGTCAGAACTCCAATATCCCGTCCCTTGTGCCCACTCTGCTGTGGAGTGAAGTACCCACTCATGGCTTGCTGCGCTGGGGTGACCGGCTGGGGTGTCTGGCGACAGTCGCATGGCATGCCTCAGCATCTGCATACCTGTCTTTCCAATGGTGGTTGACAGTGGCTCTTCCCGGCAGCGCTGGTGCAGGTCGATGTTCGATATCCTGTTCGGGAGCCTTATGCCAATGAGGCTCCTGAGTTGGCATCTGTGGCATATATACATTTTATAGATTTTCTATAATAGTTCAATTTTTTGTGTCCTTTAGTACAACGAAGATTTCTGCTGTGTGTTGTACGAAAACTTGTTTGAATCCATATTTTTCTCTACACCATTTCTTCATATTTTCATCGTTTTATTGCACATCGTCTCCACCATTTTTACATTGCATGATTAAAGTACACAAATGGCGGTTAAGCCAAATTTATTGATTGCGGTTATTAAGTATTGTCTCCTCGCCGTTTGTTTAAATAATACTTGGACCGACTTATTAACATGTGCGCTTCGCTTCAAACCTCAAGCCTATGTCCAAAGGAGCACCTGTACTAAAATATCGACCAAGAGACGATAGATAGATTACTACTGTGTCGTTTCTTGGCCTGACCTTGTAGTTTTCATCTCTGCTGGTGTCTCAGGGCGCTTCTTCCAGTGCGTCAGCCTGCAAAACGTCGACATTTTTTTTCATCTCCTCCAAGCTACACTGCGCTTCCTTGATTTTTTCACTCCATAGGCACGATTTAGACGATCGACTTCGCCTCCTCCTCGTGCAGTACGACTGCCCGAATGGTGGCTGTAGGTGTTTTCGCCTGACGCTCCCACGACACTTTCAAATGAGGCGAACAAGTAAACCATCACGCATAAAAAAATCGCTTCTCATCAGGGAGTAGTACAATACCATACTGGTATTGTACTACTCCCTGCTTTTCATCACCGTGTGCCGCGCGCGTAGAAGTTACTAGAACTACAGAGTCTGATCTGTGTCGACATGACTGTCGGCACAGTCAGCTGCATCAGACCATGCGTGCTCTTCCCTGCCTGTTTCACGAATCCACTGGCCCCGGAGACTGGCGATCTTGTGACGCATCGCGATCGCGGCTCCGAGGAGTCAGCTGTCGGCACAGTCAGCTGCATCAGACCATGCGTGCTCTTCCCTGCCTGTTTCACGAATCCACTGGCCCCGGAGACTGGCGATCTTGTGACGCATCGCGATCGCGGCTCCGAGGAGTCAGCAGGGACTCCGCACCATTCACGTATTCACCCTTTCTGTGCTTCAGTTTTCCAGCCAGGTTGTCGTCTGAAAGTCGACCTCAAGGGCGGTTGTTTATATCAATCAACTTCTCGACAATCTCTTCTGTACTCTTGATTCGTCGGCCGCCACATCATGAACGAATGCGAGAGAGATCAGCACAAACTGGACGGACAATGCAGGTGCTTTCTGCACGAGTTTCTGGATGACGCGTTTGCTGTTACTTGATTCTTCCAAGGAAACAGCGACTGCACTCGGCGATTTCAATCCGCCAGGAAGCACTCGAGAACGATCACCCAGGAGTTTCTGGTACTCCGTGACAATTCCCCATCGCAGTGGGGTGTTGATTTTAGCACCGGGCCTTCTCTGTGTTGCGCGAGAAGCAACAGGAGTCCTCTGACGACAAAATTTGCACGCAAAATACTCGAGTCGACTAGGATCCTGAGACGCTGCCTCCTTTGGGGTTGGAGCCATTTCTTCATTAACATCACAAATCGACAACTGAAGGATAGTGTTAGGTAGCTGGAAAGTTTGTTCCGTCCTGAGATTATTTGAATTTGTTTGGCTGACGTTCGAAGCGAAACGCACATTTTAATAAGTCGGACCCAGTAATAATAATAATAATACTTCACTAGTTTGAGGGAAAGAGGCAAACGGGAAAAGTCTGAAGAAAAAATTGACTGTCACCAGCAGGACTCGAACCAAGGACCCTCGCTTGTAGCTAGGGATGCTCTAACCACTGAGCTATGGTGTAGTCATCATCCCAGCAGAGACTGTTCAACATTTTCTTCAGACTTTGTAACTCACACTTCCTGTGAATCCACACAGGCGGGTGGGACGCAGCCCTCACTGTACCCACACACTTCACGCACACTCTAGCAAGCGGGGAGCCCCAAGTCATAAAATCTTCACTAGTTTGAGGGAAAGAGACAAACGGGAAAAGTCTGAAGAAAAAATTGACTGTCACTACCAGGACTCGAACCAAGATAACGAGAGAGCTTGGAAGCCCAGGACCCTACGCTATGCTTTTTTTGTATTGATGACCTAGACAAAAAAAAGGATAGGGATGTTATAAATTCTTTAAACAATTCCTTTTTTTAGGACATAACCTGGGATTCGAACCCGCACGATCGCGCGCCCTGCACGCATCCCCCGATACACTTCGCATACATACTAATTCTTCCAAATTGTTTGACATTGTGATCTTGCCCTATTTGAATATGCATTGTGGCCACCGTCTTTGATGGCACGGTACGGTAGGGGATAGGTACGGGACAGGTACGATCGAGGGTAATACGACACCGTCTCCCGCACCGTACCATACCATCAAACACAGCTGGCTACATACAGCTGCCCGCAATATTCAAATAGGGCTTTCAAACGCAAGATAATAACGTGAAGCAACTTGGAAGAATGGGTATGAATGCGAAGTGTATGTGGGAATGCATATAGGGCGATAGTGCGGGTTCGAATCCCAGGATATGCCTGAAAAAAAAATAGAAGAATTAAAAACTTTATAACATCCTATGCTTTTTCGCCGTCTAATACCGATAGCGCCAGGCGTGACACAAACAAACAAACAAACAAACAAACACACAAATACCAAATTAAAGCTGTGTGGACCCTGGCTAGCGCCAGACGTTACTGCAGTAACGTCTTCTGCATAGCTACGGGAATAATACTAGTTTTTATTTGATGCGGTCAGCATTGGCAGGACCGGCTATTCATACAATTTTGACGTGTTGTATGCCAAACCGGTTTGCTTTGGGATAGAGGCTGTGAGGAAAGTTGATAGACTTGAAAAGAGTCTATTTAGGAAAACACATTCTTTGTTCATCATGCTCACATTCCCAGCTCAAAAATAAGAAGGAAGACAATCGCACAGAGACTGTATCAAACGTCTCAACTACTGAGCAGGGGTTGCACCAAGACACAGCAGTGCTGGTGGGGCATTGATGACTCTGCCAAACTGAATGATTACTTACCAAACTCGCATATGGCATAGGCCTCGCCTGAAATGGGTCGATACCCGTTTGTGGCTAAAGCAACATTTGGTTGAGGTGGTGCATCAACCCATGCGATCAGTTTAGACGAAGATAAAATTCCTACGCACATCCCATTAAAGGAATTTTCAGTAAGAAGCCTTCCATTCTTCGATTTGCAATAAGCTTGGCTAGTTTTGAACTTGAAGTGTGTGCCCAGCGCTGTTCTTTTTAAAATTGAATTGGTGGTACTGCAATACCGATAACCTGTTAGACCTGTATCCTCTGTAGGGGAATACGTGCAAGTATTAGAGTGAAGTACAAAACGAGGCAAAATCGTCATGCACAGCAACGGAAACAAATGCAAGAACATGAGCCCATTCAATGCCCAGGACGGAATAACCCGCCTGAAACACCCACCCTGAAAGGCCAAGAACAAGAATACGTCACACATTAGTATTAGTATATTACCTCAAATCCAAGGTAAATACTAAAAGGTCTGGGGAAGTGATCCACCTGAAAAGAGAAGAAAAAAACTAGACCCACGAGGTCTCGAACCAGGTACTTTGCTTGTCATGAGCAAAGCTCCAAATACTGAGCTATGGGACCAGGCCGAACCGTTAAGGCGCTGACATGTTTTTCAATCCAAATGCAGCTCACAACACCTGCTACAAATAATTATGGCAGTTGGGTCTTTTTCCTTACCCCGTGTCAATGTGTTTGGCACGAGTTGTGGGCTGCATTTGGAGTGAAAAACATGGCAGCACCTTCTAGGCTCGGCCTCTTCCCATACCTGAGTGGTATGGGACAACGTCTCAATGTCTAAATGCTCCGCTATTAAAGTTTGCTACAGAGCCAGTTTCATTTCATTATTCATTTTTACCCTCTGATGAAGCCCCAAGGCGAAAATTTGGAGATTTCATTTCTTTTGAATAGAATTTGCAGCGTCAACGTCCTTGGTGTGGTGGTGGTCACTGACCGTGATATTGGACGAGGTAATTAAATAAAGTACAAATTCCACCCTCTAAAGTACAAATTCCACCCTCTAAAGTACAAATTCCACCATCTAAAGTACAAATTCCACTCTCTAAAGTACAAATTCCACTCTCTAAAGTACAAATTCCACTCTCTAAAGTACAAATTCCACTCTAGGTTCATGAGCAAGTAGTTGTGCATTGGGATGACGCTACAAGCAACAAAATATTAACACAAGTGTCGTGGTCGTGGTTCATCGCAGGTGCTGCAAGTGGCTTATCGCATCGCAAACGTTTCAGGGGCGATGGTCTAAATTACACACAGGCGGTTCAAAACCGGACAGCATTGCTTACTTTTGCAGGTGGGTGTTGTCAATGAGCGATCAGCCTGGCAGGTCGGTTTGGCATCTCCATCAAGCACATAGTTAACTTTGCATGAGTATGTGACTGTTTCCTGGAAAGATATCTGTGCTGCACTTTTCAGCCCATCTGGGATATTAGGTACTGTACACTTGACAGCTGTAAATAACAAGAAAAAAAACACCAGATATTCACACTTGATATATGTTCGGTGCAACCAACCTTCCGTTTTCTTTCCTTTCTCTTTTTTTTCTTATATCTACTTTTCCACAATATCCTTTAACATTTTATTCACAGTGGGTCCAATGTGGTATACGCTGCAGGCGCTAAGTGCGGTTTGCTGTGTGCGCTGTAGTTGTATGTTGTATGTGTATGCTTTTCTCATGCACGCTGTCATTTCCACGCTATAACTACCTGGTGGTTTAAGTGTTAGTTATTCATTGTTAATTAGTCGATCGAAGTCATTATTTTACTGTTGGGAATAAATAGTTGTCCTCGTGCCGTGTGGTCGTTCCCCCTGACACTTTAGAGAACCAGAGGGTTCACAACAGCACTGAAGGATATAGCCATGATGCTGAATCCGTTCTATGTTGCGCATGCATGTTAGCATACACTCAACTGCCAAATCAGCTCTATTGCCCGATGGACGGCAACTGCCAAATCAGCTCTATTGCCCGATGGACGGCAACTGCCAAATCAGCTCTATTGCCCGATGGACGGCAACTGCCAAATCAGCTCTATTGCCCGATGGACGGCAACTGCCAAATCAGCTCTATTGCCCGATGGACGGCAACTGCCAAATCAGCTCTATTGCCCGATAGACGGCAACTGCCAAATCAGCTCTATTGCCCGATGGACGGCAACTGCCAAATCAGCTCTATTGCCCGATGGACTGCAACTGCCAAATCAGCTCTATTGCCCGATGGACGGCAACTGCCAAATCAGTGTACAAGGCAACCATCCAAGTAGCCGGAGAGGACAGACAGAAAGAGTATATCGATCTTACGGACCCTGCATCCGAGAGTAGAGGAGACACAACAATCATTAATTTTAACATCATTCAGACAGCTAGCTTGTGCTGCCTCTCCTCCTTTATAACTTTGAGACATGGGGAGCGCCCCAGGCAGTCTTTCAGCGACTGGACTGTTTTCACTGTCGACAGCTCAGAAACCTGATGGGAGTGCGATATCCAGACAGAATTACAAATGATGAATCTGTATTCCAGGTGTGGCTCGCAGCCTCTGTCGGAGCTTGTTGCCAAGCGACGCCGTAGCCTCACTGGCCATGTGCTGAGGATGAATGAGCAATCATCTCCTTGCCTTGCGATGTCCTGCTATTTCGAGCGGGATCAAATTATTTAATTAAAACCGTGAAACTCAGAGTTACAGCTTTGCACTTTGGTGTGTTGAACACTGCCACCAGCAACCACAACTCCCTCCACATTAACATAACACATTTCGCTTTACTGCTAAACTTGCTTACAAAATGCTGAAAGTTGAAATCTGACAAGAATATCACATGTGACCACATCTAAATTTATTTCATCGTCCCCGCATTGTCAAATGTTGAAACTTAGACAAATTACTTACGTGTGCATGTAGAGGCCTGAGTACTGCCGTAGCACACTGGTTGATTACCTAGATACTCATATCCATTGTTGCATTGAACTATACCATCGGCCGATATATTCCAAATCTGATCACTCGCTTGTCTGTTGCAATCTAAAGAGGATGAAAATCGGAGAGAAATCGACACCCTTACACTACTGATTTGCGTCTGTCAAAATCAATGCCAGTTATATGCGAAGTTGGCGTTTGCTGCGAAGTTGGCGTTTGCTGCGAAGTGGGCGTTTGCTGCGAAGTTGGCGTTTGCTGTGAAATTGGCGTTTGCTGCGAAGTTGGCCTTTGCTGCGAAGTTGGCGTTTGCTCCGAAGTGGGCGTTTGCTCCGAAGTGGGCGTTTGCTGCGAAGTGGGCGTTTGCTGCGAAGTTGGCGTTTGCTGCGAAGTTGGCGTTTGCTGCGAAGTTGGCATTTGCTGCGAAGTATTTTCCAGGGGACTTTACGGCACTAGTAGAACCAATTCAAAAATGCTGCATAACATTGGATTTAGTTGCAAACTGCACATACCACCCGTTCTTTTTTCTCCGAAATAATGGTCCCCTGTGGACGTAGAGGTGGGAGGGGGGGGGGAGTTGGGAGGGTTGAGAAAGACTCAAGTGCCATCAGTATGTGGGACACATGTTTTGATCTGCCTTTGGAGAAAAAAATTGGTCAGAGCCGTCTAGGTTCAGCCTGGTCCCATAGTTCGGATGGCTAGGGCATTGCTCATGACAAGCAAGGTCAGGGTTTTGAGTTGTGGTGGGTCTGGCGTTCTTTATGGCATTCTTCCTTTTTTTGAGGCAGTTCACTTCCGACTGATCCTTTGAAAACGAATTGTTTAAGTATTGTTCAGCCCCCACACACCCACCTAGGCTGCTTTTGACTGTGGAAACTGGATCCCCATCCCTGCTGACCAGATCACTTCGATCAAAAGAATAAAATCGAATGTGCACAATTGATAATCCGTTTCAAGACCCTGGGAACAGCGTTTCTGCATCTCATCCTGTTCTACTGTCAGAACTCCTGTATCCCGTCCTACTTTATCCGGATCCCTCGCTATCAGGAAGAAAATAGCTTGTTACAGATGTTCAGCGCCCGTGGTGCATCCAACATAACCGGTGTTCGGTTATCCCGTTCCCTCGTCTATGCGGACATTGTTTTATGGAAAACGGATGTGTGCTGCTAAACGAGGTCTGACTTTATTCAGTGGTTTCTATACACATTATTGTGAGGTCTTATTCTAGTTTTATAAGTATAAGAATGTATAAGGGCCGGGTTCCACTGCGGCTCCGCGGCTTCGTTGCTCCATGGCTTTGCTGCTCCGCGGCACTTGGTTGCATGCAGCGAAGCAGCGCGGTTTCACTGACACTCGCCATTCGCGGTACCGCGGTCGTGGTCCACCCTTGTTGATGACGTTTCACCTGCCCGCGCGCTCGCGCGCGCGCGAAATCCAAAAATCCTCGTGTTCTGGCCTGCGCAACGAATTAAAATTTGAATTTTAAAATTCTGGCGTACAAAACAATGCAAAGTACGGGAAACAGGTCGAGCCGCGACCGCGGCTCGCACTTTTTGGTCAAGAACCGTAGCAAAAGCTCGCGGTGAGCCGCGGTCTCGCTGCTCCAGCTCAAGCCGCGGTCACTATGGTAATGATGACGTTTCAAGCCACGAAAGACGAGCAGCGGAGCCGCAGTGGAACCTGGTCCTTAGACAAGATGCTGTGTTGCCCTCCCCTTTGCTAAAACGACCTCTCTTGTACACTCTCCACTCTTTGTTGCCTACTCTGCTTGGCTTGCGCTGCCCGCTACTACGCGCAATGCCAGAACACTGGACGCATTTAAATCTCCTCACTAGATTCACCATCACCTGTCCCTCCCATGCTTCTCCGTCTTGAACATTACTTTTCTTCTTTTCTTCCTTTATTCACCATGGTCGGTTAACACCCACATCTCCCGTACCGGCTGATTTTCTTTTTCATGCCATGAGGTGTTGTCTATAATAATAATTATAAGAAGAAGAAGAAGAAAAAACAGATGAGTGCAAACAACAGTTCGAATCATTTTTTTCCAATGACTGTTTTATCTTATGTGTACTTCTTTCTTTTTAGATTGTTTTCATATAATCTCCATCGCTTGGCACTAGACATGGTTGGCGTTTTACCATTCACGCTATTTCGACCAGTGACCTGTACAGATTGTTGTGTGTGTAGACATAGCATTTCATCGTTCGCACGCTAGATCCAACGGCACTCGTAACCAACACCCAAAATACCGTTGGTTTGGTACCGTTTCGATGATAGAAAGCTCTTTTTAGCAGGAGAACGGAACAGGAAGATTCCAACTAGGGTTGTGTCAAAATTCGATCGCTGCATCAGGAGTTAGGACTCACAAGCTGAACTGCAACTGTGTCTCGAAAATACACAAAAAAACAGTAGACTCGCCCTTTACACGCCGACCGTCGGCAATAGCGTGAATGGTAAAATGCTAACCATAAAATTATATTGTTTAATAAAGTAATCCAATATTACTACAACTCGTCATCCTTGATGAACGGTATCAGCTGAAGCGACATGTTTTTAATTTTTTAATTTATTATTTAAAGGATCTCCCAGAGGCGATGGCCTGTCGAGGGGATCTCCTGATGCTAATCATGCAATAGAAATAAACAGTGAGGAAAACTACACGTGTCGCAGTATATGCTAAATAATGAGCAATAAACACAGGGCTGGGTTGTTCAAAATAAATGCTAGAAAGGTTTTATTGAAATGTAAAGTGGTGATGGACAAAGAAAATTGTGATTGAAATGTAATGTGAACAATGAAAATTATAAACATGCATCGAACTAGCTTTTGCACAATGCTCATTCGAAAGCATCGTTGTAACAAATTGCAACACAGATTACTATAAATGATCAATAGTGATATAATAACACCGAAACAATGCCAAAAAAGTATCCATCGCCACTTTACATTTCAATAAAACCTTTGTAACATGACGCTTCAGCTGATTCTGTTCATTGCCATCTTTTAAAAAAATTGTCAAAATTGTTGTCTCTTCGCCAAATATTAATGTACTCACCAAATTCGCATATAGCGTAGACAAGGGTATCAAGGGTACGTGTCCCGTCTGTGACATAAGCAACATTTCGATCATTGGGCTCCAGCTCATCAACCCATGATATCAGTTGTGACGTAGCTAGATTTCCTACGCAATTCCCAGTATATGCGGCTGCAGTAAGAAGCCTTCCGTTCTTCAACTTGCAATATGCATGGCTAGTTGTGTAATTGTACCGTGTGCCGACCGCTGTTCTCCTTAAAATTGAATCGGTGATACTGCAATACTGATAACCTGTCAGACCCGTGTCCTCTGCATGGGGAATACATGTACATGCAAGAATGAAGCACAAAACAAGGCAAAATAACCAAGCATTCCAGCACGTAGAAATTATTCCCGTAGCTATGCAGAAGACGTTACTTCAGTAACGTCTGGCGCTAGCCAGGGTCCACACAGCTTTAATTTGGTGTTTGTTTGTGTGTTTGTTTGTTTGTGTCACGCCTGGCGCTATCCCGTATCTGTCCCGTACTGTACCGTACCAGCAAAGACAGCTGGCGACAATATTTTTGTTTGTTTGTGCCATCGACATGCCTGGCGCTATCCCGTACCTGTCCCGTACCATCAAGAGTACGGTACCATCAAGAGAATGAGTATATATGCGAAGTGTATGGGGGGAATGCATTCAGTGCAGTACCATTAAATTTTGTGTGGATTTGTGTGCGAGGCCGAGATCCCACTAGTAGGCCGGCTGGGCCGCCGGTCGACCAGCCCGGGAATCGCATGTAGGCCGATAGCATAATAATTATAACGTATAGACCTTATTCGATAAACGTCACAATCACGTGAACCGGGGGCCCGAGATCCAGGGAGTGGCAAGAGATCTGCGCTCAGTGCACAGTGGACTCTGTGTGCGAACATAGGAGTAGATAAATACCGGTATTTTACTACTCTTTTGTCCAAACTGGGCCTTTCTTGCCACTCGTTTCTCGTACGCGTGCCCTAGCTTATGACAAATCCCTGGAGGCGAGTCCAAAAGTCACGTTATCGAATAAGGTCTATATACAGTCATGTAGATGTATAGCAGGGAGTCATATTATGTAAACGACTCCCTGCTGTATGGGGAGATTTTCTGGAAAGAAATACGAAGTAGGGAGACGAGTAAATGCGATCAGAATGGATGTTAGTTGGCGTCAGTATAATAATAATAAGAAGAAGAAGAAGAACGCCCGTGATCGGCAGAGTCAGCGCCGGTCCCAGAAAACGTCAGGACATCCCATCGACTCCAGAACGCCCGTGATCGGCAGAGTCAGCGCCGGTCCCATAGCTATGCAGAAGACGTTACTTGTACTTCAGTATTTCATTGAAACGTTTTTGCAATACAATGATGTAGCTAATCAAAGGAAAAAGCATTTCCATCAGTTCTAACAACATGCGCGATGAGCTAGGCAACAAAGCATAGCGCAGGGCCCTGAGCTTCCAAGCTCTCTCGTTTTAACTTACAAACAAACGGCATGACCCCAAGCAGCAATATAAATAATAATAAGTTAAACTGGGAATAGGATAAACTTCATATTCAAGGTAAAAAAGCAGGTGAAATGAATTGCCTGCAAAGACAAACAAACCAAGTAAGACCCAACAAGACGCGAATCTGGTACCTTGCTTGTCATGCGCTATGCTCTAAATATTGACCTATGGGACTAAGCCAAACCTAGAAGGCGCTGACATGTTTTCACTCGAAAGGCAGCTCACAACAGGTGACACACATACTGTCGGCACTTGGGTCTTTTTCTGTACCCCGTGTCAGTATGTTTAGCATGTGCTGCGAGCTGACTTTGGAGTGAAACACGCAGAGGTCTAGCCAGGATTTTATGCCAGCCGGCCAACGTTCTAGTTAAAATGCATCGTTCTGGGGGCTGTGCCCCCAGACCCCCGCCATCAGTCACATATCCACACACACACACACACCACTACAAATCTTTCATTGCAGCTTGCATCTCCTTTCGTTTCGTCCAATTATGGGCATTCATCAGGTAGTTGTGACAATGTGATTATAGGTATTAAAATAAACAAAATATGACAAAGGAAGCAAACAGCTACATGAGCATGGATCATGACTGTGTTCACCAAGGTCATGTCTGCATGCAGTGTACATTGGTCATCTGACAAGACCCAGCCTAGCCACAGCTGTGTACACCACCAGAAGCAGGGAACCATGACCTAACCTGTTACATTTTACTGACGTACTCAAGTGCATTTGAGCTTGTGTGAAGAGCTAGCACTGAGCCTGAGTAGCCAGTGCTACGTACTGTACTGTACATACCTACGCCTAGGATATGGGTTGTACTCCACCATCTCTGACTCAAGTGCTAGTGCAGTGCACTAAAGTCTACATGGGGGTGACTGCAGCCGGCCAAAATTACCCTTGGAGCTGTCTCAGCCGGCAGGTAACCCTCCCAGCCGGCTTTCTGCCGGCTGAGCCGGCTTTGGCTAGATCACTGACACGTGTCAGCGCCTTACAGGTTCGGCCTAGTCCCATACCTCGGTGGTTAGAGTGTTGCTCATGACATTCAAAGTCCTCAGTTTGAGTTCAGATGTGTCTGGCGTATTTTTCTCTTTTCAGGCAGCCACATTTCCGCAAGCCTCCGCCAAAAATTTGAAAACCTACTTTGCCGACTGAGTTGAATATTAATTTGAAAACAAAGAGCTATTTAGCCCTGCAACAATAGATCAAGAATGGGTATTAACCCTCTAAACACCTGGTAAAACGATGGTGCCAACCATCATTATCTATCTACTTACGATAGCATTCAGGCAAGGCCGTTATGGAAACATTGCACGTCGTGGTTGCCTGTCCGAGCATCCAATAGCCACTGTTACATGTGTACGTCACAGATTCAAGATGTTTTATAACTGATACTACCGTGGCTGCGTTGGCAACAACTGGGACACTGCAGTTGTCGGCTGAGCAGGAAAGAAACAAACAAGTGAAGGATTGACGCTTGAAAACTTTGAAAAATGTAGACCCGATAGATTTGTGGATTTAAACACTAGCAAAAACGCACGGCTCACAGTAGAACTATTGGACAGGAGACTGCGCTCTTGTACATTATCCTTTCGAATTGTCACATGTTGTCACATGTTGCACGTTGATACTATTAGTGTATTGTAGTTACGAATTGTGCACAGGACTGACACACGCTGCAAGGGCAGTATTGTCGCTTGCTATGTATTTTGCGAGTGTAATATTTATTTGTTAGTGTGTTAGAATTACATCACGAGTGCATATCTGTTACGTCTACGTTGATACACATTTTATGATACAGTAATTGCTATGCGTGTTCGTACCACGACATGTTCACGAGCGGAATATCTCAGTGTGAATTGTGCTAATTTATTATATAAGTAGAATTGTTGACACACTAATTGTTTGCAATGAACATGTACTTACTGCAGTCAACTTCTCTTATAACGACACTCAGCGGGGCATCAAAAAGGTGTCCTTATTCGCGAAGTGTCGTTATACCCGAAGTCTCGATATGTATTACAGTGGGATGGGATTTTGTTATGGGCATGGAAATTCTGTCATTATTCGCGAAATGTCGTTATATCCGCAGTCGTTATTAGCCAAGTTGACTATAGTACTTAATCCGTTGCATTACCGCCATCCGCGGCAACTCCGCTACGATCTACTTGGCGAAACTTACTCTCGCTGACAGGGTGTGTTGTCACCCTGTCGCTGTGTGTAAGCACCCCTTGACAGACACTGTTTTCACCTCCGTAATCAACAATTTTTTATTCTTTCACTTCAGCAGATTGCGAGTTTCTGTTTGTTCTGCATTCAAATATTATTGCTTTTCTTTTTGTTGCACCTGACTTCCGCGCTGCACGCGGACTTTGGCAGTCGCCATATTTTGTGTCTCTATGGCTACGATGATTCATGCATTTTCTGTACTGCCCATGCTCAGCAAGAAAAGGAATCAATTTGATGGAAATGCACCTGGTTGTGACGAACTAGCACCTGTCATTACGAGAAAGTTCCGAAACCCAAATTTGAAACATTTTTTTGCCACATGAAACGCAAACTGATAAAGGCCAGTAAAGACGGTTGGATTATAAAATTGACTGAAGCACGCTTAGGGGCCGGTCAAACTGAGGGAGAATTTGAAACAAACCGTGGTTACCATGGACGTTTGCCGCTGTGCGGGGTATTTGTGAGATTAAATCCACTCGATGAAAATCAGCTCGAGGCCTCGCTTTTCCGCCGAAGATTATAATCGTCCGCGGCTTTCACTGGATTTCTTTGAGTTTCCTTGTTTTTTTATTACGATGTGAAGTGGAACGATACTATAGGGGCTGTGCTGATGCAGTTCTGGCCCAGGAGCGGGGCTGACAGACTGCCAGAAGTGGGTGGTGACAAAAAAATTGCTCGTGTGAGTGAGATATTTTCATTGTGCGTGTGCAGTGTGGCAGTGATGAGAAGCAGAAAAAATTATTCCCGGTTTATAATCTGAGGATTGTTCCCTCAATGTGACCGGCCCCTTAGCAATCTACAGTAGTGGCCATTGCGTCGCCTGGCAGTACTTACGGACACAATCATGATTCTCGACAATGTATCCAGGGTCGCAGTAACATACATAGCTGCCAATAGTATTACGACACTTGATCTTGGTGCCACAAACAGGAGTGATTGTGTGCGAACATTCGTCGACATCTAGATCATCCAAATCATGACACAAATAGCTTTCAAGACAGAATTACAATTCTGCAGCAAATGATATGTCTGTCTGTCTTTCTGTCTGTCTGTCTGTCTGTTTGGCTGCCTGTGTGTGTCTGTCTGTCTGTGTGTCTGTATGTCTGTGTGTCTGTGTGTGTATCTGTCTGTCTGTCCATCGGTCCGTCGATCCGTCTGTCTGTCTCTCTGTCCTTCTTTCTTTCTCTCTCTCCCTCTGCCTTTCCCTCTCTGAGAGACATTTTGATAACTAAAAGATCACTGCTAATATAATCAACCCATCAGGTCACAGTGCGACGTTTGGGCTTCACGCTAAAACGACAATGAAGAATGGTAGCAGTAGGTGAATTGTAACGACAAAGGCACTGACTCTCAGGTTAATCGGAGCTGCCGTTCCTGTGTTACAACAGCTTGAAGTTTGCACTTAATTTGATGACATAATTACGATGTCATCAACACAAGGGCTCACGGTTGGGATGCCAAAACTCGATTACGTGGGAGGACATCTTGAAATCTGATCACCATAGAAATGAGCTCGCGTGACTCGAGCTATGCACGCGGCAGTGCACGCCTACGCGGCGCGGAGCACAGCAAGGACTCGAGAGAGAGTTGCAGTGACCTGGTGACTGACAAGAAGAAGTAGAACTGAGGAAGATGGAGACCAGCTGAGGACTTGCGTTTCACTTAAAAAGCAACCAAAGTCTTTGGTTGCCGTTCACTGTCGTTGTTTTTGCTTCTTTCCGAGCGAGTGTGTTGCGAGCAGTGCTTGCCTCGTAAGCCGAAGGCTTCAGACAGTTCGTTCGCACGCTGAGTCCTGCGATGAGAAGTCGCGAGTTCTGCCGCCGAGTCTTTGCTGAGAAAGGGATCGACATCTATGTCGTCTGCTGATGCACTGGCGCAGGTGAGGAGAGGTAGAGGACAAGAACTCCTTGATGGAATGAAGCAAAGACTCACACCGTGTTCTAGTTCTCAGAGCGTTTTCTAAATGCACTTACATGAGTGAAAGAGCCGTGCCACGCTGCTGTGAGAAGTGACGATGGAGAGTTGTGAATTATTTGATTTGCCACTCTCTTTCGTTGCAAGAGGACGAATCAAATGGCTTCGCCGTTGTACTGGTCATGTATTTTCGGTTCGACATAGCTGCTGAAGCACACAGCAGTAGAGTGCCGATGAGCGAAACAGCAAACGGTCAGTAATATATCAAGGGTTTGTCAGTCAGGGAGGAAACATTGCAAAAAACGCCTTGCTGCTGCCTCGCTGGTGTAGTTTCCGCATCGTACAACGCATATGCACAGGCTTCCTTCCTTGTCGTCGCGCACGGGAGTTCGCGTGCGCCCCTGCCGACTAAGCTCACTTTAAAACAGTATAAGGTAGCACAATATTGGCCGATTTTGAGGATCGACGGCTCAAAATCTTCAGGAGATACTAAGCTACAGTTTAGGCCAAGTAAAAAAAATCCTAGTTTATCGTCCCCGCCCGCCCCATTTTTCGAGGCCGCCCGGAATTTATTTTTATTTTTAAATCTAGAATTTTGCCAAAAAGCTTGATTTTTTACGTCGGCTAAGGCTTGAAAACACAGCTTCGTCAACATGTTCCCTTTATGACTGACTATTGGTTACTGTCCTGACTGGTTCTTTCCCTTCTGCAGCTTTCTATCATTTATCTGGTGGTCTGTGTGAACCAAACAGTATTGGGGTTTGTGTCTTATGAGTGGAGTGACAATCTGTCGATCCAAAGATTTTGCATGTAATTGTTTATGTACATATACCTGTTATAGCATTGTGTATTCCATACACTACCACTATTCTGTTGCAGATTGTTGCACATGATGTGTCATTGTTTACCAAGAACTATACTAGTCTGTAGCACATCAAAAAATAAAAAATAAAAATAAAATCCGCCCTCCCTCCCCGATTTTTGTGAAAAAAAGGACGATAAACTTGGATTTTATTTTACTTGGCCTTAACCGAAGCGATTTTTTCCTAGATGAAGGGATCTCTGTAGAGCATTCACGGACTTTGTGACCATATCTTTAGTTTCCCAGGGCCAAAATCAAAAATTCCTTCGGTTGAACCCCTAGTTCACATTTTGCCTGGTTCCACCCAAATTTTCACTGTCTACCTGTGCCACCTAATTCTATTTTGAACAGGCATGTGTCGCACTGAAAATGCGCTGCGAGATGGCTAGAGTTTGTGTACAAGGGGTGGTCGAGCTGTGGTCGCGTGACAGTCGACCTGTCGTTGCGTGAGCTGGCCAGACACAAAATGGCGCCCACATATTCGTACACAACCGTGAGCCCTGAACTTGCCCGGACTAGACGGATTTATGACGTCATAAGGATAGACTTTGATTGGGAGTACATGGGGAAAGACCAACATATTTCTCTTTTTTCATACTAAAACGCATAAGTTACGCATTGCATGTGTGACCGCGGCCTTAGCCGAGAAGTACCAAATCCTTGCATCAGATCGCAGAATCTCACCCACCAAGCGCACGGAGATTGTGTCGAAGTGTCACCATGCATTGAAGTTCCTGCTGGGCAAGTACACAAATCACTCCTAATAGGCCCTCTGAATCCATGTATGAAACTCCTCACTCCTAGGTACACACATCACTGGTTGTAATCGGACATTGGCTGTTCATGCAGTATACGTCTCGCTGACGTCATAAATACAACCTAGTCTGGGCAAGGTAATGATGTCATCGTGATATCACCAGATGTAGTTCAAATTTCAAGCTGGTGTAATTCGGGAATGGCAGCTCCGGTCAGCCTGGGACCTTCAACATTGGAGTTGGTTCAATAAAGTTTAAAAGCAACAACTATCTCTTAGCCTGTCACCAGGAAACCCTATATATAGGGTTTGACATAACGCTACACATAAAGACCCTATATATAGGGTTAGGACCCCTAAAGAAAGGGTTTGATCAGTCCTCACAACTGGGCACACAATACACACAGTTTCACTTTTTTTTTTTTTGATATTTTCACTGCATTGCCATTGATGTTAGCAGGAGCGCTCCTACGACGTGCGCGAGTGTTGCCGCATTTGCTGCTTCCGACCCACGTGTGGATCAGCTGATGCAGAAACGGCAATGGCGGGAGCGGCAGCTGCGACAGCCGCTGTTGATGCTTCGCCTTCTTCTTCAGGAGCATCCGACGCTGCTGGAACATCGACATCATCATCCTGAGTCGACACCAGGTCGCCAGGAACATTCTCATCGCCCGAGTTCGTCTCCACTAACTCAAGTTGCTCTTCCTCCATCGTGAAAAATCAAACCCTAGATATAGGGTCTAGAAAATGTTACGACAGCGCTGCACTAAAACTAACCGTACTCGAAGAAAACAGCAACAAAATGATCACGGTCTTCAGCAAGAGAACCGTACGTACATTCTACGTATGTAGGCCCAGGCGTCTAGTTGCCATAGCAGCCAAGTAGGCTCTCAAGAGAGCTCAAGATAGAACGCGCGGCTGAAAACCCTATATATAGGGTTTGACAGGCTAAGAGATAGTCAGTTTCAAAAAGATTAGCAATCCTGGTGATCGCCCGGGGAGTTTGCCGCCTTACCGTATGAGCGCTCGAGCGCTGCCTGGAAAAACTCACTGTGAACTCGAAGAAATATTCCGCGCGAAAGCATGAAAAATGACAACTCACGATCACTGACGATCTTCCTCGCATCGATGTGGAGTCAGAGAGGACATGTCGAAAGTGTGGTAAATTTTGACGAGCGGGATGCGTCCGTTTTGTGACCAAATAGATTCTTTGAGCTGCCGCGGATGCAATTTTCTCTCACGATGTGACGAAAACGGCATCGACACAGACTCATTCCCAAGGCCTTGAAGTGGCAAAGTTATCCGTGTGACTTCGACGACATTTTGAGAAAGCAGATAGAAGACAGTGTTGACTCCTAAATTCAAATAAATTGGCGATCTTCAAATACTAAAATAATTCTCAAACAGAAATCGATCGATCGCGATGTGCCGGTTTATTCAACAACACGTACATGTACATGTAGCTACAGCGCAATGACTTCCGTGTTCACTCACACGGTTTCAGTGTTGCGTGTGTTCACAACTTCACATGGCGTGAGCCAGTCATTCAAGTGTCAGTCAGTTCGGCAGGAAACGCGAGCTCCAACAACAAGTCGCTTGGCGCAGCCACCTTCTTTGTCTGGTACCAAAACAATGAAAAAAATGAAGAAAAAAAGTTTGACTTGAAGATTTTCAGCAGACAGCATTCATAACCACTAGGCCAAAAAGGAAGGGATAAATCGTGGGTTTTGATAACAAATCGATACTGGCTTCCAGGGCAAATTATAAACAATGGGAAAAGGCCAGAAACCTGGCCGAAATACTAACTCCTTAACGGTTGGTCCAATTGTTCCGAAACCTTCACAGAACAATTTGCCGTGCCCTAACAAGCCGTTTTATGTACTTTGTTGTCCAGATTTCCCTTATCTCCATACTTTTTAAGACCTAAACTTGATTGCTAATCTTTTTGAAACAGACTGTACTTAAAAACTTGACATACCCAGGCAAGTAGGTGCGGTAATTGTTCCGTCCGCTGCACATGTTGACTCTGCTTTTCCAACCAGGCTAAATCCACGATCACACGTAAAGTTGACCTTTTGTCCCTCTAGAATTCCACCTATGACACTGCTCTTGCCATTGGTCACGGGATGAACCGCACAATCACCATCTGCCACATGACATGGAACGCACAGCCAAAGAACACAATAGAATTAATCACTGCTACGTGATGCACAATCATGTAGCTACATTGTCGCCCTTAACCCTTTGTGGACGACGTATGTCCATTTTTAAGGTAAAGCTGGACTCCTAAAGACGAGTATATCCGTTTTCAAATGTTCAGTTTGTGCAGCACATATAGACCACTGTACAAACTGTCGTAATAACATTGTCCTTTCTCCAATTGCCAAAGGTGAGGGCTTGATGGAAATCTGATAGAACAAGCGTTCCAATGGGTAGTCTTGTTACATGGTGCAGTGAGGAATCACTGAGCTCCGAGGAGCGAAACACGTGGTCAACTCGGCGACAATAGTGCCATACATGAGGAGTACCGTTAGAGTTTGGTGTTGGTTTTGTATAATTCGTTGTCACAAAGCTTCCCCCTTCCTTTATCCCTGATATCGCTGACCCATGCAAGTTGAGTGCTGTGTTGCTTTGCTGCTTCGAAAAATATAGTTAGACCGGATTGTCATGTTAATAACTGGTGAACTCATTGTTTGGAAATTCCACCAGTCTACGAGGTGCAACAAGACGCATGTGGACGCATTCGTGCCGTTTGACTCCTGCACAACATATGAAATTCTATTAATTATTTATTTTATTCCACGCGATACATGGCTGGGGTAGGCAGTGACCACTTTGCGTGACGATTGCAGGGTTTTATAGCCAACCACGCCGCCAAAAGCTAGTGTATATGATCTTGTCAAGCATGTCCCTCAGACGGTAAGAAGGGTAACAGGAACAGATCCATTATCTCTCCTTCCATTGCTGTTATTGCTGCTGTTGCAACTGCAAAACTAATAAAGTGAATGTTGGAAATCAAGTTCCAGAACCCCCTACTATAGTCGGTTATTGCAAACAATAAGAGGGCGAAAAAATCTGAGTTTCCTGCACTATAAAGCAATCATCAAAACAAAAAAATTGAGGGAAGATCGATTCTATCAGGGCAAACTGCAAGAATAACAATGGCGGGAGGAAATTGAATGCGACTCTTGTGTCATGTAGAGGCTGGACAATCTTGAGTAACATAACGTTAATGCAACTTTGGAGTTGGTGTTGTGAAACATTTTCTAGGCAGTGTTATGTTCCGTCCTCTTTTTGTTTGAACTAGTTCTGCATCTCGGTATTGAGCTCTCTCTCTCTTTGCTAGCCTGAAAGTCTCTCTTTTAGTCGGTTATTGTTATAACATGGAAACAGTATTTGGTAGTGGTAATCGCAGTGATCGATCATGATCTATCGTAATCATTATAAAAAAGCACAATTCATAACACGACTCTTATCCACAAAATGAGCCAGCGCAAGCGAAAAAGGGACGTTATCCCGCGCCACGTGATTTTGAGAAAATCACACTTCAAGTGAATAAGCTGATTTCCGGCTGTCACGTTCAGATCGAACTTAAAATTGTGTGTTTGTCTGTGATACGTGATTTCTTTCGAGCCAATTCAACTGTGGATAGGAGAGTCAGTATCCTACAGCTCCGGTAGAAGAACCCTGTCTTAGGCCTCATTTACACGACAACGATTGAAAAACGTTTTTCAATCGTTTTCGAAACGTTTTTGCTGTTTACACGAAAACGATAATCGTGTACACTGCAACACTTTTTTCGGCGCGCAATGGTCACGTGCAAAAAGTTGGCCTGGCGCAGGCTGGCGGCGGCATGTTTTGAGTACAAGGCTCGTACTAGTAAAACGTTTTTGCCGTTTACACGAGAACGAAATGGAACGAAAACACTTTGAGGCCGTTTTTCGTTTGAAACGTTTTTGAAACGTTTTTCAGCGTTGTCGTGTAAACGCTCTTATCAAAATCTGTGGAAGCGTATTCTTTTGAAAACGTTTTTGACAAAAACGTTTTTCAATCGTTGTCGTGTAAACGAGGCCTTAATCGACCCACATCCATGCATTGGCGATCAAAAATCGATTGATCGACCGCGCGACCTCCGCTGCACGCGCAGCATGCGCGAGTGTAAAAAGACAAAGGAACTTGCTTTCAGCGCAGCTTTCTTGCTCCCTTCGGATTCCCCTTAGTCCTTGGGTTGGCGTAGCTACTCACCATGAACTACAGTAAACGTTTCACCGTTAATGAAACGTTGCTCTCTCCTGGCCTGGGAGAAGATGAGGCTGAGTTTTTTGGCGAGGGAGAGAATGCCACTGAAAATTCTAATCAATCTGACAACGGGAACGATGACTCGCAATGACCAAAGTGAACATTATCTTGACCAGCGAGTGAATGTGGACGCAGCAGCAGAACTGTGGGTTATAGCGACTGCACCCAAACCTTCCCAGGCTACCTAGTACCTCCGAAGCTGAGCAGCATGAAGATTTCACATGAAAATTGTGTGTAATAAATGCCTGTAACTTTGCTATCCGTGAATGGATTTTTAATCGGTTTTTTCCATGTGATTCGTACATCTTGTGGCTGCAAGAATCTGTTGATAACTCAAAATGCACAAAATTAGGGATATTTCGCTTGCTCTGGCTCAAAGGCCTTGCTACATTGTCGCTCTTGGTCTGATAGTCGTAAAACAAAGTCACAACACACCCTAAAGTCAAGACATTGATTTGCAATAAAAATAAATTTCGCCAAAATTGCCCTGAAGGTTGATTTTTCAAACATCTGGCGACCCATAGCTGTATACTGGGATAAAACAGACTTTATCATATGCACTCACTTTGACAAAATGGTACCGATGTAAGAGTTCTTCTGGGTGTACATGCCGGCGTTGCATCACCTATGAGCAGCAACCCCGATGTGCAGGCGTATCTGACCTTCTGGCCAAAGTGGATGACACTAGCATTTGCAGTTCCACTCAAAATCACTGGTACAGTGCAGTTGACAGCTGCGTGAAAAAAGACACCAAAGGAAGAGAGAAGTCATGCTAGGCTTAATGGTCCGTTTACATGGCTGAAGCCAGTCACTGCAATCTTATCTTCTTTCTAGTCTATGCAAATAGTCCTTTTGACAAAATTGTGCCTGCAACGAGATTTGGTGGTTTCTATGCAAGTTTATAATTTGATGTTCATTTCCTCTGTGCTGCGCTGATGAGTCCGCAAAGTACGAAAAAGGTTCCGTCAGCAGATTGAGTAATTTGTTGTGTAAGAAGAAATGAGGATGAAGGAACTAAAAGCTAAGCTGCAATGATGAGTAACACCAGCCGGTACATTACAATCAGCTCATGCGATAACATTTCATGACACTGACCAGTGGTAACATCAAGAATGTGACAGGATTTGAATACCGTTTTAGAGGGCAATAGAGCAGAGACTAGGGTTATTGTAAAGGTTTTGCTGTAGTTGTACCAGCCTGCCTGTACCAGCCTAGCGTAATAAAGCTAGGAGTGAAACGGCAGGCCCATATTCTTTATCGACTAGATCCAATCCTATCGACTGACTATCGACTGGTGATCAACTGACATTGCCCTCACACATGAAGACAACAGAAGCACAAAATGAGGGTATTGTAGGTTTCAACGTCAATCACAACAATACAAAATGTGCAGTTTTGCACCGTTCTGGAACTCGGCTGTGTGTGCTAAAGGGAAATGGATCCATTTGTCAAGTGTACTTCAGAGTACAGGACCTGAAATAGCAGAACAAGCCATAGAGCCACATGTACTTCTGGGCATTTTGGCAACATACGTGCGAGTTGGTATGGGTTTTCCTTCTACAGACTAAAACCTTATCGACAGGCCAGTCGACTTATCGACTCAGTCGTTTCGCCCCTAAATAGAGCTTGCCAATAGATCATTTGATGAAGTGTAGAGAAGATCCCCTCCTTCACTTACCAGTACACATTTCAATTGTTGTAGTACCATTGCATACCGGCTGATTATCCAGATATTCATAGCCAATGTCACATGTGACGTTACCATTGCTAGATACATCCACAATATGATCGCCAAGTTGACGCGTGCAGTCTGGAAACGGGAGATAGAAAAATGGAGAGAAGAGCAAATGGAATGCATTTTGTGGCTGGGTTTCTGATCGAAAGGACCCCCAGTGGCAAGATACATCGCATCGAATCGAGAGGGGGTTGGTGCATGCCAATGCAGGATGCACCGTGGGTACGGTAAAGGTGAACCCAGATAATAATAGGCAATACAATCCCGCGCAGGATTGTATTGCCTACTATTTCCCGATCAGTGAGGCGGCAGATTGGTTGAAAAATGGATTTGGTACAATACCAGGAGTTAGCACCATTAGAAAAGCCACTGTTTCGTCTCAGTTTGTATATATGTATCATTCCCTTAGTATTGACTCACATAGATTTTTGCCATACCTAAGCAGGCAAATATTCCTGCATATTTCACTCCTTATGGCTATATTGACTGTTTATATTTGACTGCTTAGGGGTTGCACAGTTGAACGGTACTTAGTGCAGCATGGTCACTGCATGAGTAGGTGATGGTGCAACGGTTGTGCTATCATAAAACCGAGATTCATTGGTCAGCGATTCCTGCAACTTGTCAGCAAGCACTTCCACAAAGGATGCAAATTATACAAGATATTTAACCGGAACACGCTAAAGTTCAGTTACAGTCAGTTGCATGCCAAATGTCGCCACCATCATACAGCAACACACCAATAGTATCCTCCGCAGCGACCACCAGAATAAGACCAGGGATGTGAGAGCCTGCAACTGCCGTGTCAAAAACGATTGCCCCTTGGAAGGAAACTGTCTAGCATCGAGCATTGTGTACAGGGCACATGGAACCGGCAGCGACATGAAGAAGTACACTGGATTAACGGTAGGGACATTCAAGACACGATTAAATGGTCATCAACATACTATTCGCCACAAGAAGCACGAGACCTCAACGAGACTGTCCAGACACATCTGGAGGCTGAAGGATGAAAATAAACCTTACAGTATCAGTTGATCCGTTGTGAGGAGAGCTGCACCATACTCTAACATCTCGAAGCGCGGCAACCTGTGTCTGGCCGAGAAGCTAGAGATTGCCTGGGCCGACAAGACCCGCTCCCTCACCAAGAGGTCAGAGATTGTGTCCAAGTGTCGTCATGAAAACAAGTTCTACCTGTGTAACTTTGCCCGCAAGGTCAAGTGAATCTAGCCGGTAGTCCCGCTGCCTGATGTGTGTTTGTTTGTGTGTGTGTGTGTGTGTATGTGTGTGTGTGTCTGTGTGTGAGAGAGTGTGTGTGTGATTGTGCGCGTGCATGTGTGAGTGTGTGTGTGTGTTTGTGTGCATGCGTGAGAAAGAGAGTGAGCGTGGGTGATTGGATAGGTGCGGGTGCAAGTATGTGTGCGGTAGGTGTGAGAATGAAAGGATGAGTATTGTGGCCGTATGTGTGTGTGTGTGTGTGTGTGTGTCAGATCATTTGATCGTCCTTGGGGACTTTAATGCACGTGTGGGTTCTGCTGTTGAGCCTCAGTCTTCTGGTTTGTGGCGGGATGTCCATGGAGGCTTTGGCATTGGTGAGCGCAATGATGCTGGAATGGAGTTGTTGGATTTCTCGTTACGCAATAACCTGACCATCTGCAACACCCATTTCCGGAAGAGGATGATACATCTGGCTACGTGGCGGCACCCGAGATCCCAACGTTGGCACTGGACACCCTTAGCAAACAACGTTATGTTGTAACGGTATTATCGTAAGGGGGAAAATACCGTGATTTGGGTTCGACCTTTAGCAAGATGCACGCTATTTTTAGTACGCTGTTGCCACAAGAATAGCTTTGATTTCGCGCGGTACAACCATTTTTTCATCATATACGCGATACAAGGTGAAATGCGTACGGACTATGCAATATTTGGCTAAAACACGTACCGTTGGTCACAACGATAAATCAGCCCCCATAATGTTTATACCCTGCAGCTTCAACGCTATTTGGGTGATCAAGGTACGAGTACCGTAAAAAATAGCGTTACCGTTGTTTGCTAAGGGTGTCTATTGTATGGATTATGTGCTTGTCCGTGTAAGTCAACTACAGTATGTTGTGGACACCCATGTGATTTGCGGTGCAGAGTGCAGTACTGACCACAATCTCTTGTGTATGACGTATTGCCTGCCGGGGAGGATTGTGCCCGGCCGAAATCAAAATCAAAAGCGCAGGAACCGGCGGTTTGCGGTTCAGGAGCTGCTGACTGTGCCAGGTATGACTGACGAGAGGTTTCATCGAGGAGCAGTGGTCCTGTATTAAGACGGCTATAACGTCATCAGCTAAGGCTGCAATCGGGCATGAGAGGCGTAGCAGTCGGGTTCGCCTCGGTCTTTTACTCGGCTTTTATTTCCTATATTGACCTCGTACCCAGTCAATATAAGATACATAATTTCGCATACAATCAATTGGACTTATCATTTGCTGAATAAACCATTGCTGTTATATGACCAGTAAGAAACGCTTACTTGTCTCACACATGGCATAAAGTACTTGTTTCTTTTCACGTGTTGAAGTTATCGGTGAAGTATCAGCCACTAAGGCCACTCCTGGGTCACCATCCTTGTTCAACCAGGCTATCATTCTCTCTTCGAGCGCAGCGGACACGCAACCAGCCTTGTAAGCAACAAAAGTAGCCATGTGTCCATGGTTAATACTACACAATGTCGTAGCATCTGCAAAATTCAAGTACGTCAGCAGAGGCGTGCGTCGGAGGACTGTGTTGGTTTGGTGACAGTAGTAGGGACTCACAAGCTTAATATCTCCTGCAGAGGGAAAAAGACACGTCCAACAAATAGAGAAACTCACACACACACACACACACACACACACACACACACACACACACACGCGTCAGCAATATTGTCGCTTATCTTTCGACAATTTGAACTTAGACTTTGGACATGAACGCGTGCACTTGAAGTGATAAAACTTGGTACGATGGACGGTAAGGTTTAGAATGACAACTAACTGGAAGGAATTTATTGTCCAAGGAAGGGTTCCTACTTTTTCGGTCCTCTTCGTCGCTGCTCTCGACTCGACGAAATATTTTTGCTCAGGTTCGACTCTCTTGCTTTTGCAAGCTCATCTCTCTTCCTCTCCGCTGCCTGGCTATTTTCTAAACAGAAGTCGATCGTGACGGTCGCTTTCTCTATAGGACTTCGCGTGGGCAGTACGACAGCCTGTGTGGTTCAAATCAGACGCCGATCTTTGCAGGATTTATTTTGAACGACGACGACGACGCATACAGTACTTGGAAATCTCCACGACGCGCTGAATACTCCGAGCGTTGAGTTGGAGGTAAGGGAGCTGAGATCTCAGCTTGACGAGCGATCCCTGAGGTGAGCGATCTCGGCCGTTCAGCAAAATGGAGCTGATTCCGAGTAGCCGATTACTTTCTTGTGGCTTGCGCTGCTCTTGCCTGCACAGCGTAACAAGATAATCTATTTTGATTCGGCGCTGTATCAATCAGAATCACCCACCCGTCGCTCTCGAAATCCACTCGAACTGTAGCTAGACCTTTCAGGTACTAGTAAACTAACTTACTAACCAAAATTGAGAAGAAATGGGCTGCCGAGTTGGCTTTGGCGACATAAAAACAAAGCTGAACGATAAGCGACAATATCGCTGACGCGGACCAAGTAGTAGTTTAGTGCAAGTGTGTTGAGTGTGATTGTCCCTCCCCCCCCCCCCCCTCCTACGTTCACACATCCTTCCGTCTTTTCAGGTTTGCTTTGTTTTGCTGCTGCTAATGATGATTCAAGTCATTGCTCCGGGGACCTATGGGAACAAGATTAAAAATAAACTATTAGGATCGACACTGTAGAACTATTGTTTGGATTTATTTAAATCTCGGACGTTGAGCCATACATAAATGTAGAAAGGAAAAGCCGGACATATGGATACGAGTTCAGAGTAACTCTCCATCACTGTAACTGGATACTATAATTATACAGTCAGAAAGTACAATAACTAGGCACAAAAACTGACAGAGTACTGAGACATGTTGAGATGTGTTGAAGCTAGGTGTCAGGACGGCGAATGTCTCAGTTCTCTGTCAGTTTTGTGCCTTGTTTTTGTACTTTCTGACTGTATAATTATAGGATTTATTTACTCGAGCTTTTTTGAAAATTTGAAATGAAGCTCAAATTTGCGAAATGCCTTCAACATCGTAAGACACACCTGCAAAGACAAGTCCAATAACAGACAATAGTTGTAAAATCCTGGAGGAAAATATTTATGAACCAAACAAGGCCAAATGCAGTGCAGAAAGACGGCGAGATTCACGTACCAAGCTGTGTTGATTGAGCGACCATCGGCGCATAAATGCCGGCTACCACAGCCACAAACATTAGCAAACACATTGCTTACGCTGAGTAGAAAAGAAAACATGGAAGGATACATGTGGGAAACGAAGACACCGCCAAGTAGGCTAGCTGGATCTTCCGCCTCTGTATTACAGTGTTCTATGATGCATTCATTTCAGACCGGCACCCTAACCTTTTAATCAACATATCTGTTATAATTACTAATTCGAGGGATAGAGCGAACCTCACACTCAGTACAAACTTCATTAGTAAACACTTGTTCTCGTGTATATGCAGTTGATAAAAATGTTCACCAAGGGCCGCAGAGCAACATCCATTCTGATCAAACAGCTAAAATGCAAGTGAAGCTGCCTGCCTGAGTACATGAGTGCTTGAGTAACCCTCAAATTTTTGTAACTCGGCTTTTCCTTGACGGAACCCGGCAAGTTCTCCGCTATCGGCTCGAACAAGTCCGAAGTCGATGAGACGCCAAATGGTGGAGTTATGGCACTCGCAAGGTATTTTATGTCCTGCAGCAAATTTTCCCTGCCGCGCGCTGTGCCAGGCAGGCCCAGAGCAGTGTGACGTCAGGCACTGATCTGGACCTATCAGCGACAAAAAGTCTGCACTCTACTGTGAATATTACGAAAATACCAGTAATTCTAACAAATCGGCTCAAAGTTTCGTTTCGTATGTCTGCCGAGCACTATAGCACCAATGTGGTGGCACTGTAGTGAGTGGTGTGCTCCTCTGGCCAAGAGCTTTCCAGGAAGTCCAAGATTATCAAAATTGAAGAAGGGAAACGCACGTTATGATCCAAACTGCTTCTACACGTAGTGAATGTGGCAATTTGGCTGAATAAAATCGGTCCTGAAAGGGGTACAGTCGAGCAGGAAACAGTCAATTTCAGTGTTTCTGCTCCAAACAGCAACTAACTTTGTAATTGACTAGATACAAAGAGTACATCAAAGGATCAAACAACAACCATTCTCTTCGGTTTTTCGGCACCTTGTGCTAGGGCCAGGCTAAAAATCATACCTCAGAGGAGTACAACAATTACAACTCCCAAATGTCCTTGATTACAGTACGAGCGCTCTGGAGCGTGTGCAGTCATGTGTGCAGTCATGTGTGCAGTCATGTGCTACGGAAAAATGAAGTGCATTGTGGCCTATACAAACCCCAAGGAATAGAAGGCAACACAATCAAAAGATTTGGAGCTGTAAAAAACTTCAGATCGTGTGTTTTCATACTTTCCGCAAAAAAAAGGGGGTCCCGATAAGAGATCAGCTCTCAGGAACTGGCCTGACATCTGCGTATCCAGCATATTCTGCGTGCTACCTATTCAGCCCCAGCCCTCCAGCAACGTTGCAATGAAGAGCAGCAAATGGAGAAGCAATCAAGTCTTATAGTACTCAGAGGTGGTGGAGCCGGTGAGAGATAATGCCACCGGGTGCAGCTTTTCTTCGGTTTTTATTTATTATTATTATTATTATTAACTGGTTTGGTTTACTATTTTCACATAACCAGCTTTGAAAAGAATTAGGAAAGACAATGGTACGGAGACTAGGACAAACTGGCAAGTAATGAGCAGGCGTTGTGCCGACACGCAGCAGGAATGGTGGGGCATTGATGACTCTGCCGACCTGAGGTCTCGGCGTCGCGGCCAAAAACACGCACCAAAAAAAGAAAAAAAGAAGAAGATAGAGCTGTACAGGTCAGAAAGATGCGAAAAACCCAAGGTTTAACACGATCAAGTGTGGGTGAGAAACTATCATAGCATCATACTATTCATAGGGAATCGACTGCCCAGAGCCAGTTTGTGCTGCGAAGATGGCGATAAACGTTCGTTTTGAATGATTGGTTTGCACCAAATCAAGAGAATTTTAGCCTTTGTCGACGCATTCACATCAGCATTAATCATTGAGCATTGAGGCTAGCATTATGATTTTTTTTAGAGCAGTTGTATAATTATTTTCATAATAGGGGTGAAACGGTTCGGGTAAGGAACCGGTTTTGGAACCGTCAGCTGAAAAGAATCGGGTACCCGTTCCGTCAAATTTCGAACCGAAACTCGAAAAATCTCGTTCTCGTACAAATACATGTACACGCCAAGTCTACTCAAGATTTTAAAATGCCTTACCTTACGATCACCGCCCTTCCAAAGGGTTCTCCTATCGATCCTGGTCACTACGAGCGTACCTTCTTCGCATATGGACTCTCCGATGTCTCGTTCTTGCTCGTAAAAATGTTTTCTAACTTGAAAATAATTGTCACCGACACATTTGGTCGGTCTGGAGAAAAGAGTGCATGGAACCGATACCCGAACCGTGGGAAACTATGCTGGCATTCGGGTACCCGAACATGAAAAACATGGAACCGTTTCACCCCTAATTCACAATGACATAACCGTAGAGGATACTCAATCAGAGGTCACACACTTAATACTAGGGCTGAAACGATTATACCGAATAATCGAGCAATCATTTAGATTACCGATTACGATTATTTTGCGTTTTTTAATTTGTGTCCAGAAAGTACTGTAAACCCTCGTTTTGTGAAGTTTGAATCAGTTTCCGCTGGGAGTATGCAGTTGCCAGGGGTATGGTTCATGTTCTGAGGTTAAATTGACTTCAAAACTGCCATGTTTCGGAGCTACCCTTTCACTAAATGCAGATTTGTTGGTATTATGAAGGCATAGTTTGGGGAAACAGAGTAATGTGTGTACAGAATTATGACACTATTTGCTAACGATTATAATGTACGCGTGGAGGTCAAGTCCGGCGTGACGTCTCTCGGTACTTCGGGACAATTTTGGGCGCCTTCTTTTCAAGTTTTCACCCACTTCCATGCATTGCAGAGAAAAACGAATGACACCATCGTGACCAGGAGCCAAAGAACTACACGATAAGACAAAGAAAATTTTTGGTGACAGTTCCTCTTTACCGAAGAATCATTTTGATATTGATCAGCACGGACAGTTCAAATACAGAGGCAAGCCCAGTTGGCTGCAGCGACTGGCATTCGGTTATCGATGTTATCTTTTTTTCTCTATCAAATGTTATCTACTATCGCTGCTAGCCACGCACTTACCGCCTGGACTGTTGACTTCCAAGTGAAGGGAGATCCTTATTTCCAGTGAGGACAATGCCCGCATATGCTGGTGAAGCTATCTTGCAGCAAGGCACAGCCACAGGCTCAGCTCCAAAGAGGAACACTGTTCTACTGACGAAGCTACTTTGACGACTACAGAGTTAGAAGCAGAGGCTACAAGCCAAGTTCCAAAGACATAATAAACTAATCTCACAGGATCTCTTTAGAGCTCTCTGAATTATAAGGGTACTGAGGGCCGCATTCCTACTATTGTCTGATGATCCTACGCATTTTCCGTACCAACATACTAGTACCGTGGTACTGTTACCAGAAAATCCCGCCAGAGCGCCCCAACCTCCTCGACGCTTCAGGTGGGGAGGGGCGGATGGGCGAGTCCTTGCCGCATTCAGTGCTACATGAAAATGGTACTCACCCTACGAAAACTGTTCGTGCATCTCGTACACCGACCAAAGGTCAAGAGCCAGGAGTCGTAGGCTGTGTTTACATGAGAAGTTTCAACACGGGTCGAGTTCAGCCCGGGTTGAAAGTCTGTACGACAGACAAAAGAGGTGAGCGTTTACATGAAGACAGTTGACCCGGGTCAAATACTGATATGCCGCCAAAAGTCCACTTCTACAGTCCTGTATGGTCACTTGAATCCGTTCGCGCGAAATTTGCATCTGCAGTGCTGTTCAAACCTGGCGCGAGTACGTTTGTACGATTTTCTTGCGCAAATTCAACCTGGGTCAAGCGCAATGCGTCATGTAAACGCGCCATTCATTTTATGCACATGGCGGGTTATTATTATTATTATTAGGCCACACTGAAGAAGGTCTGTGGTTCGACTCACCCGACCGACCGTACGTTTTTCAGCCCGACCGTAACTTTTTTTCGGCGGGTTGTCGTGTGACTGACGTACGTGGACTGAACACGTCCACGTCTACGTGCTGTGCAGCGTGAGTCTGCGGACGCAGGCGCCTCCTTTTGGACTTGACTTGTAGTTGTACTGCAGTGCAGTGCAGTGCAGTGAGTACGACTGCTGCCTTGTGCTGGTAGTAGAGTCTGGTAGTAGAGTCTACTCGATACGACCACCGGCAGACTGGCGAGACTTTATTTAGGGCATGTTCGATTGTACGAATCCATCAGCCCCGGACCCGGATTCGCCAAATTTGTGCATGTTCGATTGTACGAATCCGGATCCCGAGAGCACGGATTCGGATCCAGTCAACCCACCTCCCAGAGACGGATTCGACGGATTCGACGGATTCATTTCGATAGTACGACTCGTATCTACTCAAAACTCGCAATATGCGTACACTAGGTCAAGAGTTTACCACAACGCGTACAGAGATACTGCGGGATGAGCTGTAGCAACGCGGTTGCTAAGGCCTTGAAACGGATTATCGGTTGTGCACATTCGATTGTATCCGTCCGATCGAAGTGATCTGGTCGGCGGGGATCGGGATCCAGTTTCTACAATCGAATGCAGCCTTAGAAAAGCGATCCTGTCAGCTTTTCTATTATTGTGTTCACATGGCAAGAAAAACGACACCGCTATGCTACGTAACTTTCTACGTAAGGTGCTCGGTATTTCACTTAGGCTACGTAAATCTCTACGTAAGGTGCTCGTTATTAGATCTACCAACGGGTGGAAGCCGCGTGCTGTGCACTGCACGGCAGACATTGTGTTGCAGTGCAGTCCGTGTTCGGATGTGCATGCGCAAGGAACTTCCTTCTTTGGAACTGCTTCTTGTATGAGCTGTTTCGGATATTTCGACTCCTGGCCTGGCTTATTTCGTTTCGGCGCTGCTGAGACCTCCTTTCGCGGAATATTACTGACAGGTGAGTTGACCAGTTCCCTTTGATTCATTTGCTTGTGTTCACTCTTTCATTTACGAAAAGTGTGCTGATTTTGGGCGGAATGCAATAAATAATGGAAAAGCTGACAGGATCTCTTTTCTAAATAATTTAGCTTTTCCGCTGCCGAGGCCTCCTTTTACGGAATACTCGATGACAGGTGATCTCTGAGTTGACCGGTTTCCTTCGATTCATTTGCTTATGCTCACCCTTTCATTTACGGAAACGTGTGCTGATTTTATTCGGATTTAGATCCATTTGTATCTCTTTGCCCTTGTCTACAGTGTACGAAGAACGCGAGTTCACCTTCTTCACGATAAGGCTTACCGGTATGTTAAATGTGTTGTCGAAATACTCATATTCATTGTACATTGGAACGTTACAAGTAAGGCACTGGGCAGTGGCATACTATCGTTGGCAGTTCCAAATCTGGAGGGAAAGGTTCAAGGACCCATTGACCGAGTTTGCAAAATAAACTCGCATATCAGGGAAAATCTCCATTGTGGAGAGGTTCAGTAAACTTGTTTGCTTCATACGAAACGAAACAAGCCAATGGGTGCAGTCTCGTCTCGTGAAGATCTCGTACTTGTATGATTGGATTTGTTTACTTGAGTCTGGGCTGTTTGATTTATTATTTGTGAGTACCGCTGAGATTGCACTGCCCAAAATAAAGTTTCGTGCCGCCAAAGCAAGAATTACGATCTGCAATCTGTTTTTAGTACCTGCAAGAATGTGCTGTACTGCCTGTACATGTATCGTACCTTCTCTGTTGCTGTTTCAGTTGCCGTCATGTTGTTAAAGAAACGTTCAGTAGAGAGGTTCTGCAAAACGAAAATTCGAACGAAGTTTCTCGACAGTCCTTGCGAAAGTGTGTACGAATTTTTGCACGAACTTTGCGTTCTGCACATTTTCGTAGTTTGCGCGGGCCAAGTGCACGTACGCCATGACCCGATCTCACGAAATGTCCTACGAGTACGACAGTTCATTTCGCGTTCCCTGCAAGTTTCGCGTCCAAAGTTGCGAAGTTTTGCACTTCATGGCAATGAACGAACCTTTTTACGCATTTTCGTTTTGCAGAACCTCCCTAGTGACTCATTTGGTTCATACGAGACGAGTCAATGAGTTGGTGTGGCTTAGAATCTTTCGCTGTAGAAGAAATCTATTCGTATGTCTATTGGAGAAATAATTGTATTTACTGGTTATAAAATAGGTTAAGACAAACTCACAAAATAAATACCATTGGTCCCTTGGTGTTCGTCCTAAAGAGGTTCGACTGGATATCATTCATACTCACCAAAAGATGTGTAAGATTTTATTATTATGGAGTGCCTTGTTTATCTCTCAGTACCTCCAACCATAGCCTCGCCCCTTTTATCCTCAGGATCAGTGTAGTTGTTGGAACGAGGTTACGTAATGTATTTGTTTACATTTTAATACATGTTTATTGTTCCTCCTTTGCTGTGTTGTTTTAGAAAATCGTGGACTACCAGTTTGAAGTCATTGAACTACTTCCAAAAGTTGTATCGACATCAACAGGATTACGATTTCAGTGCAATATGATGCAGGATGACCTTATCACGATAACCCATGATTATAAACCATTATAAACACAGAATCAACAAAAACATCTGCGACAAGTACCTGGTTACATTTCTCAAATAAATCTGATCGAGGGTGGGGAAATCTGAAATATCTGAAAGGCAAGACAATTTTATGACAGAGTCATGAAATTCTGCTACAGCAACATCCACAGAATGACCTCCGTATAAAAAAAGTATCACCACTGTCCACCACTACACTCACATGTATCCCCGCAGAAGAACATGCTAGTGCCATTTTCTGCAAGAAAAGGCTTGCACATCAATGCGTATGATACGGTGTAATTGACATGATGTGAATGCAATCATTTACATAATTATTGATATAGGGCATTCCATTGGTGACAGAAAAAACAAAATAAATTATAGCAATAAAAACTGCTTTATGGCAGTTTTCTAAAAAAGTTATTGTGTTCTAGTCCATGGACCATGTCTAAAAAGTAAGAAATTAACGAAATGTGAAAGCCGAAAATTAAAATTTCACACAAAACCTCACAATAATCACATACAGAATGAAAAGCTACATGCAGAAGACCTGTAAAAAGGCCCTAGGCCTGTGGGACTGCCGTATTCAAAATTTAATAATAATAATAATAAGACCTTTTCCCCTCGTGATCCTCTTTCCTATGCATGCATGACATGCATGTTGCCAATTGTTGTGCGGTACAAGTTTAGTGTTGAAAGCAGCATTTCAAGTGTTGTGATTATTGTGAGGTTTTGTGTGAAATTTTAATTTTCGGCTATCACATTTCGTTAATTTCTTACTTTTTAGACGGGGTCCATGGACTAGAACACAATAACTTTTTTTAGAAAACTGCCATAAAGCAGTTTTTATTGCTATAATTTTGAAGTGACCGTCCGGTTGAGAGTGATTGCCTCGGTCCAGATTAAAGGGAAACTGAACGCCAAAAATAAGTATGGCTTATCCGAAGGAGAATTGGGCACTGATTCCGATGAGCTATGTCTCGAGCCGATCAGAGAAGAGGAACTGTGTCAAATTTCATAAATAACACCTCCCATATTTGGAAATTGGCCTTGATGACGTGCGTACTGCTTAGCTGTCACCATGCTGTGCATGTTCAGCAGTGTAATTGAATGGCAGAAAACAATTACTTTGGTGTTTTGCAGCTCTGTTTCGTCCCCTGACGGTAACCAAATCTAGATGTAGGAATCTGTTGAGCAGGAGAGTGACACATGTCTTCCCGAAGGCTGTCCAGGCTGCAGTGGTGATGAAAAAGACACGATCATCACCCCGAGATCGATCGTAGCGAATTGGAAAACTCATGGTGAATTTGCTTCCACTCCAAGGCAATGTCGAGGTATGAAGGGTGCTTGTACTGCTTTCCAATGTGAAGAGGAGATGAACATGGCTTTGCATAGCTGATGTTCTATGCCAACTTACCTACTCTTGCCGGTACCGTAGTGGCATATTGCAAATTTCGTGGACGAACAACTCTAGTCACTAGTGGCTAGTGAGCAACACTAACAGGTGAGATTTTTCAATTCGACAAAAATTGTTTTTGTTTGAGAACTGACAGTGGCAGTCATTAGACTCAGTAGGTGTCTTTGCTGCTTCTTTCCCTTCATTGGTAGGGTTGTGCTTGAATAGTACAAGTGCTTGAAGTAAAATAAAATAAATAGAACATGTAGAACATAAATCTAATCAAGCATCAGTACATGTATTGCGAGGTTCAACTTCAAAGCACATGAAATCACAATGATCACGAAGTTTATGTAATCAGGAGTACACCCTGTGTTCAATGAACACATACACACATGCTGTATTGCGCACACACTGATGGACACATGTGCGTGCACCCCCACCCCATCCCACAGACACACGCATGCAGCGCGCACATCCATACACATGTGCGTGTACCGCCCCCCCCCCCCCCCCACACACACACTCCTACCCATACACATGTGCGT